GAAGGGTACCCGATATTCTCGGGTTAGATTCTCTCCCAACTTGCCGGCTTGCAAACATTCGATGCCAAAAGATTCTAAGGGCCCGTTTGGTAACGTGTCAAACAGTAAAAATTTCTATTCTTTTGTTTCCAGAAATAGTTTGGGAACAGAAATGCGTTTGGTAAACTTTTTGTTCCCTAGCACATTTTTGCAAAAATTTGTGCCCAGAAACAGTTTTGGAAGAGAAACAAGAAGTAAAAAAAAGTTGCTTCTTGTTTCTCGGCACAATTTTGAGAATCAGTTTTTTTCTTCTTTTTCTTTTTTTTGTTTTCTTCTTTTTGTGTTGCTCTTCTTGGGCTGTGGCCGGTCGCCGGCCGCCGGCGAGGGCGTCACGGCCCTCGCCGGCCGCCGGCGGAGGCAAGGGTCGCCCTTGCGGCGAGGGCGAGGGTGGACACTCGCCGCTGGGCGAGGCATCTCGCCGTCGCGACCCACGGCGAGTCTCGGCCTCGCCCGATCTAGGCGAGGCCGACCTCGCCGTGGGTCGCGACGGCGAGGCCGGGCGGCGAGGCAGCGGCGAGGGCCGTGACGCCTAGCTTGTGGCCGGTCGCCGGCGCCGGCGACCGGCCATGGCCAAAGAAGGAAGGATAGAAAGAAAAAAAAAGAAAAAAAAAAAACAATTTAAAATAATATTAAAATATTATTAATAAAAAGAAATTTTGTGTAGTTACCAAACGTATTTCTGTTCTTTTCTATCCCAGGAATAGAAATTTTGGACAGTTACCAAACGCCTTCAAATGCTTAGAAATTGTTTCCGGGCACAGAATAAAAAAGAACCATTTCTGAGTAGAAATAGTTCCCCGGCATAGAAACATTGTCATGCGCACTCTAACTCGATAAGTTCTCCTCTCGGTTTTTTTTTTTTTATTGTGGTCGTCGAGTTCTCTTCTGTGTTTAATGTGCAAGACAAAAGCTAAACATTATCACAAGTGAAGGAACATGGTAGGAGCGCGCAGCAAAAGTCATTCACCTACATCCGGGCAGATCGCCAAAAACTTAAATAATGAGTTACGGACCAACTATGATATAACAACTGCTCAACACAACATTTTCACAAGTGAAGGAACATGTTAGGAGCACGCAGCAGAAGCCGTTCACCTACATTTGGGCAGATCGCCAAAAATTTAAACAATGAGTTATGGACCAATTACGATATATTAATTGCTCAATACTACACTAATTCTCTTACGTGGGACTTCTCTAACACAACCTACATGTGTATCCTAATAGAACACGGTTATCACTTCAATTTCCAGGAGGGAATAAAAAACAAGAAAGCAACTATCTCATCAAAGAGGGCAGAGTCATGCGCTTGAGTCCATATAAATGAAGTGCACTCCATCAACACACTTGAGATCATGCATGAACCAAGAACCTGCGATTGGACCGGCCCCAGTCGATCGCCACATCGATGGCGACTGAAGCTATATTAATTCAGAAGAACCCAAGAACTTCACCTCTCGTCGTCGTCATCGCCATCATCATCATCCTCACCCTGGTGGGGGCTTCTTCAGAAACGTCTAAAAGCTCCAACGCAATCCATGGAGGGGCACACCCACACATGCTGCAACAAGACAAGCCTTCCAGTCTCATTCTTCGTTTCCCTCATCATGCCGAAGTTTAGGATTGAATCTGTTCTCGGAGAATAAAATATCGCTCTCCAAACTTAATGATGATAACGTTTGATTCTAAGTTGCTGCGACGCGATGCCGATCGCGGCTGGTGAAACTTGCAAGTCACCTCGTTGTTTTCCCGTATGCCCTGAGCCATACTGCAAATGGAAGAAGCTTCCTTCCACGTTGAAGATTGAGGCCATGATTAGCTTCAGGATTATCGTTTCATATCTTCATTAATTACACTTTGATTTGCAGATTACGGGTCACATGATAGGGACGGCAGAGTCTGGTTAGCATCGCCTTCATCAGATTATGGGTCACTCGATATCCTATCGAGTGATTCCTCGGTAAAGATCCGCCGAGAAATAGTCATAAGTTTGCGCCATTTCTCTTGGAGCTTGGGCCGTGCAAATAAGGCCGGCCGGCATCATAAGCAGCGTCGGAACCGCATGGAGACCACCGGAAGTGCTGGATCCTATCGTTGCTTGCCCGGTGCGGCCGACACAGACGTGGAAGACGATGTTATAAGTTGTGGAATCGAGCCGTGCCATTCATTGCAGCTTCTAAACCGGTCGTATAGAGTCTTTACAGGGAAAAGTACCCAAAAAAAATTATTAATCTATTGCATTATACTAATTCAGTCATAAAACCTTTCAATTGTACCACTTAAATTCTAAATATTTTTACGTTTTGCCAATTGAGCTGTCCATTTTAGGCGGGAAATTGCTGACGTGAATACTGGTCATCTTATGTGGCACAGTTAGTTCTAACATGAACATTTTTTAATTAATTTTTTAAATAAAATTTTTTTAATTAATTTTTTCTTTTTCTTTTTCCTTTTCTTTTTTTCTCTTCTGTTTTTTTTCCACTGTGGCCGACAAGGGTCGTAGGAGCTCGTCGGCCACTGGACGAGGGCCACGAAGCCCTCACCGACTGCCAGCGAGGCCAGCCTCCTCATGGTCTAATCGGCCATAGGCGAATGCGACCTTGCCTGCTGCTGCCTAGCGATGGTCAAGGTGAAACGCAAGCAGCCGCAAGCGAGGCCAGCCTCCCGGCTATGGGCAAAGGTGGCCATGGCCTTGCCTAGATATGGGCGAGTGCTTCGCGACCCTCACCCAGTGCCCGACAAGCTCCGGCGACTCTTGTCAACCACAGTGGAAAAAGGAAAGAAAAGAAGGAAACGAGAAAAATAAAAAAAGAAAAGAAAAAAAATTAAAAATTAAAAATTTTGTTTACGCCTATGCCAGCTGTGTTACGTAGGACAGCCGACGCCTACATTAGCAATTTCCGAATTATATTGGTCAGATGGACTCAATTGGTAAAAGGTGAAAATGTTTATAACTAAATTGATTCAATTGAAATGTTTATGATTGAATTGATACCAATACAATAGGCCTTGGACTTTTTTTATACTTTTCGCGGTCTTTACAAGTGGACATGTTTAATTCGAGAATAGAGTCGTTAATTTCACATGTTCAACAGTAGATCGAGAATGAAACGATTCGTGTGATTGTGACCTTATCGACCCATATTTTTTAAGAGATCTTCTAGGCTTTGCGTACTTACGTTCGATGGTTTGTTGCTAAAATGTCCATGTTACGGTTTACAAATCACACAAGCATGATCATCAGTCTGAACGAACCTCAACACATCTTCCATTGATCCAATAAGTCAAAGATTGCATCTGCTTGTGCTTTTGCTTAGAGACGAAGAGCTTTCGTTGTCTTCGATGTTTCTCTTCCTTCATCGTGAAGTTAGTAAGTGTACATGGACTTTACTATTACGATATGAACGCATATTATTGGATTAAACAGAGTAGAAAAGGGTAAAATCGTCTGGACAAATTACAACTTCTTTAAAGAAGATACGAGATCTACGTTGTTCTTCAGACTCACATGGAAAAGAAGCAAACGAGCAATGAGGACCTACTAAATGACTTTTATCATCAAATTCGGACCTTTCTCAAAGTTTAGATGATTGATTTACGAATCACATCATGCTCACAAATGAACTTTAATCACAAATGAACCTTAAAGTTGATATCAAGAGGGCACATTAATGGAAGAGGTTCACACATAAGAATAATTTAATTCGTTGCGAAACGTGATGGGCATCTAAATAAATGAACTCAATTCGACCGATGAGAATGGTTTCATAAACCGATAACCACGCGACGGCTGTTGCAAAGAGCCTAGAACCGAGATAATATCATTGTTGCCTCGGGCAAAAACATGTTGTGGGTCTTGTCTACAGTTGCGGGCAAGGTTTAAGTACAGATCAAATTGAGTGCAAGATGGTGAACCCAATACTAAACGTAAGTCCTGTGCGTCATATGAAGTTTTTAGTCGGATGTCGCCGGATCCCAAAATTGCTATAACCGATTAAACGGTCTCCTTTACAGCGAATAGACAACAAAGATTCAGGCATGTAAGCAAGTGTCTCTGTCGCATACACTGTTTAGCTGCCTACCAGTCCCTTTTGCCGCTTTTAGTGGCTTTCTTGGCAACCGTATTTGCTTGACAAACAGTCAGTACGACAACCTGGGAAACCGTCACGGCAAACACCGGCTGTAGAACATTCATATTGATGTCATTGTCAGGTAAGATATTGGTAGGTTACTAGATTCTCACGTCTTGTCCCTCTTGTGTGATCTGTCCAAATTGTTGGTATTTTAGAATACCCTGAAGCCGGGCCGACTCCACGTGTCAATGCATCGCTTGATATAACAAATACAGGTATACGTAAATAAATGTGTACTTTCGCATCGTACGTATTGTGCCCTGTATTTGGAAGTAGACTGGTTGATCCACAACGTTTCCGATAAACTTCACAACCCATTCCAAAATCTGAATTTTCCAGGATTCAAAAGCATCGGTCATGCTTCATGATTTAGCTCTTTATGACGCTGAAGTATATTCTAATTTGAATCGAAATCCCAATCTTGAGAACTCAGATACCACCGTGTTAGCATCCTATGAGCAGTCGCGTCATCACGAGAATTCCATAGATCCTGTGCACGGTGCTACGCCGCATGCAACACAACAAGGCCCGGGGCTGCGATCTCTATTTGAGACTGAGAGCATAGTTATGAAAGTCCGGCTGACGTCGCGCATAAGGATTAACTCCAACAAGAAGTGAAGAGCAAAAATGGAAAAAGAGAACTTGCAAGTTTTTTCTGCACAGTATCAGCAAACAAGAAACCACCAGATAGAGAGCAGTCATAATTTGAACTCTTCCACCACGTCCTCTTCTCGAAGAAGTCGTGTACAGACAAAACTGAAGCTAACTTATAACCAGAAGAGAATAAGAGCAACGTCCAAGCAGAAGCAATAGGATGTCAAACATGCAAAGTCTTAGTAAAAGATTTCGCAAGTGTCTTATGTGTCAGTTCTACAATTTTGCTAGTGAACACTGAACAATCCAAGATCATTAAGGATAAGAATAATCAATCAATGAAGAAAGTAGCTGAAAATGAATGGTACACTCCAAACTCTTCTCATTGTTGTACTGTTCCACACATGAGCGCACAGTGGCATAAGTTCAAACCGGCCGCTCCCTCCGACGATATATATACACATATGGAGCTAATGTTCTCCTCACTAGCCATTTGGACGACAAGTACTTCCCCCATTTGAACCTCTTCATCTCATTCGGTGTTTTTCTTTTTTCTTTTTTTTTTGTGCTCCATCTCATTCGTTGATCACTTCATGAAAATGGCAAGTATTGACCTAAAGAACCATGCATTTCTCATTCTAGTTGCCATTCTTATTCTATGTGGGGACTTTGGTGCTTGCTATGCTAGAGAAAGCAAGTCTTGCAGGCGGAGCAGAGTTCATCTGTCCGGTGTAATGGATAAAGGCCGCAAGAAGTACATTACTCCACCAGCAGCTGCACCTAAGCCTATGCCACCAGCGCCCATGCCTGTGCCTGCCCCAGCTCCAAAGCCAAAGCCTAAGCCACCAGCGCCCATGCCTGTGCCTGCCCCGGCTCCAAAGCCTAAGCCTAAGCCACCAGCGCCTGCGCCCACGCCTATTCCTGCACCACCGGCCCCCGCACCTGCACCAAGTCCTAAGAACTCTACAACGTTCAACGTACAAGATTACGGTGCCAAAGGTGATGGACACACAGATGATACAAAGGTAATTCTGAGAAACCATCTGCTATCCATATAAGCTTTTAAGAAGAGCTGGGATTTTGCTTCACTTCCCTCAAGCATGTTGCATTGAAGAAGCTATGAGGAACTTGAATAGTGGAAAGGAGGATAGCAGCAACACTAGAACCCTCTGGTTCTGGTTGGGTTCTCAAAAAGAGGGAGATGAATTCACGATTAGCTTTTTGGACTTGTTTGACACCGCTTGGACTCATTTATCCGACTACAAGAATCTTAAATAAGTTTGATACTACTAATACCAGAGCAAGGGTTCAATGGGCTTAGCATCCAATATTTCTAGACAAAAACTACATATGAAATGCATCAGTGCAATAAGTAGACGTGCAGATGACTCTGAAAGTTGTATTTGATATCTTTCATAATCCAATTCAGAACTGGGACTAATCTGTCATTATGGCAGGCATTCCTTGCAGCATGGGCAGCCGCTTGTAAAGTTGAAGCATCAACAATTCTCGTCCCATCCGGATCCGTTTTTCTCCTCGGCCCAATTTCATTTGCAGGGCCAAATTGTAAACCTAAAATTATATTTCAGGTGAATGTCACGTCAACCATCTTACTGATTAATCTCAATATAGCAGAAATCAATTTTCTAAGCAGCCAGTCATCTTCCCACAGTTAGATGGCAAGATAATTGCTCCCACAAGCGCCACAGCTTGGGGATCAGGTCTCTTACAATGGATCCAATTCACTAAGCTTGCCGGGATAATTATAAAAGGGGAAGGCATTATTGATGGACAAGGCTCGGTTTGGTGGAACGATGCATCAGTCCATGCTGGGACAGATACATTACAAATCATCCCCTCCAAAGGCCAAAATAGAACCAATGAATTGAATAAAATGGTAAGCGCCCAGGTTTGACAGGCTCTCACATGAATGATATACTTCCAAACGCAATATAAATTACTGTAAAAACTAATGAAGTCTTTAACCATGACAAGCAGATTAGTGCGGAACTGAGTGAAATGCCAAAGACCAAGCCAACGGTAAATGCCTCAACACCTTCTATGTGGACCCGCTAACAGAGATTTCTGACCTCATGCATAACATATAACTTGTGCATGCAGGCACTCAGGTTCTATGGCAGCAGTGATGTGACAGTTACGGGCATTACTATACAAAATAGCCCTCATGTGCACCTCAAGTTTGACTCTTGTACAAATGTTCAGGTTTCCGATATTAGCGTCTCATCTCCTGGTGACAGCCCAAACACAGATGGTATCCACCTGCAGAATTCCCAGAATGTGCTCATTCACAGCTGCGACCTTGCTTGCGGTAATTCCTCGTTTAGAGCAGCATGTACTTTCACAGTGCAAGCACAATCAACAATCACTATGATACCACAAACAAGAGTTCAAAACATAGCCAATGCCAATAAATATGACAACTAGATAAGCATACTTCAAATTAAATATTAAGATGTTGCTGACATTGTGAATACTGTTAAAACTTTTTCCAGGTGATGATTGTATTTCCATACAAACTGGATGCTCGAACATATATATCCATGATATAAATTGTGGGCCAGGACATGGCATCAGCATCGGAGGGCTAGGCAAGGACAACACCAGAGCTTGTGTCTCAAATGTGACAGTGCGTAACACCGTAATGCGCAACACCTTGACTGGTGTGAGAATAAAGACATGGCAGGTAAAGGCACCCATATCCCAATACAAGGCTTCCTCGTTTTCATCTAACACCTTATATGCTCAGCTGCGCTTCTTCTTGAAGTTACAGGAGAGATCAAATTAAGTAATACCAAGTTGTGTAAATTAAAACCTTTGTAATGTGATCTAATCTTTGTTCCTGCAGGGAGGCTCAGGTTCAGTAAATAATATCATGTTCTCAGACATCCAAGTTTCCGAAGTTGAAACTCCAATTGTGATAGACCAATACTATTGCGATAAAGAAAAATGCAAGAATCAAACATCTGCTGTGGCGATTTCAGGCATTAATTATGCCAACATACAAGGAACTTACACAGTACAACCGGTATACTTTGCATGCAGCGACAACTCGCCTTGCACAGGGATATCTCTCGCAACCATACAGCTAAAGCCACAACAAACAAGCCACAATTTGTATGGCCCTTTCTGCTGGGAGACATATGGAGAGTTGAAAACCTCCACAGTCCCTCCGATTGACTGCCTGCAGAAAGGCAAACCATCGAATGGCCCTTCTGAGATTGATTCATGCTAGGTTTAGTGTAGGTAGCACCCGGAAATGCCCTAAAGGTTCCTGCGATTCTATAGGACTCAATAGGTTTAGTAAATAGCAAAGTCACTATACAATAATATAATACATGTGAATCAGTATTTGTTTTGCCTAATTCTTTAGCCTAGAAGCTTTTCATTGGGTTAGCACTTTGTTCAACATGGAATTTACGAACATTTGCACAACTACATTCCTTACTGAATCGCAGTACCAAACCACACACCAACTAAAGAAGATCCTTAAGCAATGATGGTACCAAGAAGATGACCACGAGCCAATCGTGGAAAGGAACTCTGCCCCAATCACCCAATTTAATGTAACTGATACCGAACCGACTATGCCGACACAGCCCAATTCTACTCTGTAATTAGATCACTTGTTAAATGGATATTACGGAAATTGTACGAGAATCGGCAAATTGGCTCACTTTAACCTCAAACCATAGAGAGAAGCAATCCCAGAACCAAGAAGCAACAGTGAGCCAGTAAATTCAGCAGCTAATGCTGTCGAACCAGAGGATAAAACCTGATTGACATGAACATGGCGGGCCATCAACTTCCCATTTTCTAGGAGGCGCCATAGGCGTCTCCATCATTTCAGGACGCACTGAAGAAAAATCAAATCGAAGCAAACCGAAGAAATCCTATGCTGCAACAAGAAAACGTTACGCTCTCCGACATTGTCCCAACCGACATTGTGACATCAATCGTTCCTAGATTAGATTAACCTCAGTGTCAATCGGAGCCTTCGTGAAGGAAATGTTTGACCGCTCGAAGGCGTGCGGCGACCGGAGATGCTCGTCGGACGGCTGAGGAGGAAGAGGACGGAGCAAGAACCGTGAGATTGAGGACGACGAGCAACGCTATGAATCGGAAACGAGCTTCTTAAGGCCGAACAGTTTACAGATGAGGACAGATAAATTCATTCGTCTAGGCGGCAAAACTAAAATATGGTCGTCCTTGAACAAACGAGTCAATTCTTTCAGAGAAAATGACACAAACAGTCCATAAATTTTGGCCCAATATATAATGTGGTTTTTGAATTTTTAAGTTGTTCAATGTAGTCTCTGAACTTTAACCCAGCGTGCAATGTGGTCCATAAACTTTTAATTTGTTCAATGTCATTCTTGAACTTTTGAGACATGTTCAATTTAGTCCATGAATAATATGAAAATGTTCAATGTAGTCCTTCCATTAATTCAAGTTCAGGGACTACATTGATCATTTTCATACAGTTCATGAACTATATTGAACATGTAGCAAAAGTCAAGGGATTATATTAAACAAATTAAAAATTTAGGGATCACATTGAACATTAGGCTTAAGTTCATAGACTACATTGAATAAATTAAAAGTTTAGGAATCAAATTACACATTGGGCTAAAATTCCGGGACTGTTTGTGTTATTATCCCATTCTTTCACGCTAATTGTGCGAATACCATATCATATCTCATGGCAATTCAAATTTTAAAGTTGGCAATCGAGGATTATTAATGTTTAGTTTTCCAAAGAAAAATGATACAAATGTTCTCTGAACAATGGTCTAATGTGCAATGTTATCTCTAAACTTTTAATTTGTTCAACGTATTCCCTGAATTACTCGTAAATGTTCAATCTAGTCCCTAAGTTACATGAAAATGTTTAATGCAGTCATTCCGTTTATTCAATTTAATGGAGTCTGACGATGTGGCTTCCAATCTGTCAAATTTGAACGGTGGACAATAAAAAAAAAAAGTTACACTCGAATTATTCACATACATCTTAATTCAGAATATAATAATCAAAGTTATTAAATAATGATGGAAATGTTAATGACTTAATTTTTTTTTCCTTTTCTTTAACAGATGAATAAAAAGATGGACACGTTGGTTCATTGTTTTTAAAAGTCCAACTCAGCATTTAATTATCCATGTCATCAGATAATGTTTGATTTGCCGTTGGAGCAATCGGAAGTACTATAGTGAATATTTATCAATAATTTGAGGATCACAATGAATAAATTAAAAGTTCAGGACAACATTAAACATTATGCAAAAGTTCCGGGGACCTCGACTAAAGTAAGAGATCGCACAAGTCTTAGGACTTCAAAATAAAAATGGTAAGAGAACAAAAGGGCGGGGAGAGAGAGAGAGAAAAAAAATCGATACATAGTCTCGTTGTCAATCCCTCAAATCCAAGAAACGACATCGTGTCTGTGTGAGGTCAAACGCGTCAGACAGCATTTCGTGCTCCTCCCACACTTTCAATACGAGCGGTCCAAATTGCACGACGATTAGAAAAACCAGAGAGCGAGCGAGCGAGCGAGCGACGAAGGAGAGAGAGAGAGAGAGAGAGAGAGAGCGAGAGAGTCTCGTCATTCGGAAACTGTGTCTTCTCCTCCTCCTCCTCCTCCTCCTTTCTCGGGAGAGATCGCTGCTCATCAACCAAGGTAAACCCAAGCCTCGAAATCTGTCGCTGCGCTTCTTGATCGGTCGATCGATCGAGCAAGATCCGATCCCGATCCGTTTCTCGTTCGACTTCCATCCCCATCTCGTTCGTCACCCGATTCGTTCGAAAGATTCTTCTCCGTTAGATCCGCACCAGTCGGCCGTCGATCTGATCGTAGACGCATCATCGAACCTGCTGTTGCTTCGATCGGCTTGACGATCTCCGTGTCGACGCGTTCGATAATGCTTTTCGCTTTCAGTTCGATTCTGTTCGGTTGCGATATGATGTGTCTCCGTAAGCTGTTGCGATCTCTCTTTGACGTGTGAAGTGTTTTGCTTGATGATTCGATAGCTAGAGCGAGGTGTAACCATGGGGCTCACGTTCACGAAGCTGTTCAGCCGGCTCTTCGCCAAGAAGGAGATGCGGATTCTGATGGTAGGTCTCGATGCGGCTGGTAAGACCACGATCCTTTACAAGCTCAAGCTCGGCGAGATCGTCACCACGATTCCGACCATCGGTGAGTCTGATCCGGCCCTAATTTCATGCGCAGCTTATAGATCTCAGCATTTGGTACATGTAGTTTTCCTTCGCTTTGTTCTTTTTTTTTTTTTATCTGTTGTTCGTGCACTGATCGTCTAATGCGTAGAGATTGCTGGCATGATGATAATGGATGTGGATTCAGTTGTGTGCCTCGTAATATGTTCAATTTTGGCTTGTGAAAAAACGGCGACAAGATGATAATGGTGTCGATTCTGTATGGAAGTTACAGCCTAATCGAAGCTATATGTTCTTTCCCCCCTAATTTAAGTATCTATTGGGAAGCAGTATGGTTGCATTAATGACGTAAGAATTGGATGTGCTGACTTCTTTGCCTATCAGATTTAATCAATTTTCATATGAATGATGCTCTGTGCAGGATTCAATGTCGAGACAGTTGAATACAAGAATATAAGTTTCACTGTGTGGGATGTTGGGGGCCAGGACAAGGTAAAATGTAGCTCCTTCTTGGCAAATACATACACATATGTGCATGACTCATCTTACTGCTCTTTATTTTAATGTTTCAAGATTGCAGCGAGGATTTAAGATTTATCTTGCTGGACATTGTGTTACGTTTATGTCAAACTATTTTGTCTTAGTCAGCAAAAGAGTAGAAACTTTACTTTTTTTACAATGATTGAAAGTACAAAGAAAAAGGTTGATAAATATGGGTTCTCTTGGATGGCTAGCAATTTCTCATGATTGTGTCAAAATATAAAGTTCAAGTTAGGGGTTAATTGATGCCCCCATCTATGGAATTAATTTTGTAGAGTAAACAGCTGTTGAAAGAAAAAATATTGTTGTATGTAATAAGGAAGGCACTGGCATTGAAACTTTTTAAAACCTGTCAAGATGATTACACGAGCTGATGCAGTTTGCTTTCATGCGTAGATCCGTCCATTGTGGAGGCACTACTTCCAAAACACACAGGGCTTGATTTTTGTTGTTGACAGCAATGATAGAGATCGAGTGGTGGAGGCAAGAGATGAACTGCATAGGATGTTGAATGAGGTAAACCCTATTTTTCTTCACCGTGCTTGCCATATTTGTCTCTTGGTTTGTGCGCTGCTAAAGTGTCTGTTCTGTGTCTCATTGCCTTCGTATGAGAGCTGTGTTGATTGAGTTTATTGTTTTCCCATCTTTACATGTTGCTAAAAAATTCTTCTACTGAAATCACTCTGGTGGCTTTTAAGTCCGCAGTACGTGCAATTTTTTGTTATCTGGTCTGTCCAAACATATTTGCAAATATGATTCCCAACAATTTTTAGCTGTAATGTTTGTTTATTAGCTAGCTAGCTGATTGTTTAGCGGAAGTTGAAAATGCAATCAACCTTCACCATATCTGTTTCCTCAAGCTCTGAAGTTGGACATTTTATGTTCCAGGATGAGCTGCGTGATGCTGTTCTGCTTGTTTTTGCCAACAAGCAAGATCTTCCTAACGCAATGAATGCTGCAGAAATAACTGATAAACTTGGTCTTCATTCTCTCCGTCAACGCCATTGGTGAGAGGGTTTTTGTATTTATGTGGTGCAGAGCTTCCTTTTTATTTATAAAAAATTTCACTTGTGAAAATAGGTATTTCTTATTGTTTCTAATCCTCAAACCATGGAAAGCTATGGAGGTAGAATGTGTTAGAGGTTTCACATTCATTTGGAGCATCAGGACGAATTCTCAAGGAGTGGAGTAATTTGATAAAGATTTCTTCATGTTGAGGGATTTCTTAACTCTCTCCTAAATCCTTTAATCAAGAGAAAATTGTGGAATTGATTGTCAAGTAGCTGAAGTGACTAGAAAGCAAAAGGTTCTAATTAGATCTAGCTTTTTACTAGTTCAGAATTCTCAGGATATCGTTGATGATACTGCAACTTCAAAGGATATGTCTTGGACTCCTGCTGATTTTTATGATGATTCATCTCAGGTACATCCAGAGCACATGTGCAACCTCTGGAGAAGGTCTCTATGAAGGTCTGGATTGGCTTTCCAACAACATTGCCAGCAAGGTATGCAGCAAATCACCATATGATTTGTTAGATACTCTATGGATTGTGGCCTTTATTGTTTCTCTAGGTCCTTCACTTGAATTAGATAACAGAATCAGGAAAAATTTGCATGAGTTAGTGTCTGAGTTCTTTTTGGGGAAAAAAATGCGCAGTCATCTTTTTCCCCCCTTTTTAAGGCCTTCTGGTCTCAGAGCTTGCTGCTGATTTGTTTTTTTTTTCATATTTCTTCAGGCTTGAGGCATTTGAGGATTTTGATTGGCAGACTTGCTGAAGTAATTTGATCCTGGGACAGAATTGTTTTTCCTTTGCTGAATGTCGTAATCGTACAATCATATGCTAGAATCCTTTTATGTTATGCAAGTTTGTGTAGTTCTTTTCTGAAGCTAATTACACCTAGATGTAATCTTGAGGTCACATCATGTCTGAACTCTCAGGATGAGTAATTTTCTTGTGCTGTTGGAGATAATCTTGAGGTCCATGAATAAAGTATGTAGATTTGGGTTCTTCTTCTACATATTATGGAGAAAGATTCCATAGTGGCTATGGTTCTATGATGTTTCAGGGATTGAGAATATCTGAACGATTGAAGTATTTTAGGTTGAGCAATTTGCGGACTTAGCAATCAATCTATCGAACGCAATAGGAAAGTCACGATGTCGGCTCTTTCTGCAAGCCGATTTTCTCTTTTCCTGATAAATGTTGGGTGGTTTTTTTGAATTTTTCACTAACCCAACCATAAGAATTACCTATGATTACTTCTTATACATGGGTTGTGTCGTGCTGCAACGCAACTTGCTCGGGGAATCGGAAGGTAGGATGGTGGAAACGTTATGCTTGCGTTTCTATAATGCGGGCAGAGGCATGTCCCGCCCGCGGTTCTCGTTCTTTTGGACCCGATCGATTGGAATTTGGTTCGACTGGCAACTCTGGAAGTTCTCGAATGATTCTAGTCCACTAGACCAGGCCAAGCTGCGATTCCGAATTTAGAAAACGGATTCCACGAATATCATGTACCATGGTTGCCCAAATATCCTCCTAAATCTCCTTCAAAGCCATCTCTTAGCAATTGGTTTTATCCTTGAGCAGCGAAGTAGGAATAGACGATGGTGTTGCCTCGCTTCTTATGCCGGTATCATTATCCTCTCGTATCAGAGGAAACGCAACTAAGGGTGTGTTTCGTGGAAAATTGACGACTTTGAAAATATTTTTTTAAAAATGAACCAATGAAAATAAAATTTCATGGTCTGCGAAAATGGCTAGACATAAATTGTCGTTCATAATGAAATATCTTTTGTTGACAAATTATTTCAAGCAATTTTATTTAGGAAAATGTTTTTCAAATCATTCATTTTCCGTGAAACAAAATTGAGCTTAAGCTATTTTTGATTCTCCCTCGTGGAATGCTACAACTGTCTGCCAATATATATCTGTTGGCAGACTCACCCGACTCTAGGCTTTTTCATCTGTCATAGTTATGGGGTTTATGTGTGAGCATGTGTCTCTCTAGCAGTACAAAAGTACCCTCCCTCATGATCTTCACAACCAATCGCTTGGGGTTTCCCCAATGGCCATACAAAGAGGAAGATGGGGAGTTCGATTCCCCACAATATGGGAGGGAGAGGGGGTTGTGGGTAGGGACGCATGAGTAGTAGAGTAGGGTTTCGAAACCTGCGCACAACACATAAGACACACAATAGCTTACAAAATAGAAATAGGATAGAATTAGACCAAAAAAAAATCTTGGCAACCATCTTGATTAACTTCCTTTCAAATCTCGACGCAATGAAGTTGCTAATACATTTCGTAACTAAGCTCAACATGGGCTCGTCCTACACTTGGCAGACTCGCCTGTCATTTTCGCTCTAGGCTTGGTCATCTGTCATAATTATGTCTCTCTAGCAGTACAAAAGTGCCCTCGGGATCTTTGCAACCAACCGCTTGGGAATTGCCCCAATGGCTATGGGAAGGGGAAGGTGGAGAGTTCGATTCTCTACCTTCTCGGAAGGGAAGGGGGCTTGGGGGTAGAGGCGCGTGAGAAAGTGAGCAGGATTTCGAAATTTGCGCATAGCATATAGGACACACAGAACACATATAGCTTATAAAATAGAAATAGGATAGAACCAAACCAATCAAACCAAAAAAAAATCTTCGCAACCACCATTATTAACTTCTTTTCAAATCTCGACGCAATGAAGGTGCTAATACCCTTCATAACTAAGCTCAACATGGGCTTGTCCTGCACTTGATGACACGTCGAGCTCCTCTCTTAACTGCACGTACATATCTACATGTGTTGGGTGGCGAGTGGAGCGCATGTGCACGTAGATAGGAGTGGCTCCAAATCGAGGTCATGTGGTCGTGCTTCATATGCCGCTGTCCCTAAATCGAATTATAGATTGATTCGACTCGTCGTAGAACCTTCGCAGCCACTAGTTCTCCGATCCTCACCTCACTTCAGCGCTAAGATCTTTTCTAACAACTTCCTAATCAAGATCTATTAGCAAAAGCAAAATCAGTTTCCGCCGGGAGACACGTTCAGCCCCTTTTCCCTTGGGACTTAATAGCGACTAAGGAAACCCCTATGCCACAGATGAGGTTTGGCCAATTTGGACTGCTGAATCAATGCCCCACTGATTAGTGGCTCAAATACCTTCCCATTCGTCAGAACTCTAAGTTCAATTCAGGTTGGCAGAGAAAAAGAAGGGTATGCAATCAATGGGTACTTTCTCTAACAAGAATCGGCTTAATCGCTGCTGCTTGCGCTCGCCTTTGCAGCCAAGCCAGAAGGTCAAACTCGATCGACTCGATTATCCAATTCGCATCTTCAGAGCACGCTCGGCGATTGACACATCTGGTTCATCGAACCGAAACGCGTTGTCGCCTTTGGGCAGGACGTACAGGGTTACCGCATCCTTTTCGGAGATTTCAGATCATTATCCTCACAAAAATCTTTAGTCAGCAGTTCACATTACCTTTGATTTAGGGAACTAGCCAGCTACTAGTACTCCAAAGAGTACCAAATGCACGTGGGACGGGAGAGATTGTTTCATGGCCACAACTATCACAATCTCGCCCGCCCCCCGAGAAGACTAATGCTTCCACTTAACTTTCTCCCGCAGCATGTCTAATTAAGGTTCTCGTGTACTTCCGCGTGTCTTAATCCCGATATTTTGCTTGATAGGAGTGGCTGATAGCTGTTTGTTTGTTTGGGGGGCTCATGTTAGGAACGGGTCGTGTTCCCGAGTGGGTTGTTCTTAGCCTAAACCGGTGATCAGATGATCTAAATAGTCTTCCACCTCTGTCTGTCTTCCCTTCTCTCCACACCAGCTTGTGGCTCCAGAACTTTTGAGCCTAACTCTGGTGTTTGTGATTCGTGATTAGACTCCTCGGATCTTTGATACGAATAGGGGGGGTCCCTACTTGTGTGGGCTTCCCTTTGCCCTTTTGCCACTCTAGATCTTGTGGCTAAAAATCATTAGCAGCCTTGACTCGTGCTAAACTGCTAAATGATCTTCTTTACCATCGAGTGCCGCGTTTTTGTTTTCGCATTGGTCCTGGGTTTATGTCGAAAGGGATGCGAATATCTTGTGGGTTTCGCCGTAATTGCTCGATCAGGGTGTGTCTGTATCGAGTAAAACTTCGTGATAAAGGAAAATACGTTTCAAAAAATCATTTTCCAGAAAAAATATTTTAAGCATACATATTTTTTTTTATTGTAAATGATTTTCTGTTGACTATTTGTGAAAGTCCAGAAAACTAATTTATGGAATTTTTTTTTACTAAAACAGACGCAACCTTAATGAGCAAATTATGGATGGGCAAAATGAATGTGTTAGACGGTGGGAGCTTAAGTTGAAATTAGGGAAAAGTGTCAAAAAAGTCCTAAACATTTTGCATTTGTGCCAATTTAGTCCTAAACCTTTTTTTGGTGCCAATTCAGTCCTAAACCTTTTGCATTGATATCAATTCAGTCCTAAACCTTCTTATAGTGTCAATTCAATCCTAAACTTTTTATATTTGTGCCAATTTAGTCATAAACCTTTTGTTTTTGTGCCAATTCAGTCATTCCGGCCAATTTTGTCCGGATTTTGCTGACGTGGACGCCGGCCGGCCGGTAGCCAGTCACTAGCACTGACGTGGACAACTTTAATAATATTTTAATACTTTTTTATTTTTTATTAATTTTTTTCTTTTTTTCTTATCTTTTCCCCCTCCCCTCTCTCCTTCCTCCAGCCGGTCGCTGGACCGGCGACCAACCGAAGGCCAGGGGCCGGCGAGGTTGACCTCGCCGGCCACTGGCGAGGGCGGCCTCAATCAACCGTGGCGAGGCTCGAGCCCTTGCCAGAGGCCACCGGCGAGGCTCGCTTTCACAATGGCCAGCGAGGGCGAGCCTCGCCAGTGGCCGGCGAGGTCAACCTAGTTGGCACCGGCCTCTGGCCTCTGGCCAGTCGCCGGTTCGGCAACCAGCTAGAGGAAGAAGGGAGGGGAGGGGGAAAAAAAAGAAAAGAAAAAAGAAAAAAATTAATAAAATCAAAAAAATATTAAAATATTATTAAAGTTGTCCACATCAGTACCGGTAACTGGCTAGCCGACGTCCACGTTAGCAAACTCCAGCCAAAATTGGCCAGAAGGAATGAATTGGCACAAAAACAAAAGGTTTAGGACTGAATTGGCACAAATATAAAAAGTTTAGGACTGAATTGGTACCATAAAAAGGTTTAGGACTGAATTGGTACCAATGCAAAAGGTTTAGAACTGAATTGGCATCAAAAAAAGGTTTATAACTAAATTGGCACCGATGCAAAAGGTTTAGAACTTTTTTTGGCACTTTTCCCGTTGGAATTATGCGATGATTTTAGGGTTTATAAGTTAATTTGTGATCTGGACATGTCACATGAAAAGAGGGTCTAATGATCAAAGACGAAAGGAACTATTTTCTAGTAAGTAGCCTTTGAGGCTTGGTTTGTTTTCTGAAAAATCATCAATTTATAAATTATTTTATTAACTTTAGTCATCGTTATCCCTTATAAAAATGAGTCAATAACAACAATTCATGCCTAAACATGTTTGTTGATGATAAGAATATTTTTACAACATCTCTTTTCCTAAGAGATATAAATGATTAAAAATAAGAAAATCTTTTCTAAATCATTGATTTTTCGCGAAACAAATGGAGTTAAAACTATGAAGTATATTTTCAGTGACACGTCATTATTTTGAGGGAGGTGTATCGAATCGGTTTGCCTCTTCTAAGTCTGGAGACTCCATATCCCATGCAACCAATGTGGAATATGTAAAATGACTCATGTTTAATTTAGTGCCAATCTATTTTAGCTGCCCTAATGAGCAACTTAATTAGGGAGTAAAATATCAGATTAGGAAGAACGAGATCTAAAAGGTGCTAACATAAGGAAGCGATTTATCTTGGTCACTAATTTGAAATCACTAATCTTCGTGTAATGAACTACCTCTAAAACATCTTATTCACATTTGACATCTTCTTGTAGGCTCATCAAATTTAGAAGCAATTTCCATAGAGAATTCATGTGTTCATGGAGTAGGAGATTATTCATGTACAGTTTTCAGGTACTTATATTTTCTCCCTTTGCTTTCCCTTTCTATATATCATTTCAAAGATTTTATAATTGAAGATACCATTGTCTCAAGAGTTCACAAAAATGGAAAATGCGGTCCAGGCTATTCGTTTATCGAACTGGAGTAATTGCGAAGAAAGTTAGCAATTGATCGATGATCCAAGTTGAGCGCCTCTTCAGAATGAACCTAAGTTAATGAAAAAAACTTAGGGCGTAATTGGAGTCATTTTTTCTTCTTATACAATTATCGGTCTCTAGAGATATATTGATATGAAGAAGACGAAAATTGTTTCAAGCACCGACAAAACCGGAAAACCCAATCACTTAAACTAATTGCAATTCAAAATCCACCTATTAAAGCAAAATTATTAGTTGTAGGCTCTTAAATTGAACATAACAGAATACAACTTAGATAAATGTCATCAGATTTTGTATCCAGGTGATTGGAATGGCGAATCTTCATGGGCTTTTTCAAACTTCAAGGGCCTATCTTTTCCTCACTTGCTGTTCTTCATGGCCTGCTCTTCTCTATGGAATTTGATTCGCAAGGTAAACTCCTATTCGGATAATTCTTGCTTTGTTGTCGGTGTTGTTTTGATTTTGCTGAGAATTAAGAGCGCCATTAGAGGCAGACTAACGTAAGAAACTATCTTGAATTTACGAAAAAACATTAGGTTTGTGAAGCAACTGGGGCATCAATGGATTAATTCGGTTAACGATTCGAACTTAGACTCGAACAATCGAGAACGTCGATGTTACTCGCCCGTTAAGTCATTGGACCAACACTGAAATTCTGTTACCCTAAAGTTTTCTCCTTCTTTTCTAAGATCTCGGATGCGCTTTTAATGCCGCTTAATGGTTTCCTCAAACCATATGCCAGATAAATCACTTCCATTTGGTATTTCGGAAGACGATATCCGTCACTCAATCTCGAACGAGCTCGAACTCGACTCGTGCATGCGTCTAGGACAATAGATTTTTAAGTTTCGGATACATCTTATATATATTTCATTTACGAAACTATTAGACAACAAAGATATATGTGTGTACAAATTGGCAACCGAGAGAGTGCATGTGAGTCCACGCTCTTGCATGCATAAGTTGTTACGCGCAGCATAGCCCCTTAAATGGTCAACCTTTTTACCGTGGTTCGTTCGTATCTCGTGCACGGCGTGGATGCTCCAATGCGTCATAAGCTTACCAAGGTGACGAAATGATGTTATTTCTTTACACTAAAGTACGACCATCGTGGCATATTACAAATGTACACACGTCTAATACCTATACACTACTTAATCTAAACGTACAAAATAGAAAGAAGAGGAAATATCCCACGCAACGCTCTATAAAAACCCCAACCCTAGCAACATTTTCTCCACTAAAACTCCTTCATCGCTTCCTTTGTCCTCCAAAAATCTCTCTGTTTCTCTGTCTACACCCGAGAGAAACAGCAAACATGGACAAGAAACCGTGCGACGGCAGTGGTAAGTCCCAAGATGTGGAGGTGAGAAAAGGGCCGTGGACGATGGAGGAGGATCTCATCCTCATCAACTACATAGCGAATCACGGCGAAGGTGTTTGGAACTCCCTAGCCAAAGCTGCCGGTAAACTACATGTTCTTTTCGATGTGGCTGATTAGCTCCCTTTCGCGCATCTTCTAAGTCGCTTTAGTGTTTCTTGAAATCACTGAAAAGCGTTAAGCGCGAGGCATGTGACAAGTCGTGGGGTACGTGTTTGTGTGTTGATAATAAACCGATGTGATGGGTTTGTGTTAGTAGGTCTAAAGCGTACCGGGAAGAGTTGTCGGCTCCGGTGGCTGAACTATCTGCGACCCGACGTCCGGAGAGGCAACATCACTCCTGAGGAACAGCTCTTGATCATGGAACTGCATGCTAAGTGGGGAAACAGGTGAGATACACATAGTCACAGCTTTCGTTACATAGGTTCTACACTATAGTACCCAATCAATCAAATGAAAACAAGTTTCTGTGGAATCACAAAAACTAAGCTCTCGACTTCAATGTTTGAGTGACAAAGAACATCCTTCATAACATCCTCTAACTCTTCTTAATCTCTTTCCTTCTATATATAATGGGACTAAGGAGGACACCTTCCTAAGAGCCCTTACATGTACATAAGACTTGGAACTTCATCAAACACACACACGAGCGAGAGGTAGAGGCTCACGATCCAAAGAAGAATTCTTGGCCACAAGAAATATTTCAACACATGGGCTTATGGGTTTCATGGCTAGGAAATTTTCCAGCAAAATTCTTCCCTAGGATTTCATGGCCATCAGATTAGATCCCACGTTCTGTTGAGTTTTCTGAACTTGCTGAAATTCCAACATTTAAAGGCAATGAGTCATCTTAGGCATGGCCGAAATAATAGGCTCCAATCTCTTTGTTCCCTGCTCTGTTCCTTTTGCCAATCCATTCCTCTTTTGTTTTATTCGAAGAAGATGCATGTCATATTCTTGGCCGTGCTGATTCTCCTATATTGCCCTTTTCCTCCAATATTGCAGTACGGAGACATGCATCCAACTATTTTTCTTCCTAGAAACGAAATCTTGGTCCGCGAAAATTTTGTTTATCACCTTTGCTCTCTTGGCACTAAACTAATTTCACAGAATATGAAGTATATGTATAGATTTACAGAAGAACAAAAACACTTCTTTCGAGCCGGTTGCTTTTCACGGGATTATACCTAAGAGGCCCGTGAGGATAATATACACCATAGGCTCTCTCAAATTCTTGATTGCTAAAAGATTAGAGTAATTATATAAAGAAATTTGCTATATACTCTTCTTTTCCTTAGATGCAAGATTCTCATGTACCTAATTCTTTGGAAGACGTAGCTGTCATTGATAAGAGGGCATGTCATGCACCCCAGCCATACAGTTTTCACAATAAAGAGTTTCTAACTTTGGCTGAACCACTTTTAGTTAGTCACATGTTAATTCTCTCTTTTGGGATTGGTTGAAGTTGACATAAACCCTACCCTTATACCTCTTTTTGATATTGTTGGGCCCCTCATACCTAAAACACCCGCGCAGAGAGAAGGTGGTCTTTCTCTTTTCTATTCATCACGTGGTCAAAATGTCAAATGCCAATTCACTCTCTCTATCTGAAACTGAATGATGAGTAAAACCTACGTTTCCATACATTTGTACGTGTGTTTTTTCACTGCATTAAACCTCAGAAAGTTGTCACGGCTCGGGACAATTGCATTTGATGAAGTCTATATTAATCAAGAGATCGATACAGAATACCGGTTACAAATACTACAGTACTGTCATATCAATACAACAGACTCACCAGACAAACCTTTATGTACTGTGTATATAGTCAGTGGTCCGGTCTCTCCTTCAAGTGAACATTGTACAGGAGAGAAGCATATTCATTTTTACTAAGTCTTGTTACACTATAACGAATTCCGCATGTATCGGTTCCGTGTAATACATATGTGGGAGTGAGAAAGCATACTCTCAAGATATCTGTACCCTTTATTAAAGAAGTGATGGCGGTCATTGCTCATCAGTTTTGATCATAAGATTCATCTTATTGTCCTTTGTCGAGCAGTTCAGTTTCTTTATCGTCGAAAGAATTGTTACTGTGATTGGTGATCACTCACTTTCTCCTTGACAAGCGTCTCATATTGTTTCTCCACTGTCTCCTCCTTCATTCATCAAGCATTCGCTCTTTTCTATTAAATTTTTTTCTTGGAAGTGTACGGATCGAGATGTGTGTGTTTTAACTCGAATGTTATAATGTTGCACCAGCTTCGAATAATAAGCGATGGCATTTAACTTAGTTTCTGTGAAGATGAGACTTGTCACTGTTATGGATATTTGATTATTTTCAGTTCATTACCCTTTCTTTGATTCCACTCAAAATTTTAGTTATAGACATGTAGTCAGTAGGAGTTCAGTTTGCAGCAGTTTCTTGTTGGCTCTTAGTGCCAGACGCCCGTGCTCACCGCCAAATGCAGGTGGTCAAAAATTGCAAAGCATCTTCCCGGAAGGACTGACAATGAAATAAAGAACTTCTGGAGGACTAGAATCCAAAAGCATATCAAACAAGCAGAGGCTTTCTCTGGTCAGAGCTCCGAGATGAATGATCAAGCAAGCACAAGCCAAATGTCCAGCATGCCAGAGCCGATGGAGACCTACGACTCGTCGCCATCATTCCAAGGCAACAACAACATGGAGGCTTTCCCGGCGAACTTGTCGGTCGAGTCGAATGAAGCCTACTGGAGCATGGACGATCTCTGGTCTATGCAGTTGCTTAGCGGGGATTGATCGCGGGCGACATACGATGCAACAGCCGAAATGGGTCGACTACAATAATAGTTAGGTTTGTTTACATAAGAAGGACACTAGCTTTTATCTCATATATATATCTATCTACATGCATGTGCTTAATTTAGAAGCTATCTACAAATATGTGCATGAGTTGTAAACGAAACTGCCATCTGTAGTTTGCATCACCGCCTATGTAATGACTGAAATAATGAAGAGAGTATTTGGCTTATCGCTCGTGTCTCTCTGAACCAGGTGAAGAGAAGCTAGCCACAAAAGAAGAAAAACAAAAGGATGAGGTAATCTAACTTAAACGATAACTGATGCTGGCCGCTTGGAAAGGTGTATGTAATATCTGAGTTCAGTTATTAACTGGATGTATAAGCAGAAACTTCACCGAACCCTGATGTTGAAGCTTACAATGAGAGAGAGAGAGAGAGAGAGAGAGAGAGAGAGAGAGAGAGAGAGAGAGAGAGAGAGAGAGAGAGAGAGTTTGGTGGGAAGAACTATTCTGTATTCTATAATAAGGACAGTTAACAAGTGGATTTTATACATTCATCGGCATAGACAATTTCCTCTTCGTTCGTGTAAACGCTCGGATAGAACCAGTACGCGCCCACTCCCACGCGATGACCCGCACATGAATCATTGACCCGTCGTCCATGAGCAGCTAAGCAAACGTTAAAAGCTGCCGAACCAGAGCTGCGGAGAGGTGACACGTGGCGGGTCAATCTGGCCAGTTTTGGCAAGTCCTATCGCTTGCTTTTGACGAGGGGCGATCCATTTCTGTGCATGGTCATGCGAATGCGAGGGCCGACGTGAACCTAATTCTTGAGTGGCCGAACGGGAAGGGCTTCACATGCATGGGTGTTGTTCGCGTCAACCTGGAAACCCAGAACATGTTACCACATGCGACATGGCGACTTTAGACGATCCACCCATATCGATGATGATATAAATCATCTCTCCTTAGTTTTTGCAGCGAAATACATCAGAACAACAGATCGAAATGCTAAATTTTACCAAGACCTATGTATAAGAATATACTATATGATGCTTATAACTGTGTGCTTGTTCGGATAAGATCATCATGTCGACCTCTTGGCCTTAGTTGTTCCCTTTAGTCGCAAGGAAAGCACTCGAACTCTCGTGCCGCTCTTTCATTTCTAATTCGATCACATGTTTTGAGTGCGAGAAATCACCATGAACGCAAAACGAGTGAGCGACATGTGATTTTTATAAAGACAAACACATGGCAGGTCGGCCACTGACTTCGAGTGCAATAGAGAAGGAGAAGAAGAAGAAGTTATCGATGCCCGACTGTTATTATCACGATCATAACACTGGAAAATTACCAAAACAAATTCCTAAACATATTGCATTTGTACAAATTCAGTCCTAAATCTTTCAATTGTACCAATTTAGTCTTAAACATTTTCATGGTTTACCAATTGAATCCATCCAGCTAATTTTGGTCGGCCATCGCTAACGTGGATACCGACTGTCCTTTTTTTTACCCTTTTTTTTTGGGTTGAGGGCCGGCAAGGGTCGCTGACCAACCCTCACCGACCACAGGTGAGGGCCGCAATGTCCTCACCTGTTTTGGGCATCGCGGCCTCACCCCTCACCAGATTTGGGCAAGGGGCCACGCACCCTCGCTTTGGCTGACGAGAGTTGCTAGCCCTTAGTAAAAAAAAAAACATCAAAGAAAAGAGAAGAACCAAACATAATTATAAAAATTTAAAATATTATTAAAAAATATTTATGTCAGTGCCGGCTGTGTTATGTAGGATGCAGGATAGTCGACATCCATGTCAGCGATTTTCGATCAAAATTGGCTAAATGTATTCAATTGGCAAAATGTGAAAAAGTTGAGGACTCAGCTGATACCATTAAGGCTGCGTTTGGTAGACCGAATAAAACTCTGGACCGGTGTTTGGAGGGACACGAAATCTGGATATGACCGGATATAGCCCGGATATAGTCCGGATCAAAAAATCCCACCTAGGGGGTGGGATAAACCTGGATAAGATATGTAAAATTTGAAAATTTGATAAAATAAAAAAATAAATCAAGCCTTCTTGCCCCACACTTCCTGATTCCTCTTCCTCTCTTTTGCCTAGCACCACCATCGTCAGATTCCAATGGCCACCGCAACAATGAGGAGGGGGCGGCGGCTTCCACTAAAATAATTAGGTCGTGTCTCAATCGATCGGAAGAACTGCGGGCATTGTGTAAAAATGCGGCAAATCCTTAGCTTTTTCTTGCAATTGCTTGTTGTCGCATTGATCCGGGGGAAGACTGTGCTGTGCGTTTCACATTCTCCCTTTTTTTTGTCTCTATAGCAAAATTTGTCTGGCGATTGATTGCCCTTCTTTGCTTAATCTTGGAATCGCAATGCTAGTATGGTTAACGTCATTTGATTTAGTCACGAGAATGGGGGATGGCATTCTTTTGAATTACTGATTCGTTGACTCGCACACACAGATCATTTTACTGGAAAGTGTTAAACGTCTTCAGCCTCCAGAAAAATTATGTCGCTCAACTCCATCCTAGCAGGGAACTGCGTGATCCCGATTAGAGCCCGGCGCCTCCTCTGCGAAGAAGATGATCCGACGAATGCAATAGCCATGGCAACGGAGCTCCTTAACCGTGTCACTTGTTGGAGTTGGCGAATACCCTTGTTTCTCACACCGGGTACGCCCACGTGAGCTTAGGGAAACCGAAGTGTTATTCGACGACATGTGACCCCTGCGTGTGGAATGCGGGGGTTCAGGGGCAGCGCGGGCAGCGCCCCCGAAACCTCAACGGGTTTGGGCTTTTATTTAAGCCGGCCCGTATGGTGCGAGATTAAGAGATTTCGTATAGGTTTAGATTTTGGGCCCGTTTGGGGCACATATATATTTTGCTCGCTTTTCTGATCATTGTAACGAGTTGAGTGGCTGTAAACCGAAAATATAGTGAAATCTCTTTGCAGGACGTAGCCCTATTCGAGGGTGAACCTGGGTAAATTCGTACATCGTCTATTTTCTCTTATTTCTGCGTGATCGTTCTGTTTCGGTTCTCGATACGTCCCTTCATCACTCGGAGCGAGTTGGATCGGAGAAGCTGCTTGCCGGCGAGCCAGATCTGCGTGCCGTCTCGGTGGGCCCCACGACACCTTGAGGAACTTTGCCCGCTAGTCTCTGATGCACGAATCCCACTCTCGTTTGTATTGCCTCCATAGTTGGATGATGCAATCGAGATTCGGCGTGATCCTTGTATTAGTTCTTTTGGAATTGATGAGAGGGGTAGGTATTGAAGGTGAACAACTTGCGTAGGAGAGGGAAGAGGGAGAGATCGTGTTTGATTAAAGAAGGAGAGGATGGATTCTCCGCGGAAGAGGAAGGCATCGACGGCCGCGGACATGGTGGGACTGGCGGAGAACTTGAACTCGGGGGCTGTGTCTCGAAGCGGCGAAATCCGTCGCGTCTCGAAACGACTTCCATGGTATTTTTTTTTTATAAAATTTTGATCCTGCAAATCATATACTCATTTGGATAATATTTATTTGAATCCATGCTATATCCCGACGTCAATAAACATTGGATGGGATATCTAAAATCCTATCGTATCCTTAATTATCCTATCCGACATTATCCTATCTAGCAAAAATGTCCGGACAACCAAACGCAGCCTAAAAGATTTAGAGCTGAATTGGCACAAGCATAACAGGTATGATACGTTTTTCGGTAATTGTCCCCAATCATAACCGGTACCTTTTTTTTCTTTTTTTTCCTCTTACATTATTAAAGACACCGAGAAACAAAACTCAGTTGGTGAAAATCTAAATAGGAATTCTATAACGTACACGGATGGGGGTTAAAAAATACTTGCACTATTATCACGTGGGAACTCAATAGATGTCTAAGAATTGGAGTGGTAGCTAGCTAGCTTGACACATTTGATGGGGGTGTGGAGCGGGTACCCGAGGACTTCTTTGGTACTTTTGAACGATGTATAGTGTATGTGTATTAACGAACGTAATAGCCGAGTAGAGGTGATCATTGAGCCGGCCCGATCGACGCCGGCCCCGAAGGTTCGGGTCTATATTAATGCCCGAGCCGGCCCGTGATATGAATTTTACATAAAAGTGATCGGGCCGGGCCACGTCAAAGTTGGGCGGGCCGAGCTTTTTCAAGTGAATATGTTGCCCAAGACCGCCCGTCGGGCATCTTTGCGGCTGGGTCCTTTCATGGCATCGCAAGTTCTAACTAGCTTGCCGCGGCGGCGGTTGCGTAACCACCGACTACGTTGAAAAGGAGAGTTGTAATGCCTGCACGGCGGTGGGACTGCTTCGACGGGATCAACACTTCCCGGAGGTCTCAAAAAGAGTTTCCACAGCAAATTAACGTCCTTGAACCGACCACCCCCCATTCTAGAGTGAATTTGTAATTCCAGTCTTGAAACCGTTCGATTGCTAAAGTTCTTACACGACGGGCGACCGACATGTCCCGCTCGAAGAAATTCTTGATCGAGCCGCCGATCGCGATAAATGAGTTTGCAACACGGGGGCGAATATACGAACTCCTTACGTAACGAACTTGTCGGTACCCGCATACCCACGATCAATGGGCTATTTTTACTTGGCGTGTATAATTGAAAGGCCTTTTCGTCTCTAAATTAAGGGAATTGATGCTAGTATGAACATTTGCTTGACCTATCCAATTTTGAATGGTGGTAGAAATTACAATTTCAGGGAAAATTTTAAAAATGAAGAAGAGAGAAACCAGCATTGATTTATCTTTCTTCCTTTTCTTTATCAAGGGAAAAGGTTCCCTCAAATAGAAAATATCTATCTGTTAAGCAAAAATATTAATTGACAATCAGAAGTCCTAAAACTTATCATGATTATATGCGTGAATCTTAAAATTTGATTTCATACATTTTGTCCGCTCGAGTCTTTCCGTTAGGTTTAAACGGACGGAAAAAAGACACATAATCTATAATAAAAAGGGGCACATGACACTAACATTGATTGAACTTGCAAGTTTTTAAGGATTTACATGCATGAAATAAAAGTTTTAGGACTCGAGCGCATCATCCTGATAAGTTTTAGAATTTTCGCTGTAATTAACACACAAAGGAAAGGATGCCAAAAAATATCTGGGGAAGCATAAGTTGCTTAACAGGAAGAAAACATGGAGAATTGAGACATTTTCTAGGGTCTCAAAAAGGAAAAAAAAAATGCAGGAATTTTACAATAATTCTACAAGCAAGAATATAAATAGCAAAATCCGACCTTATCTGAAGAAATATTTACTTACCACACAAAAAAAAATAATTGAAGAGGATAAACCTCACGGAAATTTATTTAATTATTTGTGGTGGAGATATGAGTAGTACTCATCCAAAATAATTTCTTTTTATTATGAGCAAATATAAATTAGAAAATCGAGTTATCCACAACCCTTGGCTCTGACATTTTATCTTCTTCCTATCCTCCCATCCAAGCTCATCCTTCATCGATCGTCAGGGTCATCTCCACCTTATCCATAATAGACAACTGGCAATTAATAATACAGACAAAAAAAAATTAGCAATTAATAATAAAAATATTTAACACCACAATATAAACAACTTCTTTTTTTTTTTTATGAATACACTTAAAAATAGAAAAGTGGCCTAAAACCCATGAGAATGGTAGATTTTGAGGCCGGTGGCAAACGGGTTTCCTATTTGGATACCGCACAGCACTCGGGAATGAACTTTTCCAAACGATGTCATGGAGCGCGGTAACTCCTTCCGGATTAAAAATTACGGGTCTTTTGTCGAACGCTGCGTGAATTCTGGGTTTGGGCCCTGCCTTTTGATTTTCCACCTTGAAAATGCTCAAGAAAGCCCTAAGCGACAATGTCCGTCTCACAGGTAGCATCATTTCGATTTACCTAAACAATATAAATTCTCATAAGTTTTCGATAGGGATATAACTATTCGTATTCGAATCGCGGTGATATGCCATGCTATACATCTCTTTATCTGCATCTACTTACCATCATTGTATGCAAAAGAATAACACTAACGACTTATAAATTATTTGTTATGTTGTTTACTTTACATGAATCTTCCTTTTCTGGCAAAATTATAAAGGCAATTCTGAGTTCATGCCATGTATTGGTGATACGGACTAAAATAGTTAGAAATATTTAACTATTTTTGATGTTTCATGATGTAACGAAATTTTATTTGTAATCAACAACGTTTTCCTACTATTGAGAGAAAATAACAAAATCTTCCGAGGAACACAAAAAAAAGAAATGTTGGGAATTTTCAAATATCAATAATTTCCAATATTGAAACTCAATTAAAAGCAAAAATTGCATCGCATCGAACGACACAAATCTTAATTCGAAGCGAAAATATATATAAAAAAAAAAAAAACTAACTAGTTATCTCGGCCGCCCGGCGAAATGTCCGCCGGAGCACGGCGGTCCGAAAGGGCGGTGCCATAAATGCACATATTCCCATCCCTTTCAGTTTACGCTTCATATTCATCACGTTATTTCATCCGACGATAATGATTTTTGGGGGAAAATGGAAAAATAATTGAACTTCCGCGTCTCCTCTTCCTTCTTCTTCTTCTTCTCGGGGAGTGTGTGCTGACCAAAGCAAAGCCTCTCTCTCTCTCTCTCTTCTGCGAGAGTTGAAGAAGATGGGAAGAGCGTTCGTGTACGTGATACTCGGGGGAGGCGTCGCCGCCGGCTACGCCGCCCTCGAATTCGCCGACCGCGGCGTCCCCCCCGGCGAGCTCTGCATCATCTCCGAGGAGCCGGTACGATCTCTCCCTCTCCATGATGACGACGACGATGATGATGCCGTGTTGCTTCGTTTCTCCGTTAGCAGCCGCCGCCGTTTGTTTCCGTTTTTTTTTTTTTTTTTTTGGTTCTTCCTTCCTTAGTTACCTCGAGGGAATTGTGATTCGCTTTGCTTGGTGCTCGCGTTCCCGAAAACCTGTCGTCAGGCGTTCCGATACGTCTCTGCTCTGTTTGGCGGCTCGTGGCTATTGGCAGGTCCCGCTTTCGCGATCGCTTCGCGTTTTCTGTTCGTGGGTCGTTCGCTGCTTGTCGCTTGGTGCTGTGTTGGCTTAGCTCGAAATTTGAGTCAGGAGTCGCTTCTTATACTCTGGATTCGGTTGAATTCGGGGGATCTCACTTGTTTGTCGAATTGCGTTGGCTGGAAACCAGCATCGTTTGTTCGTGATGACTTGCTGATTGGCTTTGACTAGTGGGAGGTTTTTGTCTGATTACTGTTATTGAAGAGATAGTTGACGTTTGAACCATTTCGTGTCGCCCCTTCATTTATGTGTTTTACGGCGTTTGAATCCCCTTCTCAACGTTAAGTACATTCAGATCCTTGTTTGTAGGATTCAATTGGTAACGGTTCGAATTAGCATCTCTTGTCTGGTTCAGCTCGACTGTTATGATGATTGAAAGAGGCTTTGCAGTTTAACATGTAGCATTACCGGCATCTTCAAGTTTATCTATTAATGGGCTGGCCTAATGCAAGAATGGATTTTAATTGAAAATCTGAGTACTTGTCGGTACTCTGTACGTTAATGTCCTTCATCCCCATTGCAAAAATTGTTTGGGTCAAGTGGTGTGCCTTTGCGGGTGTCTGTTTGATACTTCTCTATCCTTTCCTTTGGAATTGTATCACAGTTTCCTTACTCTTCTTTCCAGGTTGCGCCATATGAGAGACCTGCATTAAGCAAAGGCTATTTGTTACCAGAAGGTGTAGTTTCTGTCCTTCCTGAACTACTGGAGCGTTTACTGTACCTTTGAATCATCATGTTTGGACATTACTTAGATTCGTAATACTGATTGGGATTAATCAATGAAAGTCAATGGGTGAACTTGTGAACTATGAAAGGTCTCTGATAATGAATGCAAATTACTCATTCGTCTAGTCCTACTTTTGTAGTTGAGCCCTCATTTGAAATGCGTCTTTTCCATGCCAAAATCTTCCTTTCCAACCTTGCACTGTTCCGGTGCTTTACATCAACAGCTGGAAATTTGTGTGGTAGACCATATACAACTACCATAAGGGTGATACTACTAATATTTAGAGAGAAGTCAACTGTATCGGTAAAGTGATTACAGATCAATCATAGCAAAGTGGTACAGTGATGCTAAATTTTGGGCTGCAATTTAGCCACTACTTGTAGGAAAAACCGAAAAAAGAAGGTCGTTCTTGCTGGGTATCCTTTTCCTTTGATTCCTCTTTGTTTCTTGATTGGGTTTGTTTACATTTCCTATGGACATTGTTTGATATAACTTAGGTGCAGACCTACTTGACTCTAACATAGAGGAAGCCATCCGCACCCCACCCATCTTAGTGGTGGTCTTGATTTCATTAATCTCTGACGCTTGTTGTGACATGCAGCTCCTGCACGGCTTCCATCATTCCACACTTGTGTTGGTGCAAATGAAGAAAGACTAACTCCGAAGTGGTACAAAGAACGCGGTAAGGTTTTCATACTGTGTGGTCCTTTCAGTTCTGCAAAAGTCAGCATTTCCTTTTTCATGCGGAACAGATATATGTTCAAGTCTAATTCGTGTTTCTCATTTTTTCCATAGTCTTTAGAGGCCTTCTTTCTCATTTAATGAACTTCTGGAACTTCTGTTCCCAGGAATTGAGTTGGTGCTTGGAACTCGTGTTAAGTCTACTGATGTGAGGCGGAAGACACTATTGACAGCTACTGGAGAGACAATAAGCTATAAATTTCTTATCATTGCAACAGGTGCACGGGTACTGAAACTATTTTTTCAGCGGTTTAAACATCTTCTCTTGCATAGTTGATGATTGGGTTTTGTCTACCATGGTTAAAAGCATAGAAAAGAGATTATAACACAGAGCTTGAGTTTTGTGATCAAGCAATGTTACACTTGTCCGTTTAACTGGCATTGCCTTTGGCCATTTTCAAGGGAAAGTCTCGTGCTATGAGATATAGCTTCAGATTTCAGGGGCTAGTTTTTCCCATTGGCCGGATTTGGTGTTGGAGGGTCTTGATTAGAAAATTTGTGAAAGTACTGGGACGTGATTAGACAAATTATAAGTACATGGACTTATTAGAAAAAAACGTTTAGATACAAGGACGAAAAGTAAAATCTTTTATATTTTCTTGCGTTAACAGTTTTCTGTATGTTGATGTAGGCTCTACAGCTTGAAGAATTTGGAGTGAATGGATCAGATGCTGAAAACGTATGCTGTCTACGGAATTTAGCTGATGCAAATAGAATTGTTGATGTGATGCAATCATGTAGAGGTGGCAATGCTGTCGTCATTGGTGGTGGTTACATAGGAATGGAATGTGCAGCATCACTTGTGATCAACAAAATAAACGTAACAATGGTTTTTCCTGAAGCACAATGCAGTAAGTATTTTAAGAGCTCGAAATAGTTGTTTGGCAGAACAGTCACATGTTGAGTGGACGTATGAGTTGTGCATTTTCTACACTTGTCTAATTTAAGAGGCTATTCTTTAGCAATCACAGCAGGGGCATGTCGATCATATGAAATCTGAATAGGCAATCACAGCATGGCTTGCTGACGACAAAAGTATCTAAGAAACTTTGCATGATCTTAGTGTTCCCTCATCACCATTTTCTACTTTTCATTAGACTAGATACTCTCCTGAAAGTCTTATCAATTCGTATTTCTTGCAGTGGCCCGCTTATTTACACCAAAAATTGCAAGTTTCTATGAGGACTATTACGTGTCCAAAGGAGTGAAGTTCGTTAAAGGAACTGTACTGTCATCATTTGACTTTGATTCTAATGGAAAGGTGACCCTTTTACTCCTCTCTTCTCGTCTTACAGATAAGAAGTCTTGACTTGGCCTCTGTAATTGCTATCCTCTGGCCACTTACACGAGTGTAGTCTACTTGTTGAGCAGGTCACCGCTGTCATTCTTAGGGATGGTAGTCGGCTACCTGCAGACATGGTTGTGGTTGGGATTGGAATTCGTCCAAACACGAGCCTGTTTGAAGGACAGCTCACATTGGAGAAGGGTGGTATCAAAGTCAATGGACGGCTGCAATCAAGCAACAGCTCAGTGTATGCTGTTGGAGATGTTGCCACATTTCCAGTCAAATTATTTGGGGAAACTCGTAGGCTTGAGCATGTTGATTCGGCACGAATATCAGCACGACATGCCGTTGCTGCAATAATGGACCCAGAAAAGACGGGGGAATATGATTACCTCCCATTCTTCTATTCTAGAGTCTTTACATTATCGTGGCAGTTCTACGGGGACAATGCAGGGGAAGTCATCCATTTCGGTGATTTCTCAGGAAGTAAATTTGGTGCATACTGGGTAAGCAAAGGCCACCTAGTGGGTTCGTTTCTCGAAGGTGGCACCAAGGAAGATTACGAGGCCATAGCCAAGGCCACCAGGCTCAAGCCTGTGATCGTTGACTTGGCCATGCTGGAAACTCAGGGCTTGGGATTTTCACTAGCTGTTAGTCAAAAACCATCCGCTTTGCCTCCTGTTGAAATTAGCATTTCCACTTCCACTGTCGTTTTGGAGAAACCAGTCTACGTTTGGCATGCAACAGCCGGTGTGGTGGTGGCCGCATCGGTCGCTGCGTTTGCCTACTGGTATGGGAGGAGACGCCGAAGGTGGTGAGGACCTAATTTGTCATCTCTGTTCTTCCAAGTTGCTCGCAAATCGATACCCCTGTTGTAGCATTCGATAGATTACGATAATTCAATTTACTTGATGAGGTGCGATCATTCCTTAGAGCCAATAGAGGAAAAAAGGAAGCTGCTATGTTTTTCATGCCGTGGAGTACAAGAGTAGATCCGTACACGAGCATTGTAAACTATTATTCCTAGTGTAATTTTACTCGATGATTATCTGATATAGTTGGTCTAGTTAGCTGATATTGTTGGTCTAGTTTGATGAGCATAATACTGCAATAACGATGTCCAGAATACAACTGGCTTGGCATCTCTGTAGGACAGGATATGGCAGAATCTGTGTTGATTTCTCTCAATCCACATTTGCTCACACGGTGCTCGCTGAGCGTCTATGGTTCTATGATCCTACCTCTTGGCTCTTACCCAGTGTATACGTCCAGGGTCTGCTCCTGTCTCGCCTGGGAGGAGGTAACAAAATATTTTTTTTGGGTACCGAGTGAGTATGACTTGATACTTTTGAAAAAATCTGATGATGCTTCCTAAGAAGCACTAGATTCAAGAAGATTCTCGGGTTTCTTAGTTGACATTTCACATCTTCCTTATACTGGGATAGGGTATTCTATAGTATTCAATTGGGAACAAGTGTTTAAATCGAGTTTATGTACGGAACACATTTATGACGGAATCGATCATTCGCACCGAAATATCACGTGATGTTGCAAAGAGGTCCATGCACGTATGTGAATTTACGAGCAACTTCACCGAGTTGTTAATCGATGGGATTCCAAATGGTATGACTTGAACTCTTACCCTCAACAATCATATCCTAGACCCTCATCAGTCATCATCCTCAATAATGATAGTCATATCTAAATTAGATTAGGGTTGTAGGCTGTGGCGACTCTCGCCAGTGACTCAAATGAGCATCTAAGGTTCTCCAACCCTCGTCAACGGTGGCACTCCTGGCCACCTACGACCCTCCACATGCTTTCTTATCTTTTTACCATTGTGGAGTTGAATCACTATATAAACGAGAGAAGGGTAATAGTTATGAATGGTGGCACGTATCAAGCTGATTAGAAAATTGATGGTTGGAAGAAAGGATGAAAAGAATAAAATGACTGACAATGAAAAAGAAAATCCGTTAAAAATTCAAATATAAACTTCACTGAAGGTTTTAATCATGAATTACAATTGAAGATTTGATAGCAAACAAGAAAAAAAAAAGAATTAAGGACATCGAGTTTGAATCGGTCCTCGAAATTTAAGTACATTTGAACAAACTATAAGTTTAAAGATCGCATTGCATATTGGGTTAAAGTTCAAAATTACATTGAACAAATTAAACGTTCATGGATCAAATTGCATATTGAGCCAAAATTCATGGACTTTTTGTATTATTTTTCCACCAGAGAGGCCATCTCTACACAGTAATATCTCTCAAGTTGCGAGGGCAGTTTCGTCCAAACGAAAAGGAAGCCCCCCATCGCGACCGTGGTCGAACTCTACTACTTTACTACTCCTCCGCTGTTGCCTCTCTCTCTCGCTCCTCCCCCCCTTCATATTCCTCTCCCATTCTTATCCTATCTTCTCCTTCTCCTCCTTCCTCCTTCCTCCGTTCTCCTTTCTTCCGTCGCTCTCCGGCGACAATGACAACGGGTCTCTCCACGCTCGCCTCCCGCCCTCCATCCCCTTACCCCACGCCTCCTCTCTCCTCCGCTCACCCTCTCCGAACCCAGCCCTCCTCCGCCCTCCAATTCCCCTTCAGGCCCTCCCCCGCCGCTCCCCTGACCACCCACCGCCCCACCACCACCGCAGTCCACCCCGTCGCCGCCGTCGAGGCCCCCGAGAAGATCGGGAAGCTCGGCGACGAGATCTCCGGCCTCACCCTCGCGGAGGCCCGCGCCCTCGTGGACTACCTGCAGGACAAGCTGGGCGTGTCCGCGGCCGCCTTCGCCCCGGCGGCGGTGGCCGTGGCGCCGGGGGCCGGGGGAGACCCGGGAGGGGCGGCGGCGGTGGAGGAGAAGACGGAGTTCGACGTGGTGATAGAGGAGGTGCCGAGCTCCGCGAGGATATCGGTGATCAAGGCGGTGAGGGCGCAGACGAGCCTGGCGCTGAAGGAGGCGAAGGAGCTGATCGAGGGGCTGCCGAAGAAGTTCAAGGAAGGGGTGTCCAAGGAGGAGGCGGAGGACGCGAAGAAGCAGCTCGAGGAGGCCGGAGCCAAGGTCGCCATCGTTTAGCGGCGGAGCATGGAGGTTCGGAGTACCCAATTCGAGACTATTGATACAGAGACGATAGGAATTGATGGGTCTTTAGGGTTGAAATCGAAATGTGATCTGGGGGGTGGGTTTTTAGTGTAGTTATAGAGGGGAGGAAATGATCGTTCGTTGGGGCTTGAGTTGTATTTGCATCTGTAACGAGGAATTTCACTTCGTGCGAATCTCCGAATCCCTTTTTTGGTCTTTTGTTTGGGATTTCTTTCGAACGTTTGATTTTGCAAAGAGATTGGAGAGGAAATGATCAATCAAAAATCACGGAAGATGAACTTAAGGAGTCAAGTTCTAACAGCCATTACACGGACAACATATGATTTGCATACTCAACACATCCTCGACTCATGGCCTGATGCTTCAAACCTAGAATCGACGACCTATTAACACGATAAAATGGGTCATGCACAAAATGGAAATCAATCAGTCATCGACAGGGTCCTGAGGAGCTTCGTCTGCGGGCCTTTTGATGGTAATGACAGGGCACTCGGCATGCTTTGCGCAGAATTCGCTGACGGTGCCGACAAAAACCCTGTGAGATATGCGTGACAAGATCAGGCTACGAAGTGTTTCAAAGAAATATGGGCGGCGACATGATTTACACAGACAATAGAGATGAAACGACATGTGAGGAGACGTGACAACTAGCAACAGATCTTTCACTCAGCCACCAAGTCAATAATGAGGTCATGAGAGGAAGGTCAATTTGTCTGCAGCCTTTACAGAGACTCCACAGAGACAAGCTCTCGATTTATGAAGATGCAGATGTTCGGCTGAAAGGAGAAGCCGATAAGGCGCTCGATATTTACCTTTGGAAAGGGCCAAGACCCCTGCATCCCATGACAAGTAGATCAGGCCTAACTCGCTTCACCTCATGACAGATTACCTCTTTTGGATCTCCTTTCTTGATCCATGCTTCACATTGTACCTACATCATGACCGCATCATAAGAAAAAGAACGTCCAAAATATTACCATTGGCAATGTTCATTCAGGAAAAAGAGAGAAGAAAAGTCTCCAATACCCCGATTTCATGACATCTATTGACAAAGTACTCCAGTAGATGAAGTCCTCTCGCCTTGTCCCTCTGTTTCATGCTCTTGAAATCGTCTGGAGATGCATATATACTATCCATATCATCAAAACCTATGGCGAAGGTAAAGTAAGAGGGCATTTATCAGTTGAAGCAATAGTCAAAATCAAAGGAAGAAACAAAAATTAGCCTCCCCGCAAGATGAAGAGCGTGATGAGTGAGGATGCAGGATTTCCCCCAAACAATTCGCCCAAGGCAACAAGAACTGCTGAATCAAAAGGCACGACTGACTTATTGCCATACATTTAGAAATGCCGCTTGCCACCCCGAGTTTGACAAGCAAAAACCCACACTGATCGTTCTATGAAGTACTTCTTATAGAATCGATTACAAACCTGTTGGCTGGGAATGATTTTGTTTATCTAGCGGCGCAGCATTCTAAAGGAAGATAAGACTCTCCAGAGCCACTATGCAAGAGTTCTGAGCTTGGACACCCAGTCCAGCTTTACCATCAGCGCATATATGGGATCAAATAATTCAAGGGCTTTCCAGCTCTTTAAAAACACTAATCCTTTTCCATTTTGACTAGAGGCCTAGAATTAGTAACTCAAGTTTTGCATTCTGTAAATTAAAACTGCAGAGCTAAATACAAGGGCTCATGCCTCAAATAAGAGATGGGAGAGATCCATACAGATGATCATGCAGTTCTACTATGTTTTGGTCACCAGCATGACACACATCACAATATATCAATCAGAACATTCCATCAAATCCAGACAAGGATGAAGTGCTGTGTACAACATGCCGCATCTCTCTCATTCAGCATGCCGCCCACCTTCTTCCTAAACACCGAAATCCCACCCATCCCTTTTGGAAACTTCTCGAAGTTAGAGAGTTGCTTTGGTGAAGGAGACGACAGGCAGTGACAAACCGATCTAACGATCCATGTTGTCCCTCTCCAATCCTGCAAATCATCCTTACCAGGCAGGCTATTCAAACACAAGGCTTGGTTAATCAAAGAAGGGGCCTGGTGTAAGGTCATCTGAACTTCTTTTTTGGCAAAGGGGAAGATGGGTGAACATCAACCGCCGTTGCCGATTCACTTCGAGAACGGAACCAGAGCACAAGATTTCAAGCGGCGGCAAAAAAATCCGACGTCTGGGGTCACTGAAACTCGGACTTAGGCAAGGGGAGAGTATCGAAATACCATATGCGACGTGCACAGAACATCCACAGCGTCGGTGCTCCGCCGATGACGACGCCCTCGGGATATAAGATGACTAGAAAACACACAGCCGCCGCCGACAAGAGGACACACTCTAAAGCCTCTCAACGCACACACCAAAACCATTCAACCGACAGGCCACGGATTCAGTTATCGTCGGACGGTTAAACCATGCCAATGTCCATCGTCGCGGCGAACGCGACACGGAAATCGATCGTGCAGGCGATACTACACGAGCTAAGCCGGAGGCATTCAGGCGAAGCCAAAAGCCAGCCGCAACAAAACTAGGAGGCGTGCACGGCATGTATCCTCCGATCGAACCAGACAAAGAAGCACAAGCGCGAAAAGTCAGAGAGAGAAGGAGGGAGGGAGGACCGGACCGTCTTCGTCGGGGACTTGGACGTGGAGGAAGAGGAGCTTGAAGCCGGCGGTGTTGGAGCGGACGATCTTGTGGAGAGTCCACTCGAAGGCTCCTCTGCTGCTTATCGACGCGTGCGGGTACCCCTTGATCGTCGATTCGTTCACTCCGATCATCACCCGGGTCGGGTCGCCCTCCATCTCCTCCCCCTGTAACAGACTGTACTCTCTCTCCCTCCCTCTGCGCCCCGCGATGATCTTCTTCTTCTTCTTCTTCTTCTTCTTCCTCCCCCTGGTCGGAGCTAGAAGCAGCTACGCGCGGGGTCTGTTCCGTTCTCGTGCTCTCTCCATCGTCTCTTCCTGATATATATTTTTTTTTTTCCGTGGGCCTATTGTGATTGTTGCCGACGCGATGCGCACCGGGGCGCACGGTAGCAACGACGGACGCGGGTGCGCTAACGTGCGCCCCGGGGCTTAGGGGGGCCACCCGGCGAATTTCAAATGACGTGTCCTCGTTTGGCGCGGCTTACGGTGTACGCCGCTCGTCCCGAGCCCCGAGGGGAGAGGGAAATGCCCAAAATGCCACTCCCTTTGTAGCCGCTGTGGTGGGCCTGACCAACTCTGAAGAGCCGGGTCGGTAAAAAATGTTCCGGGTCGGGCGTGGATAACGGATATAATCACTCTTAGGGTGCGTTTAGTAACTTGACAAATAGTGACTATTCAACGAATGATTTTTTCGATTCGTGCCCGGAAATAATTTCGAGTATTTGAAGGCGTTTGATAAATGTCCAAAATTTCTATTCCTAGAGTAGAAAAGAACAAATGCGTTTGAACTACACAAAATTTCGTTCCCAAATAATATTTTAATAATATTTTGAATTGTTTAAAAAAAAATTTCTTTTACTTTCTTCTTGGCCATGGCGGTCCGCCGCGACCGGCCACGCCCAGTGGGTCGGCGACGACGGCGAGGCTCGCCGCTCGATCTCGGGCGAGGCCGCCTCGCCCAGCGGCGAGGGTCCAGCCTCGCCCTCGCCGGCGAGGGCCGTGACGCCTCGCCGGCTCCCGGGCGGCGCCGCGCGCGACGGCGGCCTGGCCACCAGAAACAACACACAAAATAAGAAAAGAAAAAAAAAAAAAACGATTCTCAAATTGTGCGAGAAACAAGAAGAACTTTTTTTACTTCTGTTTCTCTTCCAAAACGCTTTCGGCACAAATTTTTGCAAAAATGTGCCGAGGAACAAAAAGTTTACCAAACGCATTTTGTTCCCAAACTATTTGGGAACAAAAGAACAAATTTTCACTATTTGGCACGTTACCAAACGGCCCTTAGTAACTTGACAAATAGTGATCGATTCTATTTTTTTATTCCCGAGAATAAAAAAAGAACAGAAATCATAAGTAAATTTTTTATTTTTGGGCACAAATTTACACAAATTTGTTCCCAGAATCAGTTTTGGAACAGAATCAATAAGAAAAAAAGTTGCTTCTTGATTCTAGAAACAAAAATCATAATTGGAAAAGAAAATTTTTTTCAACATTGCAAAAGTGCTTATTTCAACTTTCAAGGGAGTTACTGATTTCAAAATATACTTATTTTAGGCTTAATAAGTGACTAACGACTCCCTTTATCTTCAACAGCTTCCATTCTATAATTTGAAGGATCAATTTTCATATTTGTAATTTCTTCTAAAATAAAAATAAAATAAAAAACAGAGAAGCTCAATTAAATATGAAATCCGGGAAATGACTTGAGCATAAGCTTGACTTGACATCCGGGATGTGCATCTCAAGTAATCATCAAGCTGAGCCCAAATTGCTCGCGAAATAGCGTGACAAAATTTCGCCCCTATCGGGTCCGATTGGTACACCCTTTTAACCCGTTGCGATGCTATAGCTGAACCATAATATCAGTCCATCAACCCAATGCTTACTCTCATTTCAAGAACTCCCTCAATAGTGTATCATATATTTGTTTATCGGGAAAGCTTCATCGCCATATTCAATACAAAAAGATGTTTCCTCTGGATCAAGAGAGATCAGAAGAAAGGACGCTATCGTTAGCTCACTTTTCATACTCACTTCAATTGCTAGTCAAAAGGGAATCTCGATTTTGGCCTAGGTCAATTTTTATGAATTGAAGTTTCAGTCTTCTCGAGAGCAAGAGTCCGTGGTCTTCCGCGATCTATGTGCATATTTAAGTTCGTGATTGAAGTTTCAGTCTTCTCAATTTGTATGTATCTTCACTTAGCCTATTTCTCAGTATCCATGCTAAATAATATAGATAATGACACAAACAGTCCATGAACTTTGATCCAATATGCAATTTGATCCCTGAACTTTTAATTTGTTCAATATAGTTCCTGAATTTTAACCAAATGTGCAATATGATTCTTGAACTTTTAATTTGTTCAATGTAATCCCTGGACTTTTGACACTACATTGAACATTTTCATATAGTTCAAGGACTAAATTGAACATGTACCAAAAGTCCAGAGACTACATTGAACAAATTAAAAATTCAGGGACCACATTGTACATTGGGTTAAAGTTCAAGGACTACATTAAACAAATTAAAAATTCATGAACCAAATTACAGATTGGACCAAAGTTCAATGACTGTTTGTATCATTATCCCTAAATAATATGAACTTGGCCAGACTCTTAGTTCAATTATGAAGATTGCATGAGCTCTTGCCGTTCGCAATCTGAACAACAAGTCTAAAGACTCGTCTCCATGAGATTGCAATGCCACAGCACAATCTGTATGAGATAGAGCTCGAACTTAGTGACGTCTATTACTCAAAATTGCCCTTCCATATATGTGGATATTAGCATAAAACGAGGACCCTTAAGAAACAAGATGAAATCCGCTAGAGGAATCTGAATCAGTTCATACTTCACTGTACATTTTGATATAATTATAGGTCTTTCTGATTTATTGATAGACTCAAGGAATGATATGACAAAACTCGGGTATAAGCGTTACAAACCATCACACATATGGTACAATGAAGTAATACAATGGAAGGAAGAAAAAAAATGCCCCTGTACCTTAGAAGTACCTTGCGCTTGCAAATCAAACCTACTGTTGCAAACAACAAAAAGAAGAGGTGGCGGTATCAACATTAGCATCATACTTCGTTGTCCTTTCTTAATCTCTCTTCTTGCTTCACCAAAAAACTTAATTGTTTCACTAGCTGCAAAGCATCACGTTTTCAGTCAGACATCTCACCACTCTGAAGACATAATTTATGACAGTAATTTCCAGGAACTGAAACAAAATGCAATCAGTAAATCACTCCTAAATGAAGAAAAGACCAAGAGAAAGTGAAAGAACTGGCAGTGATTTGTTATAAAGACAACAGAATTGGTCTTCTTGATTTTGCAAGGGATAGAGGATATGTGAGAAATAAAATGTCACCCAAATGGTTCTCAAATTAGCTGAGAATCTTGGAAGAGCTTTGGTAAAGACTGCGTTAGCATGCTGATCAGCAGAAGGATATAGATCCACCAATAATTTTGATTGGTAAGCATAATAATGATGCTTATCGAGAGAAGGTTCTCAATAACATGGTAAAGATCCAACTACATGGCCATGTTTGGTTGTCCATAAAATTGTTCGTCATATGGTGAATTATATTCTATCATCCGGTGTCCAGTGAATGCCAATATAGTGGATATAGTCAACATACACGATCTCAACAGAGTGGATTTTCTCTACAACTCTCTCTCTCTCTCTCTCTCTCTCTCTCTCTCTCTCTCTCTCATGGGTCGCCGACCTTAGCGTCTGTGACCACTGAACTGAAGTCCATCCCTTTCTTGAGAAATTACCTTCAATACTTTTATATTCTCTTTTTTCTCAAACATAGTCATATTTCTGAAAGTATCTATCCGTAAATGTGACCATTCACAAATGGGAGATAAGAAATCATTTCAATCTGATCATATTCTATTCCCTGCAACATGTAGGTTGCCAAATGCTGCTTTATGCACAGTAGAGAGGGTATCTCCAACAATAGTTGAGCAATCCAATGTATCCAGAACCCAACAAGGGAAAAACACTACCTGGGAATTTTTCGTTCTCTGTCTCTGCAATTCCTCATCCAACCTCTGAACACTGACATTTAAAAGGACTTTTAGTAGCATATTAATGAAGAGTAATACAACGCAATTGCAAGAAGCAGGAACTGACTTACCTCTGCTGCAGATTAACCAGCTGAGACTGCAATTCTCTCTCCTTTGCAGAAGCAGGACTCATCTGAAAATTAGGAAATGGACAAATGTTCGACAGTGATAAACAAGACTAAACCAGTTGTTGCCAGATAATGTAATAGAAAAACAGAGTTAATGTAATTGGGTGGTGACAAATGGAATTTTTCTTTCTTTAAGTCAAAGATGACAAATAGAATTTAGTTGCTATTTAGATTGATCTACCATATCTTTCCATGCATATCTGTGAAGAAAACAGCATTACTCATGTTAAACAGAGATGTGTAATAAGGATTTTTGAGACACAAATCTGACTATTCCACATGCCCAGAGAGTGAATGAGCAACGCATAATTGCTACACATGGTGACAGTCAAACACAGCCATCGACCATGAGTTGATTGCGTTGGCCATTCCAAGTTCTTTAACCACAGGATAGCACAAACACTATTCTCTCTGAAAGCCATATTAATGAGAATGCTTTGGTAGAGTAATGCAAAAAAGTTTGTACGAAGCAACATTTTGCATACTGACTATTAAATTCTTTGCAGTTTCCCCAAAACATTAGAGGGTAAAACAAATAGAAGCTATCATTTCCCAATATTTGAAATTTGAAGAGATGGAACGAACCTGCAGTTGTTCACTAATACCAGCCTCAGCAATTTCCAGAGGCTTACCTGTCTCAAACAGAGGTTGGCAAATATATATATAACAATAAATTAGAAGGAGGAGGTGGAAGAAGAAGAAGAAGAAGAAAGCAGCATGAAATACCAGATACTTGCTCCACATATTTGATCATCTTAATAATTTCATCCTGTCAAAATTCATTTCGTTAGAAGTCAATTGATGTACTATGTCAGACACATCAGTCGGATTGAATAATAAACACATACTCTCTGCGTGATGTTTTGCTGCAAAATACCCTGCAACGATGGGAGGAGTGTGCCGGTAGCAATGTTTGGGGATGTGAAATTGGATGGCCCACTGCAACCAGTTCCAAATAAGCAGCTGACAGGACCCTGGACCACAAAAAGAGGATGACAACAGTTACAGCTCCTTCGCATTTGTGAAATTAGGACACCGTATACTCTTAGACCACAATACTGTAAAAAGAGCAGTATCTAAAAGTTCTTGAAAATTTAAGAGCACACACGAAATCTACACAGGTGATAAAACATTTTCGATGCCAGAAACATTCAGAAAGAATCGTATAAGATATAGGACATGAAAATTGGGTATGGCCATAGCAGATGCCCTTGACCTGAGACATAGAAAGAGCTATGGTTCAGCAGAGAAGAGTACATCAAATGCACCATATACCCTTTGTAAAGTCATTTCACTCATTCATTGTGACGGAAAGGTCGATTATTTTTCTATTTCTCTTAAATCTTTCTGCACAAGATCCCAAGAGGTAAATTCGACTTTTTTTCTCACCGAACTTGTACAGCCTATCTACTTTTGAAACTAAAAAACTTCTGTATGATCAGACAAAACCTGCGAGCATGAACACTTTAATGGAACCGAAAAGGCATGATCTGCAAATTCAATCACTAGCAACCTAAAGATTTAGGTTCTCCAAAGAATAATTAAAAACTCAAAGCGTAGTTTCAAGAACATCGCGCAGGTCTAAGATTGTATAGAATGATACCCCCAAAAAATAAAAAAAATTCACAAGGGCTAAGGCCAAGAGTAGCCCATAGTTGGGAATGGATTACCTTTGCACTAAGATCTGCCGACGTGACCTGAAAACGTCCCTTACGCTGGACAACGCCAACTTCAGATGTGTCTTCAACTAATCATTCAAATGAAAGAGAATATGAAACACCAGACTTATCTCCATTAATTACGAGAAAGAAAAGAAAGAATCACTGGAACACACCAGGTGATGCGATATCAGAATCTTTCTTCTGGCGATATAATTCAGATTGGTACTTAGGCTGTTGATGATCCCTTCTAAAATAGCCAGAAATGAATGTCAGCAATAGTCTTGAAGTCATAAGCAAGCAAATAGTTAATTCTATGGCCAATGAGGCAAAGAAAGAATTGGGTTAGACTAGATCCAATTAATCTAGTTACAATTTTATACCACAATCAAAGAGCCTAAAAAGGGGTTCAAGAGAAATCGCGCCCTTTCCTCCATGCCACAGAAACAATCTTTAAATTCAAAGGTGTGGCTGTGCTCATCTATTCCCACCAAATACACCTCGCATGCAAAAGCAACTTGCACTAGTACACATCCTCTACGTGATCATATATGTTCCTTTATGTCTACTACTGGGGTACAAACAGATTCTCAGATAACCAGATTGCGCAGTCAATATAAGCTCAAAGACTACTAATCTATGGTCAACAAGCCAATAGTATTGACCCGCATAGCTTCTTGAAAATCATGTCTGCTACAAACTAGGCATGTGAATGATTCAGATTATCTGGCTACATTTTGATAAGATGACAAATTCAAGACTCAACTTTGTCAAACAATCACCTCATATAATGTCTATTCAATTTATCACTGTCATTTTCTGTAGAAGTCCGTTTTCGTCGACTCTTGTTCACATATCATCGAGTCTTGTTCACATACTATTCTGACATTAAAGTTCATTCCCCCTTTTCCCCTCTTTTCTTCTCTTTAACTGAAATTCATCTCCACCTTTTATATCCCCACTATGCAAATTAGCATTTAGGAAACCCCAACACATGACCCAGATGCACTGGTTCACATCTGGCACCTAACTTCCCAGAAATTCCATGCCTTCTGAGGCAAAGACATATCACTGTTGTAGGTAGGTAAATTTGGAGACCGGATGGAGACATTGTACAGTGATTAAGTGCCTAGGATATCAAATAACTCTGTCAAAAGAGTCGAGGGAGTGGCTAAGTGAAATGGTAATATCAGATAATATCTGCTGCAAAGAGACAACCAGCAATGACCAAAATGGTGCAGATGCATATAGTGCCAACTTCATGTGCTACCATAACGAATGTGCAGGCACATAGATACACGCAAACATGAGAGAAGACATCCTGAAGATGCTACTTTCAAGACAAATTGCACGTACTAAGAAAACTCGATGTGATCTACTTAAAAAAGAAAAGAGGGAAAAAAGCAGATTCCCCTTTCCAATTGGCCAATTTCCTATGCATGCATGAATGTCACAACTTCCGAAACAATTCGTTCATCAAGTTTTGGATAAGCAATTGGGTTTCATTTACAGGACCTCTTCTTTTACATTGAATCATTCAATCACTCACATGCCATCCTCCTTTTGGTGGTCGCCAGTGTTTCACCCTTTTTATGTATATGTATCCATATATAGTTGTTTTCACAGTGTTTCACCACATACATAGTATAAATGCATATATAAATATATTCCCCGGTGGCTTAGTTTAATCAAATTCGTTGATGAAATTCCAAAAAATATTCTTTCATTCCTCATTCGCTTAATGCGAAGGTTAATATATTAGTGGACTTTCTCATTAAACGAAAATGGCATTGCTCACTTTGCTAACACCAAGCTAAGAAAGCACTTCATCATTAATTTCTTCTACTTACCAACCAACAAATTATAGCTAACCAGGTCGTTTTGAGAAAGTTGTAGCAGATAGTTCACAAATGAAAGAGGCAAAGAAAGATAGTCATGTCACTACAACAAAAATACCTCTTCACATCAACAAAAGCAAGCTTCTCAGGTGAAGGCGTGTTATCCGCCTGTTGGGGACCGCTCAACAGTTTCTTGTCCTCAGGAATGACATGAGGTGGTAGACTGCCACTTGGCCCAAGATGATCACCCTCATTTTTACGAGATTCAGTGTCAATAGCTCTTGATGAACATTGTGTTGGAAGCTGTTCTTCAATATCAGATTGACTACCTTTAGGTGAAGATTTTGTAGGAAATTGCTCTTCAGAATCAGATCGAGTACCTTTCCAATTTGGACTGGTAGCATTAACATCAACCTCACGAACATCAAAACAAGCTCTACATAATAGAAAGAAGAGTATGAAATTGAATATCGGTTTATAAAGCCAATGCAAAGAAAGCGACAATCAAATAGTTGTTTCTCGGTTTAAAAAGCAGGTACAAAGGAATCTTCCCATTAAGAGTCAAGGAATGTTTTGACGAATTCATTTAAGCCCAGGTGAAGGGGAAATGAGCCTAATCTATGTTCCCTGCTTAAATATTGTAGATGCGAGTGTGCACAAGAGGGTAAAAGGTAAAATAAAGTTAATCATACTTCAGTGCTTGAACAGGTCTAATTGGAAATGAAGCAAGCGAATCCTCCAAATCATGTAGATTTTCAATAGTGTCCTGGAAGAGATGAACATTGGCCATGAGAAGAAACTCAGAGCCTAGTGAACCAAGGAATAAGAACATGACAAGAGACCCCGTGATGGTCAAAATCAATACCCTCTTGTTAGGGGCAACTTTGGTTTGGTCAATGATATTGGGAGATAGCCTCTCTGCTGGAATCCCAACATCCCAATGTCCATGCTTTTGCTTGACATCTTCGACATTTGGATTGATATCATCATCCTGAATCTGCAGTTAAAGTTCTCACTTAAGATGTATCTTTGTTACCTATGAGCTAGGAGTTTCCCACCAATCGAGCATGGACTGTGAACTAGAAAAAACTACGTACCAGAGCAGCCTGACTTTTTAAATCCTCTAAGTTGAAGTTCCATGCGCTGATGCCTCGTATGTATTCTTGCTGCAAGGCAACAAGTATTACTCATGTCACTGAGACTCGATCAGAACATCCAAATGAAAACTATTTCAGAATTTTCAATATGAGGATATCTCCATCATCAGTAAAACATACAAGCAGTTTGATCAACAGATTCTACAAATTTCTAGATTCATAATATCAACGGTCCTAATGTGGGTACAGGTCAAAAACCAGTTTGATCTTTTAAAAAAGTCCTCCCAGTAAATGTGCGTGTCTATGAAGAGAAGACATGTTAACAGCCCACTGCAAACGTATAGCCTTTATGATAACCATAAAATAATGATTCAAGCAATGTGTCAAATCAGATAACTAAAAACATGTCAATAAGTATAACCTAATGTCTTTAACACAAAAAGTTGCTACCCACCTGTGACAATTGCTCCTTATCTTCATAGAGGGCTTTGTTCTGTACGAGAAGATCAGCCTCTTTAGCCTGAAATTAACACTCAAGTTAGAGGTAATAATATCAGATACGCTACTTGTGAGAAAATTCTAAGAGTATGCAACTTTCTCTCCAAGCTACAAACCTTAAGTATCCTATAACGATCGCCTAACGGAGCAAGCCCTTCAAGAATGGTCCGAGCTAGATAATTTGCAGCACGAGCACGCTTAAAGAAGGGGTGCTTCAAAAGTTTTTCTGAAGTTGGACGTTTCTTAGGGTCCTTCACTAAGCAAGTGGCCACCATCTCTTTGAAAGACTGAAAGTAGGGCAGTTAATACAATTTCAGTACTTGAAAATTATAGAATTAGATCCAACAGTACCACCTAAATAATCCACCTTGGAGAATCTCTTGTCTCTTTCATAGTCAAGGCCTGGAGGTGCATTCTGTAAGGTCATCAGCAACACCTGCACAAGGGACTCTATCAGGGAAAAGCAAGGAGATAACATACTCTGCTAAAATTGCAAGTTATTAAATAAAGTGATGGCCAACATATAAGGGGGTAGATTAGGCACTTCTTTTTCAATTTCGATACATGTGCTCTATGATTAGCTATTTAAATTATGATGTAGAGTACCTTCATCGGCGGATACTTGGAAAATGGGGCATGGCCATGGGCAAGTTCAAGTGCTGTTATTCCAAAAGACCAGATGTCGGCTCTGTTTAGAGAAGCAAGTGCCGATACCAAATCAACTTTCCATAGGTAAAACAAGAAAAAAGGGTAAGAGAGTATGTAGATCAAATTCCACTCACTTAAAGTCATATCCATGCAGCTGTTGCATAACCTCAGGAGCCATCCTAAAGATAAAGAAAACAGACATAGGACATTTAGCGTAATTCTGCCAACATAAATTAACTACAAAAATAAGGAATAGGTTAACATCATATGAACGAATGAGGGGTAAACTACCAGCAAGGTGTCCCAACAAAGGTGTTTCTGGACCTCTGCCTATCCCCAGTATCAAACATACAAGCAGAAACGCCAAAATCTGCTAACTTGACAAAACCATCTTTGTTGACTAATATATTCCCTGACTGCATTAGATTGTAGAAAATCGACTTATAAATAATCGTTCAAGTAAAACAAAAAAAAAAATAGAACTATCCAAAAATATGATGAGACAACAGGAAAAAACCTCAAACATCAGAATTGGATTAAAGAAAATTGGTGATATAGTACCTTCACATCTCTATGAATATGCCCATGGGAATGAAGATACACGAGAGCTTTGAGAACCTCAAGCAACAAACTAGCGATCACAGGCTCTTCAAAACCTTCTGGAAAGGCAGATTTCATAATGTGCAAACAGGATCCCCCATTCATGTATGGCATCACAACCCAAAGACTCTGGCCAGCGGTGAAAGAGCAGTGAGCTCGTAAGAGATTTGGATGACCGATCAAGCTCATTGTCTGCACTTCCCGCCGAATACCGTCCTGCACAAGTCTCGAAACATACACATATAAGAACATTGTCAATACTAAACAACAGGTTCAGCACCTAAGTTCAATTACCCTTACTCAGCAAACAATTGTACGGCATATTTTATGCTCGAACAATTTGGTTACACCCCAAAGGCAATTCTGAAGCATACAAACTATTTTGACAAAAAGAAAATATGGTATCACAAGCTAACAGTTCCGAAAACAATGCAAATGACTTCTGCTGTGACACAAAAAGTTCTCATCAAATATGGAAAATAAGGAATAAATGCTCTATTTTTCTTCAATTCATTATAAATTAAGTAGTTGAAACACTGAGTACCATGAAATTGATAAGTGAAAGTAGATTAATTTCCATTATTTGATAAATGTAAAGTCATTCGAGACATACATGGGAAACTATAAGAAAACTTTTAATATAAGAATGTAAAGTCATTCCAGACATAGGAGGAAAGTATAGACCTCTTCATTGTATGAATGCAATGCTAAAGTTTTGCACAATTTATATGGCTGTTGCATCTGTGCACAGTTCTATACCCATACCCCCCACCCCTCCTTCTTTGCCACACAGCATCGCCCTGGCCCCCCAACCCCAACACACACACTCACAGAGAGACAGAGAGAGAGAGAGCACATACCAAGTCGTTGTTGCACTTTTCAAGATCAAGAACTTTGACTGCAACAGTCTCATTTAATGGAATGCAGAGAGCCCTAGACACTGTGGCACTGACACCTTCACCAACCTCCTCATACAACTTGTAGTCCTTTGCATCGACGGGGAACTTTTTTTCAGGGGCTTGCTCCATGATTATTTTTATTCCGCACCCCTAGCACTCTTCTGATCCCAGACATGCAATAGACCAACAACCATATGTGATAGCAGACTTTAATCTGATGTGGCGTTTTTTCCAGTTTGGTAGCATTTTATCTTTGCTCAAGAAAGATCACTAGCACGTCCCAGCGACCTCATTGGAGCACCTTCTTACTATACGGCAAGCAGAAGCATCACATCCTGAAAGGATCCATTCATCACATTTTCTAAGAACTCCATATAATTATGGCAACTCTGTATATATTGCCTAACACTGACACAAAACATGTTCAAGAATCAAAACTGTTGACAGGCAAAACTTAAACATTGAAAAGAATATCCATATGTACTGGAGGCAATGCTTCAGCAGACAAACAAAGTAACAGGGGCTCGAATCCACCTCTAATATCCAGTGAAACCACAAGAAAACATTATTAGCCCACCCAAAGGAACCCCCCTAGACAGTAGCCGATATCCTTAACTTCCACGAGGAGCTCAATTCATAGATTTTCAACTAAGAAACAAGCAAAAGCTCCCAAAATTAAGCAAGAAAGTGATTCCACCATTTTCAAATTAAGAAAGAAAGCATCATCACGGTTTTTCAGCAGGTGAACCACGGGATGTACTTTTGAAACGCATTAAATAACAGAGGAGCAACCAAACAGATAAACATGGCATCATAAAGGTTCATTGTTCCTTGGCCAAATTAAAAAGTTTCATCACTCCCTTTGAGAATATTTCTAGACCTATTGTCCTAGTAACCCTAATCATGGTTTCTCCAATATCAAGACATTGATTATGCGACCAAAAGTCATCCAAAAATGTCAACACTTTATTGATTTTTCTTGTCCAGATCGTCCCGTATACTAATAGAACATGCTTATGCAGTTGGCCCAGTAAACAAGGAGGATGGCAACACTAACAAAAGTTTCTGTGTATATGAGATAATCTGGTAGCTAATTCAGCACCGACAGCTATGTCTGCTCAAGCAATCCTTTACTGGCTTACATCTGTTCGGCCATTCCAATCCATTTTGCAGCAAGCAGTTCACTTTGTATGCTGAATGAGACTGCTGCAACAAATCTCGGTCTACCGCCTGAGCTATTCATAGAGAAAATTTTCCTATTCAATGGGTGTACAGCCAACAATGGGTAATAAACAACCTTTCTCACTCATCTTAGAAATTGGTAGGATGAATAAAACTAACTCCATACCCTTTAGGAAGTGCTCTGCAATACCAATGTCTTTGAAGAATTTGTACTTTTTAAAACTTGATTTGCAATGACCATGAAACACCACTTATCTATATGCAACGTCAAAAGTCATATTCACCTTGTTTCCATATTTGATCAGCCTGCTCGAGGAACAACAAGTAAATTGCCATCCCCATTTCCAGAATACACAGTTAGACATGACCCTATGCAGGACAACTCGCCCATTCCCTAACACAAGCACTCATCCATGGCCTCAAGACAACTCCTTTTTGCGTAACCACTAAATTCAAGTTCTCGTTATATCTCATTCAGGAACCCTGCACTAATAGTAAGCAAAAAAGATACAATACTGCCACAGTTTCCGTATTCGCCAGTCCAAACTGATCCGCCAGCCCAAACTGATCATCTTAAACAACTTTAATAAAAAAATAAAAAATATGAGTGCCCCCCACAAGAAAGCCTTCGATGATCAACTAAAGAGGCTATGCTTGCACCAACCAAGCTCCAATCCTATACATACACCGCATAAATTCACCATGTACGAACTCGAACACATACAAACAACTGCTACATAGCAAAACCGATAAGACAAGCGCACTGACAAACACAAAACAATCGCAGTACAAATCAATCAAGCCAAAAAATAACACGGACCAAATCAAATGCGCGAGCGCGAGCGCCGCGGATTCCAACACCAAAAAAAGACATACCGACACAAGGACTGTACCGCGCGGAAGCTGCGCGCAATCTCCGTCGGCCACCACAAGCAGTCCAGCGGCGGAACTGAATCGGACCAACTCCGCCCCGTGAAAAACAAACTCGACGGCGGCGACGTCTACGACGACGGCCGATTCAGCCGCTACTTCCGATTTCGCGTCCGGAAATGCTCCGGCGAGCTCAGCCTCGGCATCAACGACGGCTCCGCCGCGCGCCGCCGGATGAAACCAATCTCCCTCCCCCTTCGCGAGCTTCGAGCGATCACCACTGCCGAAGTCCCGGCGATCCCCCAAATCTTCCCAACGTTGACAGGCGAAAATGAGAAGAAAGCTGCAGACCTTCTCAATCCCCTCCCCTCCCCTCCCCCTTTTTTTTTCTTCTTCTTTTAATTTCGGTTGCAGAAAAAATCGTATCCGTAACTGGAGATTGAAGACGAAGATGAAGGAGAAGAAGAAAATAATAATAACAATAATAACAATAAATAATATCAGAAAATAAAATAAAAAGGCGAAATCGGAGATCTTTTCCGTTTTCACAGAGGCAACTTCGGCGAAGGCTGAAGAGGTAGCGGGTCCCGCCAAGAAATAAATTTTTTTTAAATTTATTTACTTGAGAAATGAAATTGATTTCTCCTTAAAAATTGCAGGTGGGGTGATAATTTTACCCACGAGAGTATTTTACCTTCTTATCGAACACGACATGATTTATCGAGAAAACCCAAAAAGACCGACTCTTACGCCGGACGACCGACTCTCGCAACAAGACAACTCTCTACCTGTCGTGTGATTCAATGCGTTTCCAATCGTACTTAATAAAAAAATACATTTTCTTTTCAATTTGTGGAAACTCATTTGTAATAGCAAAATTACAGCCGGCCGGCCAGCGGACCGCCGGGGCTCGCGCGAGCGGGAGCTGCAGCCCGGGCACCGCGAGCACCCGCCCCGATGTGATCCCCGCGCGGTGGCCGCACCAAGCAAAAAAAATAAAAAAAAAAAATTCAAATATTATTAAAATATTTAGAATTTGAAACGATTCTTTTCACTTAATAAAATTTTGAATTTATCAAACGCCTAAATTAATGTAAATAAAATTCTTCGAAGCCAGATTAGCCCCTCGTATGATTCAATCGTTCCAATCGTACTTAATAAAAAATACATTTTCTTTTCTTGTGGAAACTCATTTGTAATAGCAAAATTACACCAGCACAATTTCCCCGAAAGAAGGCTTTATTTTAATTTTCCAAAATTACAAAGGGATGAGTATATTAGAAGTCTTTAAATCTGCCATCAAAGTGGAATCGAGTTCTGAAACTTTTAAAAAAGTGCAAATAAGTCCTAAAATTTGTTACAAAATGCAATCGAGTCTTAAAACTTTCGAAAAGTGCAGTCAAGTTCTAAAACTTGTCAAATTAATCCAATCAAGTCTTTCCAACGACTGCACTTTCCGAAAGTTTTAGGTCTGGATTGCACTTTCGCGATAAGTTTTGGAATTTAGTTTCTCTTTTCGAACAATGATCGTCTTTTATTGGTTCGCTTTTTTCACGTACATACTATCGTAATTTATCATTATTTTTTTCTAGCAAGAAACATTCTTTTTTTACGTTTTTCCAAGTTTTGGATGGAAAACAAAGCGAAAGCGGAGATATTGGAATTATCGGCGATATATCGAGCAGAGAGTCTGTTAGATCGCGAGGGCGGCTATGCTTGCGTCACCGCAGAGGGCATGCAAAGTTGGGTCAACCGCGATTGGGCATCTGCTGATTGGCGGATATCCCTTTACTTCAAAAAGAATAAGAGCCCGAGAATTATTCGAATATATTACCAAAAGGAAAGAAAGAATTTTTGGGGGTGATTTTGACTTTCGAGTTGGGGAAAAAGTCGGTGAGAAGGAAAATGAGTTGAGAAAAACGTGCAAATAATCATCAATTTTTTTAAAATAATTTAACATTATCGGATGACTAATCTGAATTAACTAATCAATCATGGAATTAGCTATATAATGGTCGAGAAGCTTTCTTTGCATGTAAAATAGCAAAATTGAGTCGTTGGGATGGATTTGCCCAACCGGACACCGGTATAATATACGTGCTTATATGTATACATAAAATAAACAAGTCAAGATAATTTATCGTATTTTATGAATTTTTTTTTGGTCGGTATACGTGCTTATATGCATACATATAATAAACAAGTCAAGATAATTTTATCGTATTTTATGAAAATATTATTGTTAAAAAAAAACATATCGATAGTATTTTGTGTTTGGTTTGGTAAATGTATGGTACGATGCTCTCGGGAGAACACATGTATCTTTCATAATATGGAGTTCTAGAAAGATGATCCAAATGATGGTAGGGATCTTGGTCCTTCATGAGTATCGTATTACAACAGCCGAGTGTCCGGTTTGACTTGGCACAATTGACTTTGCTTCCAAGTTAAATGCACGACCTAATTTTCAATATAAACCACTCAAAAAACACTTCGTGATTATCAACACTTTCGGCTATCGATTTCTCTTGTAATTTTTACGAGTTGAAAATTTAATTTTTTGTATGGCGGGAAGGGAATTAAAATGTAAAAACAAGGGGCATCTCGATCGGATAACAATTAACATGGTGTTGAAGTTATTTTTTGTAACTAATAGATCTGTTGAATCGCGCAATTTATTTTATGTTAATGGGATTGGAAATTTCAATGTGACAACCCACAATCTATGGACCATAGGTCGAATTGAATATGAGGAGTAACGACGGTGCAAGACGAAGGAACATGGTTAATAGAGCAACCGTGAATTTAGTGCTAGATTGTGGACCATAGTTGACTTTTAGTATGGCATGCTGCAGGCAACAAAACAAATGGAGAGTAAAAACGTACAAATTAGGCGACATTAGAGATGACGTTAACTAGGCGACATTAGAGATGACGTATTTCGAGAACATCTAAAATTTTCTTTAAAATAGATTAACATTAATATGATTGCGCGCTATTTTCGTAACCAATATTGACAAAGAGCACTCCATGTTAATTTAATCGATTCATTGTGACCGAATAACATTGTTACGATTTCCTTTGGGCAACAACTAAGAATACTCAACAATTAATATGAATCTCATTTTATTTAATCGGATTTTGATACGATCCGGATAGGATTGAGTTTTTTTTTTTTCGTAAATTGCGAGTCAATTAAACACCCTTTTAGACAATAAAGTAACAATGGCCCAAATCATAAACCTAAACTTCTTGGTAATCAATTAAACATCTGTTAAATCATTATAGCATGTGCTGTGGCACACCCTAATCTAGTCAATCTTTTCATTGATCCATCAAATTCTCGTTGCTCGCCGAGAGTAATATATTGAGCGCACCCTCGTGTCTATGGGCGGAGCCTAATTGGATATACACGAACGGAATGATCCGCTCTCAATCCGCTCCTAAAAATGAACGAACGAGACGTAATTTCGTCACCGGCGAAAACGTGCAAGTATAGATCGCCGCCGACAGTGGAAACATTTTCGCTAACTATTCTTCTAAAAGATACAGACAATGATCTCCGCGTAATTGGCGCGACTGCCAACTCATGTATCCTTTCGAGCGATTAATGTACGAATTATAAAAAAAAAAAATTTGAAAAAAAAGGAAGACAGAAATTGCCGGTGGGGCCCGCTCCACTCATTAGCGACAACTTTTACGACCTTTGTCCGAGATTGATAGGACACGTCCGCGTTTTCGATTGGCCAAGCCTCTAAAATCATCGCGCGCATCCCCCCCCTAATCTTGTCCCCGTCAATTCTCGTGAAAAGATTTTTCTGGGAATCTCCTCATTTTTATTATTTTATTATTATTATTATTATTATTTAATATTTCACATTACTCTTGGTATTTCGTATTGAGAAAAACAAAAAATACATTGCCATCCTCTGTTTCGCAAGAAAGCGTGGGGGGCGTGGGGGGCGTGGCAGGCATATCGCACTTCTGCCAATCCATGTGTCTCGACGCTTTGGAATCTCCTTTTGCTGCCCAACTTTTCCCTTTCCTTTCAAATCACACCTTTTTTTTTTTTTTAATCTTTTTTGGCCCCGTGTTTGAATGAGGCAATTCACGTCGCGAGAATTATTCCTCCCCCGTCGCTTCGGGGATCGCGTTTCGTTAAGTGTCACGTCCCGTGACGGCTCATAGATTGGCCGACGCCATCGATTTGACGGAACTATTCTATAACGTGAATGATTCGGAGGGAATTTATCGTATCAATAAAGATAGATCGAGATGTTGTACGATAAATGATTTTTTTGTCGGGTAAAAGGAAATGAGCACGAGAAAAACTATAATGGCCTGATTACCAGCAGCATGGCCTATGGTTGGATTGAGGAGACGATTTTCCTGATTTTAGTCATATATATCGCTTGGAACAATGTGTCAACGAGAAATACCTTCATTATAAGTATCCTAAGCATGGATTGTTGTTAATAGTGAAATATTTTTCACTAATTCCCAATTTTTTAAGTGATAAAAACGATTGAAATTAGGAAGATAATCTTTAACTGATTAGAATGATTCTCTACGAACCAAACAGAAATGAACTCGCTTGAGTCGGTGGGTCAACCCGGCGAAGCCACGCTCGTGTTGGACCTAATTTTGTTCAAGATGAAAACGATCAACTATCAATAAAGTCGCATACCAATTTTTCGAGGCGGTCCTAGCCTCGGTCAAATGGGCCGTGCCGGACGTTGTTTACAAGCCCCTTTCCAAGGTAAGCCATCCGACCTTCGTACTCGAAGGGCTTGGGCGAGTTCGGGCCAACACTCACGTCAAACCCAAATACAGCAAATGACGAAGTTCACATTTATATGCCTCATCAACATCGCTCCTACAAATGAAAATTTTGCACATTCAGGGAATGAAATTTAGTCAACAAGAAGTAAGATCTCGCCAATGGGCTTTTCGTGCGTTCATTGTTTGGGCCACTTCGGCCTCCTCTCTTCCTTTCTCATTGCCGTTCTTGAGCTACGTCCATGGCGTCCTCTAACGACCACAACCTCGACTTTTACATTCTTGCATGTTCTTTTCCCCCTTTTGCCGTTCTTGTTATGTTTTCTTTTCATTCTTGTGTGTTGCTGGGTGACATGGTATTGCCTACTGACCTCACGAATCATGTAAAAAGCAATCAATCTCGTGCAAGAAACCGAAAGAACCGTGCTTTTATTGAAAATTAACAGCTGCTACATCGAGACTGCCTTCACAGCCGAAGTCTCAGGCTTATTCAAGATGTCTTGTTACGAAAGACCAGTTCTCTGCTCGGTAAACAGGGCACTTTTTTGAGGCATTTTGATATATGAAAATTTCTCCTTTCTGCCATCCGTGAGTCTATGGAAGAGTTGGTGCAGTCGCTCACATTGCTTAAGAAGGCTTTCGGGATGCATGCTGATGCCCCTGGCCAGCAAAACATGGTTGCAGGAAAATGTCTCCCCTGTTTGGAACAGCTCTAGAAAAATGGGTCTAGACTGCGTGCAGTGTTATGCAATATACTAGGCTGCAGAACTCTTTGAAGAAGCACCAAGAATTTTGGAAAAGGAATGTGGACCATATCACCCTGACATTTTAGGTGTGTGCAGCAATTTGGCTGGCACGTATGACGCAATGGGCATGTATGACTATTTGTTTTTAGCTTTACCAATGATTCTGACCATCTAACTTGATTTTCTGCGATCTTGTCTCCATAGCATCTGTCCTTTCTGGGCCAAACCTCATGGTTTTATCGTCATCTCCAAGTCCTCTGATAGCTTAAGTTTGAATATTCTTTAATTCACTCAATGGCTTTTCATTTGCGCTGCTGCCAGTTTTTTTATGGATGGAATCAAGCCGGCAGAGAATCAGGTCCCCAAGACCGTTTAATTCATTGTTGTATGACTAAAAGTCTTTTTCTACGAGTAGTTCCCCGCTTCTTATTAACCTCAGTAACAGTATGCACAGGTTGGACAATGCGATTGAAATTTTGGAGAATGTTGTTGCCATTAGACAGGACAAACTTGGGACAGCGGCTGTGGATGGCAAGAAGCAAAGGTTGGCCGAGTTGTTGAAAGAAGCTGGAAGGGATTGAAGCAGGAAGTCCATGCCTCTGGGAACTCTACTTGATACTCACTCTCGCATCTTAGAAGATGGTGGCATCAAGATACTGTGATCTTGACGATGTACATACTTTCATAGGCATGAAGCAAATTCAAGAGAGGAAGTACATAAGCAATGTGTTTCCGTTGAATAATCTTTATAGCAAAACAAACATAACAATTAGAAAGCCACACCCGTCTGGATATCTAGCTTGGTATGGGGTATTGAGCACGTTTATGGTTTGGTATTATACGTCATTTTTTAAGCAACCCTTGTATTATTTTCCATGTGAATACTACATGACGTGCTCCGACAGGAGTTATTTTTATTCAGTAATTAATGACCAGAAAGAAGAAAAGAAAAAGCAAGATGTTTCGCACTCTTTCCTTCGCTTCTTTCGGACTAGCATTGCAGATCGGTACAGGTGGGTCAGACATGGAACCATTGAGGATGCATGAAGCTATCCATGAATTGGCTGCATCTGTGAAATGTATGTCGTCCCAGCTAATTCGATCCCGAGGGTCGCCACAAGCAGCTCCATGAATGGTGGTTCCATTCACTTGTGCTGACAGTCCACACATCACGAATGTAGGCACGAAGGTACCGCAGCAGTAGTTTAGTGGATCAACAAAACCTGTCACCAGATTTCATCAATGGTCAGAACACAATCTACACGCCTCAGTAGTATTAGTCTAACTAACCATTAGGCAAAGAGGACCTCCTGTTATTGCGGATTGCCTAGTTTCTCTCTACGTTTACTTTACCTCATAGATTTTCTCATTAAGTGTAGCCTGAGAGAGCTAGTACCCTTTGATATGCAGAAGATTACCTTGATTTTTAGCATCACTTGTCAGTGATAGCTTGGCCGAATATACATCGACGTATGTGAATGCCGCCATGGAGAGATTGTTTCTTAGCTGGTGGTGCACCCTTTCTTTAAGCTGCTGATTGAATACTTTCACTACATTGTTTTGATAAGCAACGCAACCATTCTGGTCAAGGGTGCCATTTCTAAATTTAAATGGTAGAGCCATGAAAGGCAAGCATCCAATTGGACCGGTGTTATGTATCCAGAAAGCTCTTGCTCCTTCGCCATAGAGTTGCTGAAATTAAATAACGGAAATACCTTAAGGAAAGCAGTATAAAAAATAGCAACTTTGGTGCATTAATGTTAGGCTCTCTATGGATCTCAGATATTCTACGACTGCCCATAACTTACTTGTATTGCTGCATCGAATACGTCGAGGATGCCTGGAATTGCAGCGACAATTTGATCTACTGTCATGTTCTGAAAGCCAAATGTAAGATCGTTCTGTCCTATATCAAATGTGTAGAGGGCCTTCGAGAAATCATCAGGATGCGGAAGGGACATACTGCCGCACTTTTCGATCATCCCTGAATTTAATGCCATTTTTTGATATGTCGACAGTCTTTACAAAATTATTCAGCTTTGTGCACAAAGAAACTGGAGCAAATGCAATTATGGGGACTCTTAATTGGATTAAGTGGCATATGCGGATTACTTGATTGATGTGCCATAATTCTGGCTAATGAACTGCAGAAAGTTGAAGAAGGATATAATGGCTCACAATTAACTCTTATAGAGTTCTGTTGTGCGTGATTTGAACTGTTTGAATTGGGAGATCTGAATCCCAAGATCAAAAGGGCTGAAAGGACCAGGTAGAATGGAAGAGCCGCCGGTGGCGAAGTTTGCGCCACGTCGAAAGTTTGTTCCTATGGAGTCCAAGTATGCACTCACGTATGGTAGTCCTACTTGATGGGGTTATATCTGAAATTGAATCAGAATAATCATACAGATAATAGAAAAATTGACACACAAATTTACCTAGGTTCACTCCAGAATAGGACTACGTCCTGGAAAGGGATTCCACTATGATATTTAGGTTTTCAACCACAACCACTCATTGCAATGATCTCTCATACAAGTACAATATATAGAGGACTTATAATGGGCTTAAGCCCAAGCCTATCCAAATCCCTTTAATCCCACAACAAACGGGTCAGCTTAAAACATAAGCCCACTGTCCGGTCAGCGGGACCCCCGTTTCGGGGCACTGCCCCCGAACCCCCGCATTCCGTGCGCAGGGGTCACATGTTGTCGGATCATACTTCGGTTTCCCTAAGCTCATGTGGGCGTGCCCGGTATGAGAAAGAAGAGTCCCCGAAGTATTCGCCAACTCTACTTTCTCAGCTGCAGAAAGTCAGATGAAACCGATTATGCATCAGATATTTTACGAATGTCAACCTCTAATCACCTTTATCAAGGCATCTTTTTGTCAAAACAGTGAACTTCTAGCAATCAAAACTGTTCATCTTGACCGATGAAATTAACCACTAAAAGTTTCCCTCGGTGCAGGTTCATGGGATTCATATCTTGCTCTAAAGAAACCGATGACTCAACTCTTTCAAATAGTCCGCTAAAAGTCTTACTTATGAAATCGAGGATGACATGCCCGTTGGATAATCTCTTGGGAGGATGGCCCAGGTTTGTTTCGCCATAGGGAGGTGGACTTTGAGTAAGTGCAGCAGAGCGGCCTCCAGTGTCGGAGTTTGAATCCCCGAAGTCGTAGATAGCAGGAAAGTTGCAGCTAGATGAACTGCCAGACACCAAGTGCCTTTGGGTCAGTGCCAATCCCGAAACCAGCAGTCCCAAAATGCTGAGCATTTTTACAAATGCCATACTTCTTTCTAACTGAACAAAAGTAAGTAATATTTACGCTGTTCTTGTGTAGATAAGTAATATTTACGCTGTTCTTGTGTAGATGTGTCTAATGGCTTTTCCAAGACCTATTTTATACTCTGCTAAACGCAAATGGCGACAGGCGAATAAAGGGCGGCCGGGAGTTCACATAAAATAAGATGATTGGGTTCATGGAATCGTCTCTAGTTTCATGCCGCCGGACATTGGATAGGACAGGTTAAATATTCCATCCCACAACTTGAGGACTCCTGAAAATTACAGAACTGAAAGGGAACGAATAGGATTTTAGAAATAGGAAAAAGAATGAAGTCTTCTAATTGCAAGCTTGGACTTGGATCAACATCTTTCTTGATGCTTTGTCTCATGCTTGCGAAGTTATAATCGACGGCGCAAAGTTGTGGTCTTAATGAGAAGAGGAACACATGGTGGGAAAGTAGAAACTTCTGTGTTCTTTGCCTTGACATTGCGTCAGCTTTTTTCTAATCTCGCCCTTCAATAAAACTTACGGCTGGCGAAACTCATAAACATTTACCTAAGTATCCCAAGAAGAAGAAAAAAAAATGGAACAACATATTTAGCCAAGAATAGGTATCAAATGATATTGATGACAGATCAATTACCTCGGCACATTGATCTGTCTGATAATGACAACTTAAACAGGGGCATATTCACTCATTTCTAGGATCGGCAAAGATGCTCTCTTTTAACCTACCGGCTCCCTTGTCTGTTTAGATGAGATGACATCTTTATCATGGTTCATATTTTTCTTAAAATGTGCCTTACACATCGGGTAAACTGGCAATCTTTAGTGATCTGTCTGCCTATGAAATGAATTATGATTTAGGTGGGGGTGGGGGATGAACAGATGACACATGGTTTTTCAAATGGTTTTGTGCTCACATCTGGGTCTCTTGAACATGGAAGTTTAGATTAGGATGGTTTTCAACTTATGTATTGGCTTTCCATTTCAAGTTCTCCTAGTGTTTCTTTATCCCTTCGTAGTTATGGTATCTAGTCGGCAGTAGAGTTAGATCTCCAAGTGCTTTAAGTTCTTTGTTCTATGATTTAGTTATCTTTGGCTCGAGTGGATCCTTCTTATTTACATCTCTAACAATTTGCACAGGTTGGACGAGGGGATTGAAATTCTGGGGTATATTGTCGCCATTAGAGAGGAGACACATGGGACAGCAAACCCTGATGCAGATTGAACAAAATGGGAAGGGATTGGAGCAGAAAGTCCAAACTCTGGGAACTTTACTTACAGTAACTCTTGCATCAAGGTACTGTAATTCTGATGATGTATTTATCGTTTGTGGCCATGAAGTGAAGTTGAGAGTAGAAATACATAAGGCTGTTTGTTTGTGTTGGAAGAATTCTTTAAGCAGAAGCACAGGAAAGCCACGCCATGCTGGAATTCTAGCTTATTGGTGTTCGTTATTGAAAGCACGATTAAGGTTTGATTTTGTACGTCATTTTGGAAATAAAGAACAGTCACATTTTTGTCCTCTCCTGTTGGTTTCAAAGGGAAAATATGCACTTAAATGGTTATTCCATTCCAAGTAACTATCGACCTATGTTAACCTTTGTGGATGGGAGACACAATCTCATTATTTTCTGGAGAGCAGATGAAAGAACTACGAAGTCCAAAATTCACCTTTATGAGTGGTTTCAAATTGTCTTCCTCCAGCTTCATGATCTACTTAGATCTAGTATCTAATGAAGCAGAAGATGCAAATTTAGCATGATATGTCTGAAATCTGTTTTTTGACTAAGCCCAAAAATTGGTCTGAATTTCCAGTATGGATGTCAAACTAGAAGCAAATAGTAGAACTTTCCTAGTGAAAAGTCCACGCTCGTGTTATTTCCTTTGTGAATGTTACAGGACATGTGCTCTGAGTCTGACCGGACTAATGTTTAAGTTAGACTGAATGATCAGATATCAGAAAAAGAAAAGAAGATTTTTGGTGCCGACATCTTCGATCTTGACGTGGTAAGTTATGGACAAGCATTGGAAATTGATACAGGTGGATCAGACATGGAACCATTGAGGATGCGTGAAGCAATCCATGAATTGGCTGCATCCGTGAAATGCGTGCCGTCCCAGCTAATTCGATTCTGAGGATCGCCACAAGCATGTCCATGAATGGTGGTTCCATTCACTTGTGCAGACATTCCACACTTCACGAATGTTGGCACAAAGCTACCACAGCAAAAGTTTAGTGGATCCACAAAACCTGTCACCAGATTTCACCAACTATATTAGCACAAATTTTAGACACCACAGTGGTACTAGTCTAATGAAACAATAGGCTAATGGACCACCTGTTATTGCGGGCTTGCCTAGTTTTTCTCTGCATTTTTCTGTAGTTTTTTCTCATTAAGTGTACCCTGAGAGGGCTAGTACACTTATGCAGAAGATTACCTTGATTTTTAGCATCACTGATCAGCGATAGCTTGGCTGAATAAACGTCAACGTATGTGAATGCAGCCATAGAGAGATTATTTCTTAGCTGGTTCATCCTTTTTTTAAGCTGCTGGTTAAATTCTTGAGCTACATTGTTTTTGTAAGCAACGCAGCCATTCTGATCAATGGTGCCATTATATGGTAGAGCCATGAATGGCAAGCATCCGAGTGGACCAACGTTATGTATCCAGAAAGATCTTGCTCCTTCGCCATAGAGTTCCTGAAATTAAACAGCAGAAGTATCTCTAGGAAAACAGCAACAAAGAGCAAGTTCGGGTACTTATGGCAAGCTCTTCAAATGGATCTCAGATCTTGTATGACTTCCCATAACTTACTTGTACTGCTGCATCAAAACCGTTGAGGATGCCAGGAATCGCTGCGACGATTTGGTCAACTGTCATGTTATAAAAACCGACTGCAAGATCGTTATGTCCGATATCAAATGTGTAGAGGGCCTTTGAGAAGTCATCAGGATGTGGAAGTGAATATCTGCTGCACTTTTCCATCATTCCTGAGTTTAACGCCATTGGTTGATATGTTGTCAGTCCTTACAAAACTATTCAGCTTTGGATGCAAGGATATTGAAGGAAGTGCAGTTCCGGAGATTCTCAATTGGATTAAGAAGCATGTGTCAGATACAAGGTGACTTTACTGACCGGAATCACTCAAGTTCTTGTAGAGTTCTGTTGTGCGTGATTTGAACTGTCTGAATTGAGAGATCTGAATACCAAGATCAAAAGGGCTAATGGGACCTGGTAGAATGCCAGAGCCTCCGGTAGCGAAGTTTGCACCATGTCGAAAGTTTGTTCCTATGGAGTCCAAGTATGCATTCAAGTATGGTAGTCCTAGTTTCTCAGCTGTGGATAGTTGGAGAACACATTTTGCCTCAGAGACTTGCCACAAATGTCTACCAATAACGACCCTTAGACAAAGAAGCTTTTTATTTTGCCGTATTTAGACACAAAAGTTGAAGTGATTGAAGACAGTTGAGTTCTGATTCTAAAATCATCACCAAGCTAGTGATTTTTTCTAGAAGCTGCTTCACATAAGTTTAAATGAACTAACTTAATCTTAGAGGCTCACTAAGATAAAATGTATCATGGACTTAAATAGAAGGACTCACTTATGAAATCGAGGATGACATGCCCGTCGGATAATCTCTTGGGAGGATTACCGAGGTTGGTTTCGCCGTAGGGAGGTGGAAATTGACTAAATGCGGCGGAGCGGCCTCCAGTGTCCGAGTTAGAATCCCCGAAGTTGTAGATTGCAGGAAAATTGCAGCTAGATGAACTGCCAGAAACCAAGTCACTTTCTGTCACTGCCAATCCCAAAACCAGCAGTCCCAAGATGCAGAACATCTTTACTGATGTCATGGTTCTTTAACAATCAAAACCAAATGATATTTTGCTGTTGTTGGGCTGCTGTGTTTTATGGCTTTTCAGAGACCTCTTGTATACTCTGCTAAGAGCAGATGGAGACCAGGTCACGTTGGCTGTAATGTGCAGGTAAATGTCTACAGTTTCATGTTACTTGACATTGGATGGGACAAATTAAAATTGTCCCATCCCAACTTTGAGGAAAACCAGCAACCTTTTTAATTGTAAGTAGGTGCTTTAGATCAGTTGCTTTCTTAGTCCTCTTGTCTTATGCTTGCATAGTAATGATCGACGAAGCAAAGTTAGTTGTGGTCTTAATCAGAAAAAAAGAGAGAAAACAATTGGTAGGCAAAACCTGAATTAATCGAATGATAGTGATGGCAGATCAATTATATTAATGCATATTGTTAAAATATATCTCCAGTTTGATTCCAGATGAAACCCGACCCGATGAAGATATGGGGACATTCGACCATATGAAAGTCAAAATTAACTTAGCATTGAAATCGGCCGAAGAATTGACAGTCATGCCGCAAGAGAAGTATGAAAAAAAGCCATTAGGCTCCGTTCGTTTCACGAAAAATAGCTTTCAAAAAAACATTTTTGGGTTTTCTGGTATTCGTTTCATGGAAAATAAATTAGCCATGGAAAATATTTTCCCTCAATGAACAAAACACCTTTAAAAGTAGGGAAAATGTTTTCCACTTTTTTGAAAAGAGGAAAACATTTCCCTCCCTCCTTCTTTTATTATTCATTATAATTATTTTTATTTTCTTTTTTTTTAATTATAATTTTTTATTTTTTAATTATCTTTTTTTTATTTTTCTTTGTCTTTTCTATCTTCTTCTCTGGTCGGTCGCCAGCCATAGCGGCAGCTAGCGACCGGCCATAGGCGAACTCGAGCCTCGCCACAGGCCGACAAGGCTAGAGCTCGCCAGATTACGACGAGGTCGAGCCTCGCTTGATTCAGCAAGGCTGAGCTGGGTGAGCTAGGCCTTGCCGGCCGCCATGGCTGGCGACCGGCTGAGGAAGAAGAAGAAGGAAAAAGAAAAGAAAAGGAAAACTAAAAATATTTTTAAAAAATAAATACAAAAAATTATTAAAAGTAGTACAAGGAGGAAAATCTTTTCTATACCGAATAACGGAAAATATTTTCCAAGACTTTTTCAGATTTCAGACGAACACCGGAAAATTGTGCCATTTTTCAGGAAAATGACTTCCTGAAAAACACTTTTCAGAAATGTAACATTTTCCGCGAAACGAACGGAGCCTAAATTGGGTTTATTTTCTTCTGCATGTTCAAGTTCAAAGCCGCACAACAATTGAAGGTAAAGTCCACCGTTGTGGTTGGGGTCAGAGAAAGAATCATGCAGTAATGGGCCATGTGAAGCTCTCTTGTCCTTTCTTGTTAGATGCCACCCATCTCTTCTTTGTCATATCCAATCTCTTGGACTTTTTTGGAGGTGTGATTTCCAAATGCTTTTGTTATATAGTGTGGGAGCCTTAAGTGAACAGGTGCAAATTGTTGACAAATGTATTGTTTCCATCTTGGCAAAAGTCACGTTGGTGTGTCAACTGGAAACAACCTCAATCCGACTTTATAAAGCTGATTTAGAATACCATCTAACACTTAAAAGAGGAAAAAAAAAATGTGGTCAACCTAGGCCAAAAGCCTATCTAAAGTATCACCCATGAGTGTTAAATGGGTCGTAAATAGGTTTACAACTTATTTAGACCCAACCCACCTCGATAACTCTCTCGCCATTCGATCTCGCGCTCACGTACTCCGCACTTTCACCTCAGTTTGGGTATGAGTTTTTCTAGATTAAGTTAAATATGGAAGTGTTTTAGCAATATCGGTCGTATCGGGTATGAGTTGGGTACGGTCGGGAATTAGTCACTAAATTTGTATTGAATGGAAATGGATGGATCAAATGGATTTATTTGGATCGGACTATTTTTCACCCGACCCACTTGTTTGACGGGTCTAGTATCACTCCATTTCTTAAATTCACGAGGAGGGTCTCCCCTTCTAAGGCAGTGGGATGTAGTGAATGGCATGTTCCCAATTGCTTGATGCATGGACCATTTCCTGTGACTAGCTAGGGTTTGAGCTGGCACTGCCCATTCTTCAACGCCACTTCAGCTGCTCAATAATCCATCTCACAAGAAAAAATTGACTCTACTACTTCTTTGTCTTTTTCTGAAAGGGTCTTAACAATGAAAAATAAAATTTTCAGCTCACAGAAGGTGCCCACCTAATTAAGAAGAATGGCCCAAGCCATTGATAAGAGTCGGTGATGAACATAACTGGTCCATCTTTATTGCTCTGAATTCTGTGGACCATGTGTCTTGTTGACATTTGATTTAATTTTGTCTACGTTGGCAGCAAAAATTAAGGGTACCGCATTTATTGCTCTGTTCTAATAAATTGTTAAAAAAAATGGAGATTTTTATGCAGCAAAGTCAGAGCCCCTAGGACAAAGGGCTCTTTCTTATGATTTCTTCTTGTAATTGGGACTTGTTGAGCGCTGGTTTTCATGCTAAATCGAATCTATTTTTTGGTGCCAGAAAACATTTTTTTTTAAGTTGGCATTTTTCTATGTAAAAAGTCCTACCCAAGTCCTTTGAATTAGATGAACGGGAGCTGCGCTAGTGAAATAAACTGGAGCAAAACTTGATTTTGATAATATATTAGAAAGTTATCTCAAACTCAAAAGCATAAACTTAAGGGAGACCACTTTTTTATAAGAAGCGTATGAATTCCGTCGACAAGCAATGTAAGATACTTCAACCTTTTTTTATTTTTTTTAATTTATAGATGGTGTTAATTTACTTGGAAGGGTGTTTTTTTAACCGAAATTAAGATTAAATTATCAAATCATTTGGAGAACCTACGAGTAACACTACACCTATTGAAACTAGTCTACATGACCGTGAAACATTAGTCTATATGGATGCTTATTAAATACGGCTCATATGTTTAAATACTAAGTGAAAGTATACCACATTGCTTAATAAAATTAATCTTATGAACCTAATTTTAATATCCTAACATTACTCAAAAACATCCAAGCCAAAGATAATGCACCAACTTGTGAAAATGGGGTTGGTTGATCCTAGTAAACACATTAACACAACTGGCTTTGATAGCATGATGCACTTCTTGTTACTAATTACTAATTAAAAGTTGATAGAGGACTAAATCTTCTAAAAAAAACTTAATTGCTTGGTTTAATTAAAATTTTATTTTTATTTTTGTGCGCTGAGATGTGTGCCGAACTACCCTCTTTCTTCCTTCTTCTTTGATGAGTCAGAAGATAATTTGGCTGCTTATACATAAATTCTGCCATTCTAATGCTCTCTCTCTTTGGTCAAGGACTCAAGGCCCCAAGTAGTCAAGCCACGTTTTATTGTCACCATCATTTTCTCATCGTTGCCTTTGCTCCTTTGCTTCCCCATTTTCTCTCTTTCCCTTCGTCTTCCTCGTTTACATGTTTCCATCTTCAAGCCCATTTATAAGTTGGAGCAACTTTCTAGTGGCAGCTGGTCATACTGTCTTGACCTTTTCTTTTAGCTGCTCAAAATCAAGAAAGTCATAAATAACTGTGTGTGTGTGTGTGTGTGAGTGTGAGAGAGAGATAGGGAGAGAGCAAAAATGGCAAGGACAAAAACCACAAAGGGGAGAGAGAATGAGCAGAAGAAAGGGCTGTGGACAGAGGAAGAAGACAAGATTCTCATCGACCACGTCGAGGCCCATGGAAAAGGAAAATGGAACACCATTGCTAAGCGGACAGGTTCAGCAAATAATTATTGATACGGTCAAAATTTCACCTGCATAAGTTTTGGGGGAATGCACTCTTGAGTGGCTCCTCCCCTCCTCTTCCTCCTCCTCTAACTACGGAAAACTTTCTGATTTGCAGGGTTGAGAAGGAGCGGGAAGAGTTGCAGGTTGAGGTGGATGAATTATCTGAGCCCAGATGTGAAGCGAGGTAGTTTCTCTGAGGAAGAAGAAGACCTCATCATTAGACTCCACAAGCTCCTTGGCAACAGGTTCTATTTTAATCTATAAATTTTCCTTGTAGTAATGTCATACATTAGCCTTTATATTATGCAACAAATGAGATGGTATAGCTGAATTCTAGTATATTGTTCTGTCCTTAAAGATGCTAATTGCTGGAATGTTTTAGCAGGTGTTGGCGAGTGTCACAAAACTGTGGAAAAATTACCAATAACTTTTTTCTCGTGTGTCTTGTTGGTAACTTACCGACATCTTCATTTAGTTACCAACTTTATTATAGTTTGCAAATTAGCATTTTTTTTACTAGCTCATTAATTTTTATTCGCATAACTTAGCAACGCTACGAATTTATTAATTTTTTTAAAAAGTTACTAACCTAAATTAGAGTGAATTACTGATTTTTGCCACATTAGATTACCAACAGTTGTTGAGTTACCAATTCTTATTTGAGTTACCTATAGTTGTTTCTTTTAAAAGTTGAAGGCGTTAGTTAGAAAGACAAAAGTTGGTTAAAGACAAGAAATATTGGTAATTTGCAAATTGTCTTAAAAAAACTGGTAATTTCATAAAAGTGTCATACTTTTTTACTAATTTAACGGAAAAGCAGGTTACCGGTAACCTTTTTTTACTAGCAATTCTTCGACACTTACCAGCTCTTTCAAATGATTTACTAGCATAGAAAAAAAAATCGAATTTTTGGGATTATTATGTTAAAATTGAACCACATGACCAATGTATGTTTCTTTTAGGTTTTATAATGCGAAATCTTTTCATGATGAATTTGTTTTGACTTATAATCAGACAAGAAAAATCATGTATCTACCTATGTACCGTTCCCTAAATGTTGTGTGGCAGATGAACATGATTCTTTCCTTTGTTTCCTTCTTTAAGGTGGTCTTTGATTGCGGGGAGAGTGCCGGGTCGAACCGACAATCAAGTGAAGAATTACTGGAACACACATTTGAGCAAAATGCTAGGCGTCAAAATGCGGCGTGCTCGGTCTAGCACATCGACGAGTTTCCAGCCGGCGACTACTTCTACATATCCATGTTCCTCCGAGAGAGGCTCCGACAAGAAACCGGGCGAGGACCTGAGACCGGATGGCGCGAAATGGGATACTAGAGAACCAACCGTTAGAGGCCAATCGATGAGCCACTTTTGGGATTTTGAGAGCGAGCTCGGTGAGCTTGGGATGATGGAGTTCTTGCAGGGGCAGCCTCACGATCTATCTTGGCTTAATTCGTGAACAACCTCTCGGCGGACCATCTCATTCCCTTTCCCAATTTCATATTGCAAAAAATAGGAAGATCTGTCATCTAGCAAAAGGCCTAAAGAATGCCCTGCTCACCGAGCAGAGAATTAGAGTCTTTTGTAACAAGACATCTTGAATAAGCTTTGAGACATGGGCTGTGAAGACAGTCTCAATGCAGCAGCTGCTGATTTTTCAGTCAAAGCATGCTTCTTTCTATTTCATGTACGAGATTTGATTGCTTATATTCTACACGGTAACATGCAAGAATGACGTGCAAGAAAAAAAATGACACAAAAAAAACATCCGAGGACGGCAACAAGAAAAACAACATAGAAGAATGCAAAAATTGAGGTTGAGGTAGTTGGAGTAAGCCATGGACGTGGCTCAAGAACGGCAATGACAAATGAAAGATCGAAGAAGTCAAGAAGGCTCCACATACGGCGCAGGAATCTTTTGCGAGGAGGTCTCTGCTTAGCATTTCTTAGATCATATATGATAACAACACCATTGCGAAGCGGCTACTGAGTTGCGGATGTCTGTTCTGAGATCAGTGTCGAGCTATTGTATCACGAGCCATTGCTATGTCCCAAGTACTACTGAATGTGTCAGAGATTATAATCACTGGCAGTTTGGAGACGAAAGGTAATTACAGAGAGGCTTCATCTATTTAACGCGAGCGATACCATCAAAACCATTTAGCAGACAAATGTACATAATCAAGCAGCTTGAGAGTGAGATCAGCCATACCGTATCATCCACTCAATGTTCATCTTCTGACCTCTGTTAAGCTAAGAGTTCGCTCTGTGCCTGTGCATATGCTAGTTTACTTTGATTCAATCCTTAGAGCATTTCGATCAGCTGACTTTGCCAAGCATAAGCTAACCCTTGAGTTGAACAAGTCATGATAATTGATCCCATTCGTTAGAGCCAGAGTTAAATGTGATCGGGGCAATTTTGGCGGATGGCACTTTGCGAATTCCGTACCGCAGATCGTTGAGGATGCCAGTTTACCTGATGTCTAGGACACATTTTAAGAAAAACATGAAGCATGATACGGATTTCATCTAATCTGAATAGAAAATGAAGCCTGCAGAGATCAAGAGAGAGCATCTTTGGCCTGCCCAAGAAATGAGTGAATACTGTATGCCCTTTGGGTAATTGATCTGCCATCACTATCATTCCATTAACTCAGGTTTCTCCTACCAATTGTTTTCTTTCTTTCTTTCTTTTTCTAATTAAGACCACAACTAACTTTGCTTCATCGATCATAACTATGCAAGCATAAGACGAGGACTACAAAAGTAACTGATCCTACGTTCCTACTTAAAAAGTTACTGCTTTTCCTCAAAGTTATGCAATGGAACAATTCTGATTTGTCCCATCCAATGTCAAGTGACATGAAACTAGAGACAATTGGCTGAATCCAATCATTACAGCCTACATGAACTCCGAGCCGCCCCTTTTTGCTCGTCCCCATTTGCTCTTAGCAGAGTATAAAAGAGGTCTTCGAAAAGCCTTAAGGCACATCAACCCTAGAACAGAAAAGTATCATTTGGTTTTGATTGTAAAAGAACCATGGCATCGGCAAAAATATTCTGCATTTTGGGACTGCTGGTTTTGGGATTGGCAATGACAGAAAGTGACTTGGTTTCTGGCAGTTCATCTTGCCGCAATTTTCCTGCTATGTACAACTTTGGGGATTCAAACTCGGACACTGGAGGCCGCTCCGCTGCATTTAGACAATTTCCACCTTCCTATGGAAAAACCAATCTCAGCAATCCTCCCAAGAGATTATCAGACGGGCATGTCATCCTTGATTTCATAAGTGGGTCCTTCTATTCGACTCCAAGATACATTTTATCTTATTAAGCCTCTGAGAATAATTTAGTTTGTTAAAACTTATGTGAAGCAGCTTCTAGAAAAAATCACTAGCTTAGGGATGATTTCAGAATCAGAACTTAGAGTCTATAAGCACTTCAACTTCTTTGTCTAAATATGGCAAAAATAAAATGCTTCCTTCTCTAAGGTTCGTTATTGGTTAACATTTGTGACAAGTCTCTGAGGCAAAATGTTTTCTATAACTATCTGCAGCTGAAAAACTAGGACTACCATACTTGAGTGCATACCTGGACTCCATAGGAACAAACTTTGACATGGTGCAAACTTTGCTACCGGAGGCTCTGCCATTCTACCGGGTCCATTTAGCCCTTTTGATCTTGGTATTCAGATCACTCAATTCAGACAGTTCAAATCGCTCACAGCAGAACTGTATAAGAACTTGAGTGATTCCAGTGAGTAAAGTCACCTTGTATCTGACACATGCTTCTTAATCCAATTAAGAGTCTCCAGAACTGCACTTCCTTCAGTGTTCTTGCATCCAAAGCTGAATAGTTTTGTAAAGACTGACAACATGTTGACCAATGGCGTTTAACTCAGGGACGATCAAAAAGTGCAGCAGAATTTCACTTCCCCGTCCTGATGACTTCTCAAAGGCCCTCTAAACATTTGATATCGGACAAAACGATCTTGCATGCGGTCTTCAGAACATGACAGTTGACCAAATTATCGAAGCAATTCCTGGCTGTTACGGCTAGTGCTATTACCTAGAGGGGGGGTGAATAGGTGATTTTACCAAATTGTATGATTTAAACGTGCGGAATGAATATAGTCGGGGTTAACAACTCGTATGATCAATATCAGATGGATACGTATGACAAACTTGTATATAAGTTGTCGTTAGATGATTGAGTCTGATGACTATGATGATGTTTTAACGAACTTGTTTGACAAATATGTATGCAGTATAATGCCAGCAATAATAAATGAAAGTTTAGGGATAGAGAATACTGCACACAGATCTTTATAGTGGTTCGGCTTTATCAAGCCTACGTCCACTCTCCACGCTGGCACTGTTGGTTGTGTTTCACTATTGAATCACCAAGAGATTACAAGAGTAGTGCTTCTCGGATGATAGATTGCACTATCACGTACACTCTTCACTCAAGTAATTTTCTTTCTAAAGTAACAACGTGGAATATAGTAATCACAAGTGTGTAAGATCAAAGTTCTATTCAGACTTTGGAATTCTCGATTCTGGTTATCCTTCTTGTACAACATTTGCACTCCTTTTATACTCCTCTATTTCCAATCTATCCGTTGGACTGTCTTCAGAGGATTTGATCCCCAAATCAACCCGTTGGAGAAACTTCCCAAAAGAAAATGCATAGCCGTTAGAAGAAGAACCATTATTTCCAGGTGATTTGATCGCCCATACAATCAAATCAAGGTTTCCATAAGTGTAGTTCTTCGTGTTTAAGGAACGATCTTGTGATTACCAATTAGGATATCTTGAAATATCAATTTGATTGTCCTGCATAAACTTGCCAAAATAACACTTATTGAATCGACGAGTAATTATGAGTCGATAACAAAGTCCTTTCATCGACTAAGTCGATGACTTAGTATTTACCGCATCAAATAACTTAAGTGTAATTTTGGTCAGTAAAGTATTGTTTTGTCTTTCTTCAAAACTAATTAGGGATTTTCCTCAACACTGGCATCCTCGATGGTTTTGATGCAGCAGTACAAGTAAGTTATGGGAAGTCATAGAAGATCTTAGATCCATTTGAAGAGCTTGCCATAAATACACAAAACTTGCTCTTTGTCACTGTTTTCTTAGAGATACTTCCACCGTTTAATTTCAGGAACTCTATGGCGAAGGAGCGAGATCTTTTTGGATACATAACGCCGGTCCAGTTGGATGCTTGCCTTTCATGGCTCTACCATATAATGGCACCCTTAACCAGAATGGCTGCGTTGCTTACCAAAACAATGTAGTTCAAGAATTTAACCAGCAGCTTAAAGAAAGGGTGAACCAGCTAAGAAATAATCTCTTTATGGCTGCATTCACATACGTCAATGTATATTCAGCCAAGCTATTGCTGATCAGTGATGCTAAAAATCAAGGTAATCTTCTGCACATCAAAGGTACTAGCTCTCTCAGGCTACACTTAATGAAAGAAACTACAGAAAAACGTTTAGCAAAACTAAGAGATCCCGCTAAAACAGGTGGTCCATTTTGCCTAATGTTTCGTTAGATTAATACCACTGTTGTGCCTAAATTTTTTGCTGATAGTTGATGAAATCTGGTAGCAGGTTTTGTTGATCCACTAAACTACTGCTGTGGTAGCTTCACGCCAACATTTGTGAGATGTGGAATGTCGGTACAACTAAATGGAACCACCATTCATGGAGATGCTTGTGGCGACCCTCAGGATCAAATTAGCTGGGATGGCATACATTTCACGGATGCAGCCAATTCATGGGTTGCTTCATGCATCCTCAATGGTTCCATGTCTGATCCACCTGTACCAATTTCCAATGCTTGTCCATAACTTACCACGTCAAGATTGAAGATTTCGGCAATGAGAATCTTCTTCTTCTTTTTCTAATATCTGATCATTCAGTCTAACTAAAACATTACTCCGGTCGGACTCGGAGCACATGTCCTGTAACATTCACAAAGGAAATAATACAAGCGTGGACTTTTCACTAGGAAGGTTCTACTATTTGCTTCTAGTTTGAGTTCAATACGGGAAGTTCAGATCGGTTTTTGGGCCTTAATCAAGAAACAAAATTTCAGATATCTCATGCTGAATTTGCATCCACTGCTTCATTGGATGCAAAATCCAAGTTGATCATGAAGCTGTAGGAAGACAATTTGAAACAACCTGTAAAGGTGAATTTAAAACTTCTATAGTTCTTTCATCGCTCTTGAGAAAATAATATTGTGTCTATAATCCACAAAGGTTAAGACAGGTCAATAGCTTACTGGCCATGGAATAGCCATTTAGCACCTATTTGCCCTTTGCAACCAACAAGAGAGGACAAAACTGTGACCCTTTTTTATTTCCTTCAAAATGACGTACAGAAACGAACCTTATTTGTGCTCCCATAAGCTAGAATTCCAGTATGGCGTTGCTTTCCTGTTGCCCTTCATTTTGCTTTAAGCATTCTTTTAGCACAAACAAATAGCACTATGTATTTCCTCTCTCAACTTCGGTTCTTGCCCACGGAAATTATGGACATCATCAGAATTACAGTAACTTGATGCCACTATCTTCTGAGATTCAAGAGTCAGTGTCAAAAAGTTCCCAGAGGCCTGGACTTCCTGCTCCAATCCCTTCCAGCTTCTTTCAATCCCAAGCGTCTCGATCTAATGGCATCAATATTCTCCAAATTTCAATTTCCTCGTCCAACCTGTGCAAATTGTCAGAGATGTAAAAAAAAAGTAAGGAACTACTTGAGCTAACAATAACTAAATCATAGAACAAGGAACTTAACACTCTTGAAGATAACTCTACTGCCGACTGGATTCCATAAGTACGAAGGGAAAAACAAACACCAGCTGAACTTGAAATGAAAAGCCAATGCATAAGTTGAAAATCATCCTAATCTAAAATGCCATGTTCAAGAGACCCGGAGGTGACGATACATGTGTCATCTGTCCATCCCCCACCCCCACCTAAATCATAACTCATTTCATGGGCAGACAGACGGATAACTGGGGATTGCCAGTTTACCTGGTGTGTAAGGCACATTTTTAAGGAAAATATGAACCATGATATAGATTTCATCTAACTTGAACAGATAAAGAAGCCTGTAGGTTAAGAGAGAGCATATTTGCCAATCCTAGAAATGAGTGAATATGCCCCCGTTTAAGTTGTCATTATCAGACAGATCAATCTGCCGAGGTAATTGATCTGTCATCCATTCTTGGCTAGATATGTTGTTCCCTTTTTTCTTCTTTTTTTTCTTATACTTAGGTCAATGTTTATAAGTTTCACTAGCTGTAATTTTTACTGACGTACTAGATTAGAAAAATCTGATGCAATGGAAAGGGAAAGAACACAGATGTTTCACCACCCAACCAATTCTTCCTCTTCTAATTAGGACCACAACTTTGCTTCGTCGATTATTACTATGCAAGCATGAGATAAAGCATCAAGAAAGATGTTGATTCCAAGTCCAAGCTTGCAATTAGAAGATTTGATGCTTTGTCCTATCACTAAAATCTTATTCATTCCCTTTCAGTTTTGTAATTTTCAGGAGTCCTCAAATTGTGGTATGCAACATTCTAACCAGTCCTATCCAATGCCAAGTGACATGAAATTAGAGACAATTCTGAGAATCCAATCTTCCATTTTATGTGAACTCCGAGCTGCCCCTTTTTCGCTTGTCACCATCTGCTCTTAGCAGAGTATAAAAGCGGTCTTCGAAAAGCCATAAGACACAGCTAACCACAAACAGCTAGTTATCATTTACTTCTTGAGTTAGAAAGAACAATGGCATTAGTAAAAATGCTCAGCATTTTGGTTCTGCTGGTTTTGGGATTGGCAATGACACGAAGGGATTTGGTGTCTGGCAGTTCATCTAGCTGCATTTTTCCAGCTATCTACAACTTCGGGGATTCAAACTCGGACACTGGAGGCCGCTCTGCTGCACTTACACAAATTCCACCTCCCTATGGCGAAACCAACCTTGGTAATCCTCCTAAGAGATTTTCCAACGGGCATGTCATCCTTGATTTCATAAGTGAGATTTCCAGCGGACAATTTGAAACTTTGAGTCATCAGTTTCTTTTGAGCAGAATATGGATTAAAGGGAAACTTCCTGATTAATTTCACCAGTCAGGATGAACAGTTTTAATGACTAGAAGTTCATTGTCTTCACAAAAAGATGCCTTTATAAAGTTTATTAGAGTTTAACATTTGTGAAGTATCTGAGGCATAATCGATTTTCTCTGACTTTATGCAGCTGAGAAACTAGGACTACCATACGTGAGTGCATACTTGGACTCCATAGGAACAAACTTTCGACGCGGCGCTAAATTCGCCACTGGAGGCTCTTCCATTTTACCTGGTCCTTTCAGCCCTTTTGATCTTGGCATTCAGATCTCTCAATTCAAACAGTTCAAATCACGCACAACAGAACTCTATAAGAATTTGAGTGATTCTGGTGAGCCCTTATATCCTTCAACTTTCTGCAGCTCATTAGCCAGAATTATAGCACATCTAACAAATAATCCACATATGCCTCTTAATCCAATTAAGAGTCCCTTTAATCGCAGTCCCTTCCATTTCTTTGTGCTCAAAGCTGAATAATTTTGTAAAGACTGACGACATACAAAAAAATGGCGTTAAATTCAGGGATTGTCGAAAACTGCAGCAGTGTGTCCCTTCCGCATCCTGATGATTTCTCAAAGGCCCTCTACACATTTGATATCGGACAGAACGATCTTACATTTGGATTTCAGAACATGACTGTAGACAAAATTGTCGCTGCAATTCCCGGCATCCTCGATGGTTTTGATGCAGCAGTACAAGTAAGTTATGGGCATTCATAGAAGATCTGAGAACCATAAAGAGCTTAACATAAATACGCAGAACTTGCTGATTTTTTACACTGTTTTCCTAAAGGTATTTCTGTCATTTAATTTCAGCAACTCTATGGCGAAGGAGCAAGAGCTTTTTGGATACATAACACTGGGCCAATTGGATGCTTGCCTTTCATGGCTCTGCCATTTAAATTTAGAAATGGCACCCTTGACCAGAATGGCTGCGTCGCTTACCAAAACAATGTAGTTCAAGAATTCAATCAGCAGCTTAAAGAAAGGGTAAACCAGCTAAGAAACAATCTCTCTGTGGCTGCATTCACATACGTCGACGTATATTCAGCCAAGCTATCGCTGATAAGTGATGCTAAAAATCAAGGTAATCTTCCCCATAGCAAAGGGTACTAGCTCTCTCAGGCTACACTTAATGAGAAAATCTATGAGGTAAATATAGAGAAAAACTAGGCAATCCGCAATAACGGGAGGTCATTTTTGCCTATTAATATTAATACTACTGAGGTGTGTAAATCGTGTTCTAATGGTTGATGAAATCTGGCGGCAGGTTTTGTTGATCCACTCAACTACTGTTGCGGTACCTTCGTGCCAACATTCGTGATGTGTGGACTGTCGGCACAAGTAAATGGAACCACCATTCATGGAGATGCTTGTGGCGATCCTCAGGACCGAATTAGCTGGGACGGCATACATTTCACGGATGCAGCCAATTCATGGATCGCTTCACGCATCCTCAATGGTTCCATGTCTGACCCACCTGCGCCAGTCTCCAATGCTTGTCCGTAACTTACAGCGTCAAGATTGAAGATGCAGATCCAAAAGAAGCAAAGAAAAGAGCATGAACAATCGTCCCTTTCCTTTTCTAATTTCTGCTCATAAGTTACTAAATAAAACGTCACCCCTGTGGGAGCACATTTCATGTAATGTTCACATGGAAAATAATCCAGGCGTTGCTTTCAAAAGAAACAGCATGTGGACTTTGTCGCTATGAAAGTTCTAGCGCTTGCTTCTTGTTTGAGCTCAATACTGGAGGTTCAGACCAAGTTTTGGGCCTTATTCACGTAACAGATTTGAGACATCTCATGCTAAATTTCCAATAACCTTAGTAGATCATGAAGCTGTAGCAAGACAATTTGTAACAATCTGTATAGGTCATGTTCTTCTTTTTTCATGAGATACAAATTTATTATTAAGAGAGGCATATACAAGAAAAGGGAAAAGAGACCAGCAAGACGAAACTAATTAAAAAACATTAGAATGTGAAGCCCATAAACACTTAAAATTAGCTAGAAAGGAGGCGAATTGCTGGCGTCTGTCATCAGAGGTGAATATAGGACGATTTTTTACTGGCAATGGAATAGCCATTTAAGTACCGGTTTGCCCTTCCCAACGAACAAGAGAGAATGAAATCCTAACCATTCTTTATTTGCTAACAAGTAAATATCAACGATTCCTTGAAAATGATGAATAAAATCAAACCTTATACATGCCCAATATCCCACACCAAGCTAGATATCCAGAAGGGCGGTGGCTTTCTTATTATCTCTTTATTTTGCTTTAAAAACTCTTCAACGAAAGTAGACAGCCTATGCATTTCCTCTCTCAACTTTGCTTCATGCCTATGAAAGAATGTACATCGTCAAAATCACAGTACCTTTATGCCACCATCTTCTAAGACACAAGAGTTAGTATCAACTATCAAGTAAAGTGCCCAAAGGCCTGGACTTCCTGCTCCAATCCCTTCCGGCTTCTTTCAACAACTCAGCCAACCTTTGCTTCTCGGCGTCCACATCAGAGTTTGCTGTCCCAAGTTTATCCTGTCTAATGGCGACAACATTCTCCAAAATTTCAATTGCATCATCCAACCTGTGCAGATTGTTAGTGAGGTAAGCATGCAGTGGAGAACTACTCTATAGAAAGAATAAATCATAGAACAATGAATTAAATGCTCTTGGGAACCTAATTCTGTTGCCGACTAGATTCCATAATAGAAAAACTAGCAGCGGTACAAATGAAATGCCAATAAGTCAATTAAAAAACATTCAATCCTAATTTAAGCTATCATTTTCAAGGTACTTGGTCATGATGATAAAACCATTTGAGAAAAGACATGCCATCTGCTTCATCCCCCACCCCCTTAAACCAAAAAACCAAAAAAAAAAAAGGAAAAAAGAACCAGAAGAGGAGGAGGAAATACAAATCACATCTCATTTCAAATTAATGACAGACAGACAGCAAGTTCTGCGACCAATAAAATCCGCAATGTTCATGTATGAAAAAATGTATTTCTTGTGATAGTCCCCAAGTTCTACTGATACAATTGATTGGACCTAGAAAGGACAGATGTTATGGAGACAAGATCGCGAAAAACAAAAATTAGATAGCCAGAATCATGAGAAAAGCTAAAAACAAATAGTCATACCTGCCCATTGCGTCGTACGTGCCAGCCAAATTGCTGCAGACACCTAATGTGTCAGGGTCATATGGTCCATATTCCTTTTCCAAAATACTTCTTGCTTCTTCAAAGAGGTCTGCAGCCTCGTTTATTGCCAAACATTGCACACAGGCTAGACCCATTTGGTTTAGAGCAATTCCAAACAAGGGGGATTTTTTCTCTGCACTGACCCGGAATTTCGAAACAGCAGAATTTAAGGAGGTGTAAGAATCAGAATATTTTCCCATCATATAATAAATAACTCCAATCTGTGCCTCGACTCCTGCAACCATGTGTTGCTGGCCAGGGGCATCAGCATGTATCTTCAAAGCCTTCTTAAGCAATGTGAGTGCCAGTTCCAACTCATTCATAGACTCATAGATGGCAGAAAGGTCAATGAAGCCACCAGCAATCTCTTCAGATGGGATCATCGGATTAGGCCTTCTGTAAATATGAAGTGCATTCTTACAGTAGGATTTGGATTCCTTGAACTTCCCAATCTTGTGGTACAAGTTCGCCAAACGCACGTAAATTGAAGCAACTTTCGGATGATTCTCGCCTTTGGTCGACTTGAAGACTTTAATTGCTTTCTGGTATGCAAAAACAGCCTCATCATACTTAGCAAGTGATAGGTATGCATCTCCGATACTGCAGTCTATTGAAGCCACATCCAATTCTTGTCCATGCGATGCCATGGCCATGCTTGCTAAAACATAATGCTCCAGTGCAGACTCATGTTCACCTTTTGAGTCACAGATAAGTCCCATTAGTCTCCTATCAGCCGCTTCTGCAAGGAAAGCAGTAGAACCTTTTCCCTTGTGAATGTCCAGAGCCATTTGGCAAAGCTTCTCAGCGTCATCAAATTGCAATGCCTGGACATAAGCCTCGGCCATATAACGGCATGTCTCGCCAACTCTGGGGTCTGTCTCTCCCAAAACTTGCTTTTGGATCTCCAAACCAGCCATATATAACAGTAACGAGTTCTCCATCTGACCGATCATTGCATATGTATCACCTAACTGCATGCAGCCAGCAAATTTAGCAACCGCATGGTTTTCACCATCCTCGAAAGCTGGAATTCCAATTGAGCGCTCAAGAACTGGAATTGCTTCACTATACTGACCTAAGTCACAGTATATTGCAGCCAAAACATGCAAACACATAACCAACCCTAAACTAGGTTTTTCATTGACTCGTTGCTCATATGAGCTCACAGCTCGAAGAGCCAATTCAAGAGCTCTCTGGGGATTAGCCCCACTAGCAATCATATCTCTCATTCTTTTGAGTAAATAGGGTCCAACGTCTGCATCATCAAGTCCCACATCAAGAATATTTTCTATACTGCTATACTTTTCCCCAAGTAAACCAAGATATCTCTGTTTTCTCCTAAGATTTTTCCTTTTTGCACGCTTTTCATTCTTTTTGCCAGCAGGAGGTCTCTCGCGGGGCACTTTGCGCATAGAACTTGCTTCCGATGATTGCTCCTCTTTAACTGCAGATTGGTATCTACCTCTCATTTCGATCTTCTCAACGGTTAGATCAATGCCTTCAATTGGATAGTGGTCACAATCTTTATCCTCTAGTCTTCTCTCTGGCACCACATCCGTTGTCATCTCCATTACACCAAAGTCTCCGACAAGATGGCCCAACTCTGAATCAAGTCTGGATTCCTCACCATATGAGAGAATACTAGACCTGGAGGGAGATTGATCGGAGCTCTGCATCTCAAACACATTGTTATATAACTGCTCGATGGAGGTATCTACCACACGATTGATAAAAAGATCAATGGAATCACTTCGAGGACTGTGCGGACTTAGTGGACTTCTTGGAGACCTCAACTGGGTGTAGCTTTCCTTGTAAGATGAATTATTTCCACTGGATTCATCTGTTATGCTGTGCACATTCCCAACTTCAGTGGCTAATCCAGGCATTTTGCTGAACATGAATCAATCCGCTTAGTAAACTTAAATATCTTCGGAAAAGATGTAGGAGAAATAAGGAACATGTATATTTAGCAAAGAAAAATTTCAGGCAGCCGTTCCCCTAAAGCTTAAATTATTGCAAATTGGGCTGAGAGTGAATATCAAGCATCACCACAGATACCTCTTTTGTGCAAGTTAGACCTTACATCTAAAACACAAGAATTAAAAGTAGTCACGTCAAACAATCAAAAGGCGGCTGCATAGCTACAGAAGAAAGGGTCGCGAAAGAATCGGATGAGGAGCATCGAGAGTCCAATCATGACTTGAAATCTCATCCCCTGTCGTGCGACCACTAACAAACATAAGCCAAGCACATTCCTCAACGGAAGCACGAGTCAGGTATGACCAGGAACTCGAACTAGAGATTCACTCCACTCGCACAACCCATCAACACGCTCGAAGCTCATTCCAAAACATGCGAATTACACAGAAACAGAGAAGCAAATGTTACAGCAGCAAAAGCATCAACCCATCGAAGAATCAAGCACGTGCGTAAGGCCTGGCGGCGCTTCCAGGCGAAACCAGAAAGGAAGGAGAGACAAAACGAGGGGCGCGTACCTTCGCAGTAGATAAGCGGCGGCGGCGACGGAGGAGGAGGAGAGGTCGAGACTCCGCGGAGGACTTCCTACAGACAGCACACACCGCGAGTTCAGACGAAGCGGGAAGATGATGGAGAGATGATGAGCACAAGGCAATGCAGAAGAGATGAAGAGAGCGAGGCAGCGAATGGAGAAGGAGGAGAAGAAGGAGAAGAAGAAGAGGAAGAAGAAGAGTGAGGTAGAAGAGGATTGCAGAGGCGTGAAGTTGCAGTTGCAGAGAGAGTCTGAATGTTGAAGCAAACGAGGAATGGAGGAAAGAGACACCTCTCGTTCCCTCGCTCGCTCTGTATCTCTCTCTCTCTCTCTCTCTCTCTCTCTCTCTCTGGTGTTTTTTCAGCTGGGACGTCGCAAGTTGGCGCGGTTAACGGCTTTTCGACGCCAGCGGACAGCTCGTGCGTCCATGTACATGCCACGTCGGACAAGCGACGTTCCAATACCAGCGAGAGGAAAGTGAGAGAAGAGAAAAGAAAAAGTTAATAAATATTTAGAAAATTCGATTTTATTTGATTATTAGCTAATTATTAATATTAACGTAGGCCTTAGGCAATTTGGCTCGGAAAAGACTACTAGGATAAAGGGCGGAATGACCGCATAGCTTAAAGGAAAACCCTCCTTTGGATTAGCGGGAATCGCGCATTGTCTTATCTACTTTGACTAATGTACTTCTCGTGTGATAAATTAAGTAACTAATCACGTACCTCGAATAAAAATCTATCATGATAAGTTTTTAAAAGAAAAAAGGGGTGCAAAGAAACAAAATAAATAAGAACTTGTCAAAACTCTTTAACACGTTATCGAAATCCAATTCGAAATTCGTTTTATCACCCGACGTACTTGTGAATTTTTTCTTTTCCATTTCTGGCATCGCGCTACTGTCCAACACACGCAGAATATGGTGTTCTAATGTCATATATTAGTCTGCACGTAAAATACAGGTTGAAGTTTTAAATTGCTCTGGGTGATAGAGTACATGACCTTGTCTATTTACATATTCATTTTTGAAATGAGATATAAGATGTATAATCCGACGGAGTTCTCATCCAATTATACTGTGTCACGTGTTTGTCATGCGATGCCAAAAAAAAGTACCGACGACCAAATACGATCTTCAATCCTATCTTAGCGTGTTAGGAGATAACTACTTAGATATCAAAACATGCTTGGATTTTGATAATGAGTGTCGCCGCAGTCGGAGCAATATATTCTCTTGCTAAAGAGAAAAAAAGGGCAAAAAAAAATCCACGTGGACCCCATCTCATCTTCATCGGGAACAAAGCCTAGGGCTTCCCAAATTGTTTTGTGGGCTTTTTCGGCTGAGCTGGACATGTGGGCCCAGAGAAAGCGAAGTCAGCCATTCGGCCCACTTGTGAGCAGGATCTTACCTGGGCGCAAATTAGGATGGAGCCAAAAAAATAAAATATAAAAAATCTTTGGATCACAATTTCAGGCTTTATTTATTTTGCAAAAAATGAATAATTTAGAAATTATTTTTTCTAAAAATGATTGCTTGTATCGCTTGAAATAACTAACCAATGAAAAATATTATTATAATCAATAATAATCTATGTTTATACATTTTCATTGATAATATAAAAAAAATTTCGTTCATTCATTTTTGTTAGCGATATAAATTATCATTTTTATAAAAAAAAAATTTCGATGAATTCATTTTCTGCGAAATGTACGGAGCTTTAAACTCGCCTACAATAAAAACATTGCAATTAGCTGTTTAGTAATTACAATAAATCTTGATTTGGTGATGCGATATTGATGTGCTTAAAGCGTTCACATCATAAACCCAAAACGCATTAGCCGAACGATGATAGAGGTGAGATTTCGCGCCTCAAGAAGCGCGAGATCTAGGGTTCGATTCCTTTTTGATGTGCTTCCCTCGAACCAAGTCTCACGAGTAAGCAATATCCTGCAAATTCTCTAGTTCCGACTTAGATGGGCTACCTTTGACTGGATCGAGGATGCGGACATAGGGCCTGTTTGGTTCAACTTTGAAAATGCTACTTGGGGGAATGCAAATACCTTTGGGTGAAAGCCCATTGAGGAAATGCAAATGGTGTTTGGTAAAAATATTTTGTAAAGCTACTTTGGCCAAAATATTGTGTTTGGTGAATTTTTTTTTGCAAATGGACTTTGAGAATTATTTTATTTATTAAAAAAAAAAAAACAAAACCTACCATCGCCAGAGCCGGCCGCTGGCGAGGGCCTATGGCCGCCGGCGACCGTCGCCCGGGTCGGGCGACCCCGGCGAGCAGATCTGCGCCCGCCGAGTCGCCGAGCGCCGACGGCGACCCTCGGCGGGGTCGCCCAAGGCCAGGCCCGGCGGCCGCTTTGGGTGGCGAGACCTCGGGCGGCGGTCGCACTGGGTCGTGACCTCGGGCGGCGGTCGCTGGGTCTGGCAGCGACCTCGGCGGCGTCGCTTTGGGTCGCAGCGAGCCTCATCGCGGCCGTCGCACAGGTCGCATGCGACCTCATGCGGCCCGTCGCTGGGTCGCAGCGACCTCGGCGGGCGTCCTTTGGGTCGCGCGACCTCGGGGCCGTCGCTGGGTGTAGCGACCTCGGGGCGGCGTCGCCTGGGTCGCGCAGGACCCTCCCAGGGCGGCCGTCGCTGGGTCGCGTGACCTCGGGCGTCGCATGGGTCAGCGCGACCCGGGGCGACCACCGCCTGCTAGGGACGGCGTCGCTTTGGGCGGTCGCCCGACCCCAGGCGACCTCGCCGGCCCTCTCCCTCGCCGGTCACCCTCGCCGGCTGCCTGTGAAGAACAGCTTCAACCCAAAAAAAAAAAAAAAAAGGTGAACAGTAGCATTCGTGGAATGCTAGCATTTGGCCAATGCTAGGCCAAATGCTGAACCAAACACTTCAGCATTTTGGGAAGGGGCTTTCGAGGCTCAAAGCCCCTTCCCAAAGCTGAACCAAACACTCCCATAGTCTAATGCTCGAAAACAAAGTCGGATAACACTAAACGATAGCATTATAATCTACGAGTTATAAATAATTCGAATGTAATCCATCCATAAAATCTTGATGTGTGCGGTAATCACTTATCAACGTCAACATATGATGTTGTGACATGAATTAATACCTAAAATTGATCCGACATGCTTCTTGTTATGCTTGGCACCACTGAGAACATCTCAGCTTTAAGGTAATTATATAGAATTGGTTCGCAATTTTTTTTGCGATCAAGTCATTGAACCCATTCTTTTTATATTTTCGCTATCGCTTTACTTAAAATTACTCAATCTATGTCATCGAGCCCATTCGTTTGGCGTCGTTACTAAGTTTGTCAACTTTACAGCATCTGACTGCTAAATTTTTGTGAATTTTGGCATGCGGTGCATATTTATCAAATTACTAATAAGCACTGATTCTTTCTTTTCAAGTAAAATGAGAATTGATAGAGTAGGATGGACTTATTGCGTAAAGGGCGATACATTATAGAGTAACATGGGCCGCCTGAATAGCAGCTACGGTAGCTCCTGAAATCAGGGATGCATGTGCATAATTGATCCATTTGGTCCGCAAAGTATAAACTCACAGAGAACAATCATTCGAACCCATGCCCGATCTGATTGGATTTTTGTAGTTCCCTTTTTTGATATTTTAAAAAAAGGATATGTGCACTAAAAGTCCTAAGATTTATCACAAAAATACAATTGAGTCCCAAAACTTGCAAAAAGTGCAATTAAGTCCTAAAACTTGTTAACTTGGTTCAATTGAGTCCTAAAGTTAACATTGTAAATTTTTCTAATGGAAAATGCTGACGTGGCATATTAAAATCAATTTCTCTCTCCTACATGGCATTTATTATTATTTTTTCATTCAAATCATATTTAAATTAAATTAAAAAATTTTAAAAAACTAAAATTTATTTAACTTGAGTGCTATAATTTTCAAAAAAATGATCACCTAAGTGCCACTTATGAGCTGATCGTGAGGGTCCGAAACCGCGGCTTTTCCGGACAAACGGTGACCTTCCCGGTGAGGCTAGCACCATTAGCTTGAAGAGGGGGTGTCGGTGAATCATTCCATGCTCCGTTCGTCCGAATGTTTAGCTCAACGAAGGTAAAATGCTTCGTAGTCACACAAATCGGCTCGATAAATTGTGTGACTACGAAGCATTTTTACCTTCGTCAACGGAGGCTAAAACGGAAATTTCGAGACGAACGGAGGCCATGGAATGATTCACCAACACCCCTCTTCAAGTTGGTGGTGCTCGCCTCACGGGAAGGTCACTGTTCGACCGGAAAGCCGCGGTTTCGGCCCTCACGACCAGCTTGTAAGTGGCACTTAGGTGATCATTTTTTGAAAGTTACTGCACTCAGAGCCAAAAAAGTTATGAGACTTAAGTGTCCTCCGTACAAAAGTTATGGCACTTGCGCTGTACTTATCCCAAGAAAAAAGAAAGAAAGAAAGAAAGAAAGAAAGAGGAGGCCTCGCCGGTAGTACACTACCGCTGCCGCCCATCGCTGGAGTGGCCAACGACCTTTGTCAGCCCTGGGCGAGGGCGGGCAACGCCTAGATGTGGGCGAGCCGCGCTAGCCCCATGCGAGGGCGAGCGGTGCCCAGATCTAGGCGAGCCGCGTTGGCCCCATGTGAGGGCCGGCGAGGCGTCGCCCAAATCTGGGCAAGCCTTGTGGGCCCCAGGCGAGGGCCGGCGATGGGCGGCGGCGGTAGCCTCGGGCGATGGGGAGCGATGGCAGCACCCTACCAGCGAGGCCTCCCTTCTTTTTTTCCATTATTGTTTTTTTATAAATAAAATTTTAACTTTCTTTACTTTTTTAATGTAATTTAAATAATATTTAAAGAAGAATAATAATAATAATAATAAATGCCATGTAAGAGAGAGAAATTGATTTAAATATACCACGTCAGCATTTTCCGTTAAAAAAATTAACGGTATTAACTTTAGGACTGAATTGAACCAAGTTGACAAGTTTTAGGACTTAATTGCACTTTTTGCAAGTTTTAGGACTCAATTGCACTTTTGTGACAAGTTTTAGGATTTCTAGTGTACATATCCCTTTAAAAAAAGTGGTATGGTGTATGAATCGAAAACTGGTCCACCTCGTCCTAGAACCAAACCGACTATTTCGGTCCGATTCTTGGGTAGGTATAGGAATCGACAATGATATCTTTCTTCTTCTTTTTTCCAATACCATGTAAGACTACAAGTGTTGTTGCGTTGTCTAAATTTTTACTCTCTAGTGTTTTGGATCTTTAATCAATGGAAATCTTAGTGGAAAGATGCAGCTAAAGGTGTCATAAAATATGATCAATATCATTAACTTGCTAATAAAAAAAGTATGAGTTCGGTCCAAGTGGTTCGGTCCATACCTGAAATTGAGAACCTGATCGACAATCAACGATTTTGAATTTTAGAAATTGGGAATTGCCCAAAGCCGGCCAGTTCCGGGAATTACCCTAAATGAAAGAAGCAGCGTCTCTTGTTCAATCATTATCTGCGACGAAGTGTCAAAATTATAAGACTCGGTCGAGATTGGAGGGTGAGAAAGTGTGGTCCCCAAAGGAAATGGGGAGGAAAGGAGAAATTCAACTAACTCCTTCCTGTTTTTCTTTTGAACAACCTTCCTTTTCCACGTTTATCTTTTCGTGCTCTGCTCCCTCAAATCTATGCACTTCTAATTTATTTAATCGAATCCCTTTTCCTTTCGTAAATTTTCTAATCAAGTCCCCACGTTATCTTTTCGTGCTTTGTTCCCTCAAATCTATGCACTTCTAATTTATTTAATCGAATCCCTTTTCCTTTCGTAAATTTTCTAATCAAGTCCCCACGTCATCAGATTCGACCGAAATAACCCTTGCCAATGCGAGGTTCGATAACATCTGGATTTCATCTACTTCATAATACGTTGTCTACGTCGACATGAGTCCACGTGAGCACCCGTATATTTTATTCGTGTCATATTTCGACGTCGTGTGATGGCTAAATCAGCTAAATTTGATCGGAAATTAGTATCGGAAAGACTTGATTAAAAAATTTTGTGAAAGTAAACGGACTTGATTAGACAAATTAAGTACGTAGCCTTAGTTAAAAGAAGGGTTAATACCACGAAAAATCTCAAACTGATACATATATGACAAATTTATCCCAAACTAATTTTTTGACCACAAAAAAATCACAAATTGGTACATCTGTGAAAAATTTACCCACCATTAGTTTCCGTTAAATTTTACCATTAAATTGCTGAGTTGGATGACACATAACAGTTGACAGATGTACAAGTTTAGGGTTTTACCCCTCTGTTTGTCACAAATTTACTAATTTATGATTTTTTGTGGTATTATAAATTTGTCACAAGTGCACTAGTTTGATATTTTTTATGGTCAAAAAATTAGTTTAGGGTAAATTTGTGATAAGTATACTAGTTTGAGATTTTTTGTGGTAAAAAAATTAATTCGGAGTAAATCTGTCACTGATGTACCAGTGTCGAATTTTTCGTGGTATAAAGGTGAACGTATGGATAAGAAAAGTAGAAGTTTTTCGCTTTGCACTTCATTTATTTGTTTGATGTGGTGTTTATGAAAATTCTTAACAAATAAAACGGTGATTAAGCAAAGAAACTTAAAAAGCTCTGTTTGGTTAGTAAAATTTTTTTAAGATGTTTCTTTTCAGTTATTCCAAAGGGCGCCATGCCCGGAAAAGCATGGCGTCTTTTGGACACCGAAAAGCCACTAAGGAAGGACGAATCAGAATTTGCGAAGGCCATCATTACAGAGCAAAATAATCACACGGGTTTTATTTCCACGCGGTGACCGGAACGAGACACGGCCGTTAATTTCCAACGAGAATGATCGCATTCTTTGACGAATGTGGAGAATACCCCAAAGCGACCCGAATTGATACGAACTTCGTATACATAAATTCGATAGCCGTTTCGCTAAAATGGTACGGTGGCAATTCGAACAAGATTTGAATCGCGTGACAAGGATCGAGAATGGTAAGATTAAAAGTAAGAAACGCGAGTATTGGGAATTGAAATGCTGATGATAAACCGAGAAAATCATAGGTTTTTGTGATGATGATGGTGTCTCTACAAATATCACATACGGCTTTAGATAGTATATTACTGCTCATAAGTAATTAATGCTAATGACGTGACGGTTATAATCTCGTCTCCATAACTTTAGGCTCCATGATCGCGACCTTACCTACACGTGGTTACAACTCCTTAAGTGCCAACCATCAATGGGCGTCTCTGTCTTACATTGTTATCTTTACTTTGTCTCCTTTCTTCATTTTCTTGAAATAAGTGCTTTACCAAATTTGTTAAGTGTTAATCATCGACCGATCACCATTGTAAAGTATTTTTATTATCGGTAACTTATCAATAACCAAATCGAAACTCAACACCGAGCTCTCTACTTACTCAAATCGGTGCCATGTCGAATACAAAGACTCGGTCCTTTTTTGTTGTAAACAATAGTATAATTACGAAACCCATTTGAATCAAGTTTTCCTCCTCTTCCCTCGCAATCCCCTCTAACATGCACAACAGAAATCACTAATAATTTACAAATTAATCGAACCTTTTCTTATCTTTGGTAAGTTAAATCTTCCTTATTTCCAAAAATTTTGAATACTTTCCTTTCCAATAAGAGAAAGCGAGGATGCAACTTGCTTGCCAAAACCCCGAAAAGGGGAAATGATTAAGCGACAAGAAGCTGTGCTACATGCTACCACTTGCCAAAGCCGGCGCGTCTCACTTCCTCGTCACAAGCAAGCGAAAAAGAAGTTGTTCCTCTCTTCCCTTCCGGCTCTTCTTCGCCTGTATATATCGAACGTCTCTCCCTCGGTACTTCACCAGTGTCTCGTGCAATTTGCATTCTTCTTCCGATACTGAAATCTCTCTTCGAATCGCTTCGAACCCCGTGGACCGCGAGGATCGGTCGGCTCGGAAATGGCGATGAAGCGCGCCGGTGTGTCTGCCATCAGGGCTCTGTGCTCGTCCCCGAATTTGACCCGACACGTCCATGTGAGTGGCCCGTTAGTCAGCGCGTCATCGGAGTTGAATTTTAAGCTTGATCATGACCTGCTGCATGTATAGTCCGCGCGATCGCGAGCTTTCGCGTGATTGTTTTGTGGTTTTTGAGCGTGCTCTGGTTCTCGTGCTGCTGGAAATTCGAACTGATGCCTTCTCTGCTTCGACATTTTCTTCTTCACTGACTGCACATGTGTTTTCTGTGGTCACTTTCATCAGTCTCCTGCTGGAAGCAAGAAGATCGTGGGTGTGTTCTACAAGGCCAATGAGTATGCTGAGCTGAATCCCAATTTCGTGGGCACTGTCGAGAGAGGTTTGGGCATACGCGACTGGCTGGAATCGCAAGGCCATCAGTACATAGTCACAGATGACAAGGAGGGACCGGACTGCGGTGAGTGCGTAGTAGAAAGGACAGTCTTTCTCCGTAGATTTGCTCTGCAGGAACCTTTGGTTTTGGCAGATCTTCGCTTGACTGTTACTGTATTGGTTTCCATAACTATGTTTTATGTTTGCTTCGCTTCTCACTTCTCAATTCAATCGTCGCAGAACTTGAGAAGCATCTTTCCGATCTTCATGTCCTCATATCGACCCCCTTTCACCCTGCCTATGTCACTGCGGAAAGAATCAAGAAGGCGAAGAATTTGCAGCTTCTTCTCACTGCCGGGATCGGTTCCGACCACATCGATTTGAAGGCTGCAGCTGAAGCAGGGTTGACGGTTGCGGAAGTCACCGGAAGCAATGTTGTTTCGGTTGCGGAGGATGAGCTCATGAGAATCCTCATCCTGGTAAGGAACTTTTTGCCTGGACATCATCAGGTCATCGAGGGCGACTGGAATGTGGCTGGCATAGCATACAGAGCTTACGATCTTGAAGGAAAAACTGTCGGGACTGTCGGCGCCGGACGAATTGGCAAGCTTTTGCTACAGAGATTGAAGCCTTTCAACTGCAATCTCCTCTATCACGACCGCTTGAAAATGGACCCAGAACTGGAGAAGCAGACTGGTGCCAAATTCGAGGAGGACCTCGATGCGATGCTTCCGAAATGCGACGTAATTGTGTTCAACATGCCTCTGACTGAGAAAACAAGGTAAAAAATCACTTGATGGAAAGAAGTTTGTGGCGTTTAGTCTGCTTCAGGTTCTCAGTTTTCTTGCAATATGTGAGGTCTGAAGTTCCTTTGTAAAATGTTGCGAGCATTATGTGATGAAGGCCGTGGTATATGTTGCAGAGGAATGCTCGATAGAGAGAGGATTTCCAAGCTGAAGAAAGGTGTCCTTATCGTCAACAATGCTAGAGGAGCACTCGTGGATACACAAGCTGTTGCCGATGCCTGCGCCAGCGGACACATCGGAGGTAAACCATGGTCGGAAGATCGGTTATCATCTGTTATAATCTGTTGTAATTTCCTCATTACGTTCGATTTTCATCTGTCGATCTTTCAGGTTATAGTGGGGATGTTTGGTTCCCGCAACCAGCACCCAAGGACCACCCCTGGCGGTACATGCCGAACCAGGCCATGACGCCTCATATTTCCGGCACAACTATAGACGCGCAGGTATGTATATTTCCGAAACTCCTCGCCTACCGAGTCGCTTTTTAATCATGTTATGACTTTTCGAATCTGGTTTTGGGTGCAGCTGCGATACGCAGCCGGGACCAAAGACATGCTGGACAGGTACTTCAAGGGACAGGAATTCCCTGTCCAGAATTACATCGTCAAGGAGGGCGTGCTGGCCCCTCAGTACCGCTGATTTCCCGCCGCCTCCTCGGCTCGTGCAGTTCCCGTGTGTGTTCGAGTTTTCGTGATCGTCGAGCTTGCTACAAGTTGCGGGATCTTGAACAAGTGTAATAATGCTGCTCTCTTTCAATGTTTTTCTTGAAGTGTTTCTTTAGTTTGTGCTTGTATTGAAGATTTGATGAAGTGTGTTTTAAGAATGGAACTGTACTCTTCGTGCAAATTATCTCCTGTAGTTTTGTTTTACAACCAACGTTTGTTTCGGCTTATCATAGTCCAAAAGATGGCATGATAGACCACGACGGTCCAAGATGCACTCCACGAAAAATTGATAAAACTCGTATCCTAATGTACTGATTAATGATTATATATAGTCGACGATTATCGCCTATCACCGGACATAATTATCAATTTTCTTTCCTCCTTGCGTCACGCTACTATACTACACGTGCGGAACATGACTTCAACCTTTGGTTAGCGTGTTAGGAAATTGAGTACTAGTTATCGAAATATGCCTGAATTTTGATGACCGAGTGTCCTCGCAAGGAACCAATTGCCTCATTTACCTATAAAAAAAAAAGAGAATGAACGCCATTAGACGAAAAATCTTGCACGTTTCGTTTTTCGCGATTTAAGGTAGCGCTCGATCTTGAAGTCGAAATATATGTTGGTTGTGACATGAATATCGAAAATTTCATGCAAAAATGCTTCTTGGTATGCTTGGCGTCACTGAGAACATCTCAACTTTAAGGTGATTATAGAATTGGTTCTCCGACTTATTTGTTTTTGCTATTCGGCCTCTTCACCCTTTATATTTAAATTTTCGCTATAGATGTACTTTAAATTACTCAATCCATGTCATCGAGCCCATTCGTCTCCGACATTGTTGAGAAATCTTTTATTTTTGACACGTGCTGCAAATTTATCAATTTACTAATAAGCCCTAATAATAATTTTTTTTAGGGTTAATACAACAAGAAACTCCAAGCTGGTACATCTGTGATAAATTTATCCCAAATTAATATTTTAATCATAAAAAAATTTTAAATTGGTATATTTATGATAAATTTACCTCAAATTATTTTTTTTATCACCAAAAAGCCCTTGTAGTATTAACCTCTGTTTTTTAAGTAAAAGGAGAATTGTTAAAGGAGGATGGACATATGACGTAAACGACGATCAATCACAATACACGGGATTAGCCAGCTGCAAATGCCTCCTAAATTCGAGGAATCACGTACATCCAGATCCATTTTTCAATATCTTGAAAAATATATATATAAAAGTCGTGTCCATCTAGCAGTCGAATATACCGATTTTCAAAGCATATTTGGCGCATCAAATATTTATTATTTTTTCTAAAAAAATTAAATTCCGTGATATTGAAATCCTCGGGGATCAGATGATTTTTTTTATTTTCAAACAGTGCATCTTATCCGCAGGAAGAGGAAAAGGATTGAGATTTGTCCAAGTAATCGGGCCTATCGTGTTGTGTAAGCGTGCGTGTCAACCACCAACGAAAGGGACAGCTCATCTGAGCTGATCATTATCCGGGACACGTCATTCGATTTGCTTTGTGTCCTAATTATTTGGCTCCGGTCAAAAGATTATAAGGGTCGGCGAAAGGGGGACGATGACATAAATAGTCTTTAAATTTTTTAATTTAATATGTAATTTGATCTTAAAATTTTTAATTTATTTAATATAATTTTTGAACTTTATATTAATGTTCAATGTAATCCCTGAACTTTTAATTTGTTCAATGTAGTTAAGGACCACATTGAATATTTTTATATAGTTCAGGAACTAAATTGAACATGTATCAAAAGTACATGGACCACATTGAATATTAATCTAAAGTTTAGGGATTATATTAAATAAATTAAAAATTCAGGGATCAAATTGTACATTGGGCTAAAGTTCAAAGACTGTTTGTATCATTTTCCCCGGACGGAATGAATGCACCAAAAGAATGGACCGGGAACAGCAATTTCTTTCCTCTTCTTTTGGAAAAAAAGAACCAATTTCCCTTTTTGTTTCTATATTTTTGCGCATTTCCTAATCGAATTTCCTTACTTTTAATTTTTCTAATCGGATCCTTTTTACTTCTACGGAACTTTCTGATCAAATCTCTACCACATCAAAGTCGGCCAAACCTAGCTGACGCGGCGCTTACGTGACGCCGTAGCCGTGACACGGGTAAGATTGTGCCGATGCTAGCGTCCAGGTTGTCCGAATTCTTCCGCACCATATCATGACACGATCTACAATAGTTGAATAAATTCCACACACATCCACATGGACATACGTGTCCGCATGGTGTTTTGGTGTCGTCCGACGACTATGTCAATTGAATTTGATCGGATTTGGTGTCAGAGGTACTTGATTAGACAAATTGCGTATATAGATTTAATTAAGAAAGCGCGAAAGTACAGAAAGGAAAAGTAGAATTTTTTCATTTTCTTTTACATTTAGTCATTTGATGTTGTTTTTTCTAAAAAAAAATTCATTAAGTAAGATAGTGCCAAAACAAAGAAACTTAATGCTCTCTGTTTGGTTCATGAAAACTTCTCAAAATGTTCCTTCTTCTTCTTTTTCCTATAGAGAGTAAAAACAGCATGAAAATCGTTATTGCTTCTGGGGCTGCAAAGAGTCAATGACACTGAGGAGTTCCAAAACGAGCACGATGTTCGGATAAGCACGGCCGCTTTGGACACCGAAAAGCCAGTACGGAAGGACGAGTTAGACTTTGCATGGCCGCTTTGGGACACTGGAAAGGCAAGCAAGGAAGGACGGATCAGCAATTTGCTACGGCAATTATGGGATACATTTATGACACGCGAACGTGAATTGCTAGCCCGCGAAACGGCATCGGGTTTTTGTCTAAGCGACTTTTCTAAGCTTCATGATGGAGCTCGCGGGTCTCCTATGGCCCACGCCCCAATCTGGTCCGGATCGAGAGTTACCCGACCTTGATCTGGACCATATCTAAGACGGCGACGGTCAGGAACGACGACGAGGCGGCGGCCCGTCACGATTTGCAGATTTTTTTTTTCAAAACCACGGTCTAAGAAGGAAAATGGTAATTTATTTAAATAAACAGGGTCGTGAGAATGTAAATTGATATGCACTTAGAAATCTTGAAATCTTTAAGTTATATGCTGTAAATGTGAGAACGCTACTTATTAGCATCGAGTGCGCATTCCCATGCCAGATTGCTTCTTGTAATCAAATCACCCCCTTGAAAGAAAAATGGATGGCCTCCTAATTTTGGCCTGTTTAATGTATAATGTGATTGTTGAACTTTTAATTTTATTTAATATGACCCTTAAATTTTTTATACATATTCAATATAGTCTCTCAACTATATGAAAATATTAAATGTTGTCTTTCTATTAATTCAAGTCAAGAACAATATTGAATATTTTCATTGAACAAATTAAAAATTTATGGATCACATTGAATATTAGGATAAAGTTCGGGAACAACATTTCACGTTAGGTCAAAGTTCATGGACCGTTTCTGTCATTTTTCCTAAAAAAAAAATGGGATAATGATACAAACAGTCCCTGAACTTTGACTCAATGTGTAATTTGGTCCCTGAACTTTTAATTTGTTCAATGTAGTCCCTGAACTTTAAAAAAATGTTCAATTTGGTCCCTGAACTTTTAATTTGTTCAATGTGGTCCCTGAACTTTTAATATGTGTTCAATTTAGTCTCCGAACTATATAAAAATGTTCAATATAGTCCCTGCACTTGAATTAATGGAAGGACTGCATTGAACATTTTTAAACAGTTCAGGGACTAAATTGAACACATATTAAAAGTTCAGGGACCACGTTGAACAAATCAAAAGTTCAGGGACCAAATTGAACATTAGGTTAAATTTTAGGGACTATATTGAACAAATTAAAAGTTCAGAGATTAAATTACACATTGGGTCAAAGTTCATGGACTGTTTCTGTCATTTTTCTTAAAAAAAAAATTGGAAGGAAAAAAAAAAAAAGAGAGAGTGGGGATTTCGAATTTTCGATTGTAACGTCACCGCCACGTGTCGAAATTGACGGCCCTCATCAACGCCTTCTGAACGGAAGGGAATCGCACACTCGCTCGCGGGAGCCAAACGGTGCGCGGCAGGCGCGAATGCCAGAGTTCCTCACGAGCAAAGCGAAGGAGAAGTTGACCTGTCTTTCCCTTGCGCGAACTCTTCGTCGCCTTGTATATGTCGACCCTCCTCTCTCTCTCTCTCTCTCTCTCTCTCTGTCGGTAGGTACTTCACTGAGTGTTTTTTCTTGCACTTCTCTTTCGTCTCCCGGTGCCGAGTCCCTCTCTTTGTAAATCCTTTCGAGCTCGTGGGACCGCGGGAAATCGCGCTCGGCTGGGAGATGGCGATGAAGCGTGCTGGTGTGTCCGCCATGGGAGCTCTGCGTTCGTCTCCGAATTTGTCCAGACATGCCCATGTGAGTGACCCGTTACTCGTCGCCTCGTCGGGCTTGAAATTTTTGGGCTCGGTCGTGACCTGCTGCTGTTGTGGTCCGCGGGATCGCGAGCTTTCGCGTGATTATTTTTCGGGTTTTTTTTTGCTGGTGCTCTGGTTCTGCTGCATCTGTTTTTGATGGGTCGTGTGTTCTGCGGATGCTTTTTAGGCTTATCTGTGTTTTATGGGTCAGAGCACGGGATTTGGATTAATTGATTGATGCAGCAGCATGTGATGTGACTGAGTTGAGTAGCAGGACGGTGGCTCGCTTGATCGGAATTTAGAGGGTCCGTCTTGCAGTTGGGTCATGGGGATTCGATCGGTCAGGCTTCATTGAGTCGATAAAATTGCTGAGTGAGTGCCGATGCTAGTTGGGCATTGTGAGTCGTGCATGGCGATGATGAGGAGTGTCTGACAGACAGACAGTAAGGCCTTGTGGGCTGTTTTGGGTCTTTGTCAGCTTGGCTATTAGGAAGGGGAAAACGGAAGCTTTTTATTTTTTTGGGAGAGTTGGCATGATGGAAGCTTTGTGATATGTCTAGGTTGTCAACATGGTGCGCACAATTATGATCATCTTAAAGGGTTCGAACAGAGACACAGTCAAAGTCAAACCTCTTGATGAATTGTAGTTTGTTATGTTAGAAGAAGTGCATGCTTAGTATGCCACAAGGCTACAGGAGGTATAGTGGGAAACGAGAGATGCACAGACAATTAGTTTTAATGAGTTCTCCTGCTGCTTCTCATAAATAAAAGTCTTCCGGTAATTGTGCGGTTGATGTTGGTTTTAGCATTGATAAGAGACCATCTGTAGCAGCTGGTTTTTCCTGGTTTGCAAGTGATGCGGACAAATGGTTCGAATTAACTTGCGCTTGGTACTTTTGTTTTTTACCGTTCGAAAAACACAGATAATATGTTAAGGTTGACAGCATCAGACACTAACGGATGTTTCTTCCATCGCAAATGCTCATCCTGACATCTGCAATTTCCCTGAAATTGCTTTTTCTTTATAAGATTTATTACTTTGCTTGACTATGGGGATTACACAGAAAGCTCATGTGAAATGTTTCTCCATTTTATCTTGATAGGGGGTTGCTGTTCACTTATTGGACTGTTTGGTTTCTTAGGGTAGTTCTCGTTTCAAGTGATAATGTTTTCAGTTGGTAATGGAGATACGTGTCTCTGGAATTTTGAACTGATGCCTTCTATGCTTCAAATCTTCCTTTTTGGCGTTAAAATTTTCTTCTTTTCTGACTGCATATGTGTTTTCTGCGGTCACTTTTATCAGTCTACTGCTGGAAGCAAAAAGATTGTGGGTGTGTTCTACAAGGCCAATGAATATGCTGAGTTGAATCCCAATTTCGTGGGCTGTGTCGAGAGAGGTTTGGGCATACGCGACTGGCTGGAATCACAAGGCCATCAGTACATAGTCACAGATGACAAGGAGGGACCAGACTGCGGTGAGTACATTTTAGAAATGACACTGGCTTTCTATATAGAAATGCCCCGCAGGAACCTTTGGCTTTAGCTGATACCTGCCATTTCATTATTCTCGATGATTATTAATTTGGTTGTCGCCTGACTGTTATTGTATTGCTTTGTATAACTTGTTATTATTTCATGTTTATGTTTGCATTGATTCTCACTTCTCAATTTTGTCTTCACAGAACTTGAAAAGCATATTCCCGATCTTCATGTCCTCATAACAACCCCCTTTCACCCTGCCTATGTTACTGCGGAAAGAATCAAGAGGGCGAAGAATTTGCAGCTTCTTCTCACTGCTGGGATCGGTTCCGACCACATTGATTTGAAGGCTGCAGCTGAAGCAGGGTTGACGGTTGCGGAAGTCACCGGAAGCAATGTTGTTTCGGTTGCAGAGGATGAGCTCATGAGAATCCTCATCCTGGTAAGGAACTTTTTGCCTGGACATCATCAGGTCATTAAAGGGGACTGGAATGTGGCTGGTATAGCATACAGAGCTTATGATCTTGAAGGCAAAACTGTCGGGACTGTTGGTGCGGGACGAATTGGCAAGCTTTTGCTACAGAGATTGAAGCCTTTTAACTGCAATCTCCTCTATCATGACCGCTTGAAAATGGACCCAGAAATGGAGAAGCAGACTGGTGCCAAATTTGAGGAGGACCTTGATGTGATGCTTCAGAAATGTGACATAATTGTGGTCAACACCCCTCTAACTGAGAAAACAAGGTAGAAGTCATTTTAATTGAACCAATAACGTTTACGTTCCCAAAGAAATTTATGGTGTTAGTATGCTTCTGGTTCATAGTTTTTCTTGCAATATGTAAGGTTTTAAAGTTCATTAGAAGTATATATTGAGAAATTTCCTAAAAAGAAAAGGCTTTTTGAGAAAGAGTAAAATGTTGCAAGCATTATGTGATAAAGGCCATGGTATATGTTTTAGAGGAATGTTTGACAAAGAGAGGATTTCCAAGTTGAAGAAGGGTGTCCTTATTGTCAACAATGCTAGAGGAGCAATCATGGATACACAAGCAGTTGCCGATGCTTGCTCCAGCGGACATATCGGAGGTAAATTATAGCCAGGAGATCAGTTATAGTCATATTTTTTTTCTCTTTTTTCTCTCCAAATCTCTAATTATGTTCGATTTTCATCTGTCTGTGTTTCAGGTTATAGTGGGGATGTTTGGTTCCCGCAACCAGCACCCAAGGACCACCCCTGGCGTTACATGCCGAACCAGGCCATGACACCCCATATTTCGGGCACAACTATAGATGCGCAGGTACTATACATTTCCATACTCCTTGCCACTCATTTTCAATAATAACTTCTTGACTCCCTTTTTTAACCATGTTCTGACTTTCAAATTTCGTTTTGGTGCAGTTGCGATACGCAGCGGGAACCAAAGACATGCTGGACAGGTATTTCAGGGGAGAGGAATTCCCTCTCCAGAATTACATTGTCAGGGAGGGAGAACTGGCCCCTCAGTACCGGTGATTTCCCAGCTCCTCGGCTCCCGCAGTTTCCATGTTCAAGTTTTCGCATTGTCGAGCTTATATCAAGTTGCGGGATCTTGAATTAGTCTAACGATGCTGCTCTTTCAACTCGCATCTTAAACTGTGTGTCTTCAGCTTGTGCTGTATGAAAAGATGATGCAGGAGCTTCAATAAGTGTAATAAATGCTGGTCTTACAATGCACGTCATGAGCTGTGTCTTTAGCTTGTGCTGTATAGAAGATCCATGAGGTCTCTGTTTGAGAATGGAACTGTACTCTTCGTGCAAATTAACTCCCGTAGTTTTCTTTTACACCAACGTTTGTTTCGGCATAGTTCAAGATGCACTCCACGAGGAACGGATACGACTCATGTCCTAACGTACTAATTACAGTCCCTCATTATTGTCTACTCTGGAGAAATTTTACAACTCATGCAAAAATTAATAAATACACTCGTATGTAAAATAACCTTTCATTAGGAAAAGGCTACTAGTCACATTTAAACCTCACTAATTATAGATTCATCCATAAGCAATTGTTATATAAATTTCTACTTACATGGATGAGTTACTAACCATCCGTATATTCTAATTTTTCTATATGAAAATTACCAACTACTATCGAAACATTCTTTTAATATGAAAAGTGACTATCAACTAAATATTATTAGTTGAAAGCTAATTATATATAAAAAGTTATTTTTCACTATCATATGCGCAAGCTTGCTTTTTCTAGTATGTCAATCATATCGAAAAGTTACTTCCCATGTGATGACATACTAATCTGTATTAGTAATTAAATAATAATAATTGAAAGTTATTTTTGACTATCAACAGAACCGTATAGAAAAATCACAAATTACCCATATGCGCAAGCTTCCTTTTTTCTGTATGTCAATCATAATGAAAAAGTTACTTCCCTTGTGACGATTTACTACTTTGTAAGAAAGATTACTAGCTGCGCGAACAAATTATTAATTACTAATGCACTAAATTACTTTTCTCTCTAGATATTTATAATCACACAAACAATTTACATAGTTGCTTACCTTTCAAATTTGAAAAGTTACTTAGTATCACTGCTTGATGTATTGAGATTTGTTCCGTCTAAAATGCTGCTAACCACATTGAAAAATCACTTATCCTATAAAAATATTTACTTGTTAATAATTGGCGAATACGTGGTTGGTAATTTTCTGTACGGGAAAGTAATTACGCTCCATATCTAAATTTACTGGCGTATATGAAAAGGAAGCGTGCCACTGATGAGCCGAGCATTTCCTCAGCCGTCCGATGGCCCGCTCGCGTACGGCGGAGATGCATCCAGAAAACGAGGGACGCCAAGGGCCGTGAGCGAAGTAAGAAACCCTCCTTTTTCGCGTCGTTCGACAGGCGATTTCGACGGTCCCTCATTTCTTCACGCCACCGGAATACAACAACTTGGAGATCTCAATCGCTGTCGTGCCAACCTCGTCAATCAACGTAGACACTGAGGTGAATTCCTGCACGCCATTTTTGTTGAAATTTATCCTCGTCGTTTTGTGTTGTTGGGTACTTTCACTGAGGATGTGTTCTGTTCTTTTTTGTCCGTTATTTTTTTCTGGGTAAATTGTAGGAGAAAGAAAGCTTGGTTTCGTGATTATGGGCATGGGTGGGTCATCGTTTTTTTTCTTCGTGCTTAGAGATTTCTGATCGCCTTTTGATGGTCTTCCTGCTAATCGGGTGTTGGTAAATGGCGCATTTTGATGTGACAATTGGGTGATGCTGCTGCTGATAATATCTGATTTTTTTGAAGGAATGCTGGTAGCTTTTAGCGGTAGTGTTGATGTGGATTCTGGCTCAGTTTAGTAGTGCGAGCTTGATAATATGTTATCTGGAATGATTGCGTTTACGGGTGCAAAGTTGTGTGATTTTGCGTGTATGTGGCTGCTTTGGATCTTCCTGCTAATTGGGAATATGTTACCTGAAATCGGCAATGTTCTTGTTGTAATTGATGCGGGTTTTCATTGAGTGGATAAAATTAAGGCGCAATTGGTGGTTTGAAGTGTCATGACTGAGGAGACGCTGCAACCCTTTTTTTGGCGGGGGCATGTAGGTCGTCCGTGGTTGCTGTTAGTTCGATTAGGATAGAGCCAAAATAGGTGAAGGATTCAGTTGACGGCGCACCTTGATCAACTCTAATTTTGTATAGATGGCTGAAGCAAAGCCTGCAATGAGGAAACCAGTGTTCACCAAGGTAGATCAGTTGCGTCCTGGAACTAGTGGCCACACTCTCACAGTGAAGGTCGTGAGTTCGAAGATGGTAATGCAGAAGGGCCGTCCTGATGGGTCGCAAGTACGTCAAACGAGGATCGCCGAATGCTTGATTGGGGATGAGACGGGCATTATTGTATTTACAGCTAGAAATGAGCAAGGTAGCATTCTTTCTTTTCATTAATTGCATTGCATGGTGAATAGACCAAACAGTTTGTCTTCAGTGATATGAAATTGGAGGATATACAGATTGATTCTTCATAGCAGAGTCGGTGAAGAAAATTAAATTGAAGGTCTTTGTTTGTAATTTTCCATTCTGAGGCCTCTAACTGTTGGACTTCCGCAATTTTTCTACAAGCAATGTGGCTTATCTTGTGGATTTCGAGTCTTCTTAAGCAGTTAAGCTCAGCATATTTATCGAATTTACATCAGAAGTAAAATGCTTCTGACTCAAATTTTACCAACATTCATAACTTTGTTATATATTTGAGTCCAATTGCTTCTGCAGTCAGGCCTCTTACTGTTTTGCTGATATTATCAGCTGCAACTGTAGTATGGCTTTACTATTTGAAATATCGGTACACATTTTACTGCAGTTGACTTGATGAAGCCCGACACGATTGTAATCCTGCGGAATGCCAAAATTGACATGTTTAAGGGATCTATGAGGCTTGCTGTGGACAAGTGGGGACGTATTGAAGTGACCGAAACTGAACTGGCCGATTTTGCTGTCAAAGAAGATAACAACCTATCGCTTGTCGAGTATGAGTTGGTCAATGTTGTTGAAGAGTGATGGTAGGAAGCTTGCTTACATCCCGATGGGAATATAGACAGATTGAGAAAGGAATTCAATTAGCGGTTCGAGAGATGGTGAAAAAGTGAAGTTGTACAAGGATTTCCTAGTCAACTATGAGTATTGGTTACTGAAAGAAATCATTTATCAGCCGATGCAGATATAACATCAAAAGTGGTTCTTACCCTTGCTTGGGCTCATTTAAATCCTGCTGAGGGAGCTGTCTAGATCAGTTTGGTGTGGCATACTACTGGCAATAACTGCAGATGGATGTTTAGCAGCAACTAATCTGGATACATCTTATGAGAGAGCCAGGATGCATCTATTGTAATAGAATGGTCGATATGGACACCATGCTTCATGCAACTCCATTTGCGTTTTATGACTATCTTCCTGTTTGATTGGTGTTTGTAATTGCACTGTCTACTTTTATAGTCTATTGTCGAGCTGCCCTTTTTATTTTTCTTTTTGATTGTTGAGTTGTCTTCTTCAGATTTTGCTTTGAGTTTGCACGTTCCCGAGAACGGGGAAATTACAGGACAGAAGAAAGTAAATATGAAATTCTCGACGGAGAAATGTTAGGATGCTTGGGGACTTGCAGATTGGTCACCCCAATGGAAAGAGAGACGGTCCTATCGGTAAGTATGCACAAGTTCCTTTCTTTCCGAAGGGAGTTTCAGAAACTTCTTTGGGTACAAGGTAGTCATTTGTGCTTAAGCTTGTCCATTTCGGTGCTTAACCGGGTCGGGTTGGGAATGTGCATGAGTTCACAAAGGATTTTGTTGTGTTTGTGTTCGGGAAATTAATGATCTTCATGTTCGAACTTCTTAATGAGTTGTCATGATCGCTGGGCATTAGTAATGTGATTCATAGCATCCAAAGTCAACTAAGTATGATCGTGCACGTGCAAAATCAAGAGGCTTTGACCGAGGATATTTCCCTTTGTTCTTTGGGTAAGGTTGAAAGCACATTTGATTGATATCATCAACTGAAGTGACGGAATTAGGTGGTCGGGTGGCCAAAGTATGGAAGATACAAGGCGGGCGAATATACGGAGAAATACTTGCTTCGACTCGGATCAATTGGATTGGGTTCATTGTAGCTAATGATCACGCGGACTTCGGGCTCGTTTGGTTCGACTTTGGGGGAATGCTTTCGGGGGAATGCAAATATCTTTGGGTTAAAGAGGTTTTCCGAAATGCAAGTGGTGTTTGGTAAGTGTTTTTTAAAATCAACTTAGGCTAAAGGATTTTTGTTAATATTTTTTTTAATTAAAAAAAAAGGTTCTGGTGGAGCTTAACCAACGGCCACCGCCGCCAACCAGATCTGGTCGCCGGCCATCATTGCCTGACCTCAGGCGAGGCAGCCTGAGGTTGTGCGACCCTCAGGCGACCGCCGCCGGGGTCGGGCTAACCCCCAGGCGGTGGTCGCCGGGGTCGGGCTAGCCCTCAGGCGGTGGTCGCCGGCCGCCGGACCTGCCTCTGGGGAAGATGAACAGTCGCGATGAACAGTGCAAGTTGCATTCCGAAAATGCAATTTCTCAAGGCACCTCCACCTTTGCATTGGCCAAAAGTCCCTTGGAGAGCATTCCAAATGCAATTGCATCTTTCCAAAGTGAGTAAAAAAAGTTAGCAAACACCATTTGCATTTAGCTAAGAGATTTTAGAGTCCAAATGAGCATTCTAAATGCTGAACCAAACGGAGCCTTCACATGCAGAGCGCGATTTAGACAACAATTTTCGTATATGCGGTTGCCTTGGATACGGTAATTGGGAAACGTGCTTCTCTCTCTGGAATCAATAGAAAGCGGCGTTGATCGCTGTTTTTTAAGTGTAATCTGTGCGAAGGGCATGTAAATTACGATGGGATGAGAATGTTGACGCGCCCATGGGTTGGGTCGTAATCGAGACACTGTGGACGGTGACCCACGCGAAAAACGATGCCAAAAGAACGATCCACAAATGCTGGAGTGAGAGACGTAAGAAGTGCTGTTCAGAGGTGACTTTTGATTTCCACGTTTTGCTGATATATGACCATATGATCTTTAACATGTGGGGACAGACTTTCCCTAAGAAAAGATGGAGTCATGATGTTTCCAAGTTGACTGTGAGGTAAAGGGGAATGTTCGGATTTCCCGCGGTAAAATTTGTGTGCGTGTGAAATCGTGCTCTCATGTCGGGTGTGAGTGGCTTGTACATCTAGCGCATGTAAACAAGGACCTCACGCAAGTATGTATTCATACTCTGACTTGCTCGACAACGGAGTGCGAAGCGAAACGCTGCGAAGGACCGTTCGATCCATAAGCGCCTCTCCATCATTGTTGCACAATATCAAATTATCGATTTTGCACCAGCTCTCGAGCCACATCCAGATCATGGACGCACGTGGCTCGTGTGTGTGGGTCGTCTTACGGGCGTGGGACGGAGGGATTGTCATGGCGCATGCGTGAGACGAGGAGATACCGTGATTAAAAGGAATCAAAGAAAAATAAAATAAAGGGGCAAAAGCCACCAAAAAAAAACCTAAACTATATCAATTACGACACGTTTACCCAAAAATTTTTTCTGCGATACAAAAAATTTCAAATTTGTATCTATCTGACACTTTTACCTTCCGTCAAAATCTCGTCAATAAGAACAGCTAAAAATCTGCCTACATGGACGCCGAAAACCAAACAGTATTGACATGGTGCCCACATGGCCTAAGTGAAATAAAAAAAATTTATTTTGGCTGAAAAATCATTTGACGAAATCTTGACGAAGGGTAAATGTGTGCCACATAAGTGCAAATTCGGGACTTTTATTTAGGATAAATATGTTTTGGTGAGCATAATTTGGATTTTTAACTTCACAAAAAAGTTCGGGATAAATGTATTACACAGCTGTCATGAGTTAAAGAGATTTTTTTTGGCTATTTTTTGTGGGGGGAATGAGATTGAGCCCCAGCAGCAGGATTCGAGGATATTCGGTTGACATACATAAAGGACACGCACATGCGTTGCGTTGCGTGGTGCCAGAATCGTGGAATGTCCCCGTCGGCGCCATCTTCTCTTCTTCTTCACTCCCAATCCAAAATTAAAATATAAAAGGGTTAAGTGCACGAACTCCAAGCAACGCAAGCAAACCTTTATTCTCTTCTCCCCCTTTTTACGCTCCCTCCCTCTCACTCCCACCCTGCTGCGCAACCGCGTGACGCCATCGCTCTTCTCCGCCTTCCCCCCCCCACCGCCGGCTCGCTCCCGCGAATTCCCGCAATAAATCCTCGGGCCTCCGCCGTTCTCCGGTTGCTCCGCCGCCGCCGCCGCTGCCGCCTCCGTGTCTCGCTCGATTCGCTTTCTCCGTCTCGCTCTCCCCCCTCGCTATCGCAGCAGAGAGGGATAGAGAGATAGAAGGAGAAGAGAGACAATGGGAGCTTACTGCAACGACGACCTCTCCCTCTCGCCCGCCTACAGCTTCGCCTCCGCTCAGGACTTCCGGCTCTCCAAGCACGTCCACGACAACGTCCACGGCAACATCTACCTCGATCCTGTAAGTCTCTCTCCCTCTCCCTCTCTCTCTCTCTCTCTCTCTCTCTCTCGCCGATTGCTGTTTGCAAGTGCGCGCGTGCGCGCGCTCGCGCCTCCGCTGTCGTTTGGTCGATCGGACGGGACGTGGAAGTCCGAACCGCGTGCGAGTGAGTGGATGTGGATTGGCGAATCGGTGCTGGCGTCGTCGGATTGTGGAGTTGCGTGCCGAGAGAGTTGTTTCTGCGCGGAGAAGAGTCCGCAAAGTCGATTGCGCTGGCGTGCGAGTTTGTGCTGCGGAGCTGGAGATTGCGATGGATGATCGGAGTGTTGTTAGCGAAGCCGAAGTGAATATTTGCTTTCTCTCTGTACTGGATATAAGTTGGTCCGTATGACGTCGGCGTGCTTTTACTTCTCTTTCTTCATTTGCAAGAGGTTGCATGACTTACCATGTCTACTTGTCCTCGTGTAATTATTTATACCTATGAAAGCCTGTTCGATGTGCTTTTCCGCGAGTTTCCTTTTATATTTCTCACATGGATTGCATGTGCTGTAGTTAAGTACTTGTTCGATTGAAGATGGCGATGTGACATCATTTGATGCCTTCTCTGTTGTGTCTCTACTTGCAGCTTGCGTTGAAGTTCATCGATACCGAACAGTTTCAGAGGCAAGTTAGTGTCTTATTTGTGGAAGCCTCAATAGATTGCCAAGTTACCCTGTGCTTGACGATTCTGTTTTTCTCCATTTTTTACAGGCTTCGTGACCTGAAACAGCTTGGTGAGTTCGATGTTTAATTGTGGAGCCTACATTATTCTGAATTTAGATTTATCCATGCTTTGCTATGATAAATAGCGTCTCGATTTCTCCTGGCTTCCTGAAACAGTCCTCGGTTCCTTCTTTTGGCTAATAAAAGTTAAGCCTACATGCATCACCTGCATAAAGAACCACTGGATGAGTTTTGACCTATTTGTTGATGTCTGTTGATCATTTGAAATCCTGGTGTTGTGGTTCTGCTTTCATTAGAGAAAAAACCAAGCTGCACACTGCACTCTTTGGTAGTACTCTGGAGGAAACACAGATGAGTTCCATGCACTTCCGAGAGTAATTATTAGGCCTACACGGGTCTAATAATTAGATACTCCCTTCCACCCGAATGGTTTCCTGACTCGTACTAGAATTGCTTATTGACAGCAAGTTAATTCATAAGTTTTAGAGCTTTAGCACTTTCCAGTAGTCATGAGTCAATTCCCATCATTTGTTCAGCTTCAGCTGTCTGAAATATGTTAAGGAATCGCATCTCTTCTGGAAATCCTAGCTTTCCAAATAAATCCCCATATCTTAACATTTGGGAATTCTGCCTCTGTGAATGCCGCATAATCTCAGGTATGACGCACATGGTGTATCCTGGGGCCGTGCATTCCAGGTTTGAACATTCTCTGGGGGTGTATTGGCTTGCCGGTGAAGCTGTTCAAAAGCTAAAAAATTATCAAGTATGATGGTGTTATCTTTGATTCGTTGATACTTAATCCTCATACTTCAATAGAATAACGGAATTGGATTTGCTTATGTTGTTCAGGGCTTGGAGCTCGGTATTGATCGCTTCGACATTCAAACAGTTAAAATTGCTGGTAATTGCTGTCTTGTGCTCAAATTAACTAGACAACTAATCTATTATGTTATTCATCTGTTCACTCAACTTGTAGGACTTCTTCATGATGTGGGCCATGGTCCTTTCAGTCACTTATTTGAACGCGAGTTCCTTCCCTTGGTTCTTAAAGATTCCAACTGGTAATTTGCATTTTTATTAGAATGCATCTATGTCCATTCTCCAGGCTTTTTTATTAGATTTCATATTTACTAATTTCTGAGTTCCTGTTATACCAACTAATGTAAATATTTCAGTGCTTGAGCATGAACTTTTCCTCTGTTCCTTCTTTTTTTTTCGGTCAACTTGCTTTGTCGT